TGATTTATGCGTATGCAGGGACAGAAAAAATGACTAGGTTTAGTTTGTTATTTGAAAAAAATTATGCCAAGTAGTCCTCAAATAGTCGGGTTATGTATGTAAGATTCCTTAATCAATCCTCAAATCTATTTAAGAATAGGACCGTCGTGGTGGCACTGAGGATATGGAGCCCGCTTCTCATGCATGAAGGTTCCAAATTTATCAAACTGACTTTTTGCTGATTTATAAGTACTAAGATTACTTAGACACCACTGCCAAACGTAAAAATTGTGATTGTGACTATATGTATCCTATATTTTATTTATTTATAAGTTTAAAATCGACAATCCACCTTTCAAAGCGCGGTGTTTAATTCCCAATCCTCCTCCATGTGAGAAGAGACATTTTCTCAGCAGTGATGATGAAGAGTGTCTTTTTTCGTTTCGTATTTTATGCATTTAGATACATTGTGCTATTTTCTATCCTTATCTCAGGATTCCAGACAGTTATGTAAAATATAACTAAGTAAGTACCCGTGACGTCACAAAATAGATCCCATCACATTTCTGCATCACTCGTAAAACAATAAAATGATCCACACGCGAATGCAGACAAACTTATATAGGGACTATTAAAATTCCGACATGCCAGTACTGTACAGTGGGGGTCGGCCTTTTTATGCAAAACTCTATGCAATAACTCGCCAGTTATTACTATGGGTCTTTTAATGAGTCCATGTGATGAATTTAGTTATATTTGCCACGCCAAACACTTTATTTCTATAGTCATAAAGTTTATTTTCCCTTCCATTTAAGTATTGCAGTTTTGTTGAAGGGTATAGTCTTGGTCCTTTAACTTACTTAATGGCGTCAACGTTTATTGGTGGCTTGTTTCGTTTTTGGCACGTATTCGTCATTAATACGTCATTGTAAATTTTATTAAGTGTTCGCGCAATTGAATTTCTAGCGGTTTATTGCTCTTTAGGGTTCATAGGGAAATTCATTGGTTTTTTATTAGTACGGAACTCTGTCGTTTCTTTAATTAAATTGTAGTTTTATGTGAGTCGAAATTCCTTACCACAACCACGTTAGTTGTGTAGGAGGCCACATACATTTATAATTGTTCTTGTAGTGGTAATAGAAAGACATCATCGATTCTAATTTGATATTCCATAACATACAGTCGGATGGACAGCAAGTCTTTGCAATATTTGCACCTCTTGGAACAGGACTCTTAAAGATATTTTAACCCCTACATCACATTTTTCGCGTTGTCTATTCCCTTAATTGATTTGACTATCGTCAATGTTATTTATCTGAAAGAAATGGAGCAAATTTATGAAATGCGCACGCTGCTCCTGAATGAGAGCCCCATTGTGACTTGAAATTAGTGAGCTTTGTCTTTCACAATAGTACTTATGTCGTTATTTTCAATGAAAAAAATAAATGACTGCTGACTGGCTGGTTGGTGCCGTGGCTGGGCAACTGACTGCCGCGCAGCGTGTTGCGAATTCGATTCCTGCACGGAACAATTGTCCAAAAATTGTTGTTCCGGGTCTGGGTGTCTTGTGTAAATGATATTGTATATTTGTAAACGCGTCTACGACCCAGGAGAAAATCCTAGTGTGTGATTTTTTTTTAAATAAAATGGAAACAAAAAGTAATATTTGCAAAATATAACAAGAAAAACTGGACTGGCGCCCGTACATTCATGAGTTCTAATATCCATTCTCTTTAAAACTTTAACTATCTTATTTGATATCCTCTTTCAACAACTATACAGCAAACACTCCTAATAATAATAATATTCACACACAAATATCTTGATAGGAAGTGAACACCGAACTATCTATCTAATTCCCATAGTTATGTGTTCAAATACCGTCAGCTGTGTCTACTAGTTTTTTTTTATCAGCGCCCGCATAAGTTAGGGTACAGAAATAGATGAACTCATAAATATTACTTTTAAACTCTAAACAGTGCTACTTCTGTATTGGAATTTAAAATTGGAAAGAGTTCATTGTTTTTCTAAAGAGGTTATAGTTAGATAAAGAGGTGTATTTGTATTGTTTGCCATTTAAAAATACTTTTTGATGGTTTACAATAAAATTTACCTAAATATGACTTCGTGTGAGAATCAAAGGGTACGTTGCACGTTTAAGTGCTGGAGAGCCACGCTTTGGCACGATTGGGTCGGCTCGAAACCGGCGTGAAACAGCCATTGTTGTGTGTTTGTGAGGTTACCGGAGGCCCAATCCCTAAATTTCCGAAACCCTAATCTCCAAAAGGACGACAACGCTCATGCAACTCCTGGTGTCTATGGGCGGCATCGATTGCTTACTATCAGGTTATCCGCCTGCTCGTATGACGTTCTATCACTTAAACAATGGCTGCTGTTCACTCAGACATCATCATCATCACATCTTTAAATATACTGTCTTATAATTTATATAGATTACAACCATAATTAATTTTAATAACCATCAAACGCACCGTTTATTTTTTCGTTTCTGTTCAGATCTCTATTCTTAGAACTTATGCAACAAAATCATATTATACGAAGAAAATGTCGTGTAAACTTCCTTTTAATGTGCATACATACAAGGCATGTAATTAAGAAACTAAATATATTTTTTGCTTTATTTGTTAACTCCCACATTAGAAAAGAAAATTGATAGTTCTAAATTGGGAATACTCGAAAAGATGCTTTTAAAATGTTGGCACAATTTGTACTGGGGAATTGTTTACCTTTTAAATGTATACTGCTGTATTAAAAAGTTTGAAATTACGCTTTACAAGGTAACTCGACCAATTTCAAGCCACGACTGGAGTCTAAAAATCATGGAATGACGCTATTCCAAAGTTGTTTCCATTGAGTTTTAAATCCTATCACTGTATCGATAGAATGTAATGTTTCTTTACACCAATATTTATCTAAGTTTACTCAGCATTTTAGGAGTGAAAGCTCAACAGAAATGTCTTTTTATGTACTACGAGTACTAAAGTCTTTCTAAAAATAGGTCGTAAACATCTTAAAACTGTTGTCTTTATAAATAACTAAAGCTAGACTGAAAAATGCCGTAATCTCTCGTCTAATCTGCCGTAACTTGGCTACAGTTATAGTTCGACAGAGCAACTGTGTCTGTTACGAAATCCCTGTTTATAGGGTAAGGATTGACGTATGACACAAGTTTTTATATCGTAGAGAATTCAGAAGGTCTAGTATGCATAGAAAGCCGGTGTCTAGTCATGCATCCAATGATTATGAAGAACCAAGAAAAGCAATGGGGTGGCTTTTAGTCAGTCAGAATCTGATACTCCACTTTACTGCACTGTTGGTTCGGTGACTGGGCAACTAGCTGCCGCATAACGTGTCTGTGTAATCCACAATTTCTTGTTCCGGGTCTGAGTGTCATGCGTATGTAAAATTGTATGTTTGTAAACGCCCCCACGACACAAGAGAAAATCCTAGTGTACTGTGCAACGTTTTTTTTTTAAAAAAAAACAAACCCACAAACAAAACTTTTTGTCGTTGTAGCCAGGCCGGGTGAAAAAAAAATGGCATTAATCTCTGAAATCCTTGCATTATTTCAGAGAATCGTCAAACTGTTAGGAGCAAAAAAAGATATTGGCCGTTTCATCTACAATTCAAGATTTAAGTCAACATTAGGTTTGATATCATCTTGCGGTTACGTCATTATCGCAGTCTTCTTGCCTGGCCAAATACGGCTCTGTTGTACACTTGTACCTCATATGAATAGACACTATATTGACCAACTTGCCATTCAACTACATCACCTTTTATACCGTCATATTATTTAAAATACTATAGAATAATGCTTGGATATGTTTTTCGCTTAAACTAAACAAGTTTAAATAGTGATTTAGTAAAAAGAAATCAATGATTTTCCCGATTTCTATTTTATCTACACTAATATTATAAAGAGGTAGTTTGTATGTAGGGGATAATCATTGGAACCGCTGGTCGGATTTCCAAAATTCTTTCACTGATAAATAGCTATAATGTTCCTGAGTGATTTAGGCTATAAAACATCACGCTTCGATCAAATGGAGCAGAACAAAAACCGCGCAAGAGTAGCTAGTTAATAATAATTTTAGTCAAAAAGTAGTCAATATTTTTTTTTAATAAAAAATACTGGGTCAACTTTGGATTTTGTTGTCCTGTGTTTTGGTTGCGTTTACAAAAACACACATGACACCCAGATCCGGAACAACAATTTGTTGATCATACAGAATCGAAACCACGATACGTTGCGCGGCAGCCGGTTGCCAAGCCGTCGTGCTAGTTGTGCAGTCAGACAAAATGTACTTGTTAACAATATCAAACAGCTTTTTATATCTATACTAATATTATAAAGAGGTAAAATTTGTATGTAGAGGGGGTAATCTTTGGAACCGCTGGTCGAATTTTCAAAATTCTTTCACTGGTAGATAACTACAATGTTCCTGAGTGCTATTGGCTATAAAACATCACGCTATGATTAAATGGAGCCGAAAGCAGCGGGTGAAACCGCGCGAGAGTAGCTAGTCTTCTATATAATCTTCTTAATCATCAATGCAGAGTTCACACACAACCACCCAAGATCACAACTCCATACAGAACTAAACTCCGTCAAATTGTCCGTGAGTGACACGTCACGTGTCTCTCGCGCCCTCTCAAACATCGCGCTTGGATTGCCTTTGCGAGGGGTCACAAAAATTATTCCTTCTCACTCCGATTGACTAAACATGGTATATTTGTTTTGACAGGGCGATTAAACTAGTGACAGTGTGTCTGCAATGGTTATATCTCTATAAATATATTTATCAACTAGCTACTCTCGCGCGGTTTCACCCGCTGCTCGGCTCCATTTAATCGTAGCGTGATGCTTTATAACCTTTAACACTCAGAAACATTGTAGATATCTATCAGTGAAAGATTACGGTTCCAAAGATTGCCCTACATACAAACTTACAAATTTTACCTCTTTATAAAATTAGTATAGATTCTATCGCTCGCCAATGGTCGAATTGTCTACGCCACGCTCGCTCAGTCGTTTAGAGTACAATGTTAGTATAATTCTAAGCCTACAGCGTGACTTGAAATTAGTCGGGTTATATCGTCAAATAGCATCGAGAAACAAATAATATTTTACATAATTTACAGTGTCACTGTTCATTGCGATGCGACGGTGGTACAAAGGTTCGACTTTGTGCATATAATGTTACTGTAGGTAATCTTAATCGCGCAATAATTTGCACATGACAAGTCGGAAGATAAAAGGGGAAATCCCAGTGTACAACGGCCCTATTGAGCACTAGCCGACTGAGGGGAAGGTTTGAACCTTCGGTCACCTTATTCACACTGCGAAACACAACTTAAGTTTTGCTTACGCCGGTATTACTCCGAGGCCGTGGTATTACTCAAATCGAGTCGGCCGATCCGTGCCGAAGCTTTGCTCTCTCATACTTAACTTTGAAGTATATACGAGATAAATATAGTGAAACTTCTGTCGGATATTGTTGAGTAAGCATATATAAATAACTGTCTATATTTACTCGCACAGGTGATGGCGTCCGCTACATAAATATACCATGGTGGCGCTCTATACGACACGACGTTTAAGTTTGAAATAATTTCATAATATTACGAAAAAGAAAATAGAAATGAATATCCCGCCCCTCTTCTTATTTAATTAATGTTATTATACCTACATATAAACCTTCCTCTTCAATCACCCTATCAAACTCTATCAAATGAAGAAAAACCGTAGCGGTTTTTCTCCGTAAAATCCGTTTCGTAGTTTTAAAGATTAAATTTCTTCTTATACTATGTAGTTATTTATCAAAAACCACTTATCTCTAAAGTTCACTTCTGAGCACCTAGCAACAATGACAGACTGATTTATGGATTATTTATTCTATATCTTTATTGGACATTAGAAGAAGGATCTTGTATATTATTAAATTTTTTGATACTAATGTTTTGACCCTTTTTTGAAGGGGAGAATCATGAAATGATGTCTCTCGTCCAAGGACAGGGCGACATCCCTCGTTCCTTCTCCTGCTCTAGGCCGAAACCGCGATACCTTATTGCGCTTGCCCTGAAACCCCAGCTGAAATGTTTTTACCCTGACTTTGTATTTGAGGCTATATAAATAAATACTATTATTAAAAACAAATACGTACTTTGTCACATACGTTTATTGATGGAAAGTTTTCTAACCGATATATCCGTTTGTCCGCAGGTACCAACTGACAATCCATCACCGCAAACATCGAAGGAGTCGTGACGAAGCCTGCGCGAGCGCATCGAGGACGCACTCCACCACAACTGGCGACGGCTGACCGCTACACGCTCAGTAAGTAGCATTCCGACTGTATCGCCCATACAGGGTAGGCAGAACACTACAATATAGCCAAGACATCACTGTCGTGGTGGGTAAAGGTGCCCGCTTCTCTGAGATGAGGGTTTCGAAACCTGGCAACACTCATGCCCGGTTTCTAACAGCCTGATCAATGTTAAAATCAACTAACTAAAAAGGTGTCAAATCTCTTGTCAAGTCATCTGATTGGTTGTTGATAATTCAGTCAACCAATCAGATGACTTGACAAGAGATTAAATTGATTTTAACATTGATCGGCACCAGTGTGACTTTTACTTTCTATGATTATTTAGACATCACTAATACGCTGTGAAGGAAAACATCGTGAGGGACACCTAAACTTAAAATTTATATGTAAAAATGTGTCTTTTTTTTTAAATCAATAGATATTTTATTTTAGTACTACCTTCTCTCGCGCGGTTTCACCCGCTGCTCAGCTCCTACAGATAGAAACCTGATGTTTTAGCACTCAGAAACGTTGTAGCTATCTATCAGTGAAAGAATTTTGGACATCCGACTAGCAGTTCCAAAGATTACCCCCTACATACAAAGTTGCAATACCTCTTTATAATATTAAGTATAGACTTTGACTTGATTTCTATTATAAGTAACAAGCTCTTCATAATGAGTGACGTTCCCTCTCACTTGCCTCAAGTGAAATTTTGTAGGTACCTTATTAACAGAAACATATATTGTTTTATTGCAGAATACAGTCGAGTCGCGTCCGCGGGTCCGGTCCTTCAGCCAGGAGCGGCCGCGCCGCCGCCGGCCCAGCGCCACCTCGCTAGACCTCCAGTCAGAGACAGTCTACCACACTGCCACTATACACAGGTCAGCTGGGTTCTTTACATATATCAATTGTTGTTCCTAGTAGATATTCGTGATATGCACTCAGTTCAAGGATTTTTTTCTTGAAACTTTTCGTTGTAATGTTATACCTCAACAATGCCTTTACCGATTTGCCTAATTTTGGTCTTGAATTAATCCGTTAAAGTCTAGAGAAGGACGTTTTTGTACGTAGAGAAAATAAAAAAACATCTTAAAAAAGTGTAAAATCGATATCCGCGCGATCGGAGACGAGCGAACGCAAGTTCATTTATACAGACGGGTCATAAAACAGCACATTTACACGTCAAAATCATATGTAAAATACTAGATGAAGTCGACATTTCCTATCTGACTACTCTAAGAAGAAATGCCGAAATAAAACAAAAAGATGCCTCCATTTATACCTTAATTATGTTGGGTATTTTGTAAAGCCTAATTTTAATCTTTCCACGATTGAAAACAAGGAAATTAACAGTAAACGACCCTGGCTTGTCTAAAGATACCAAAAAGAACAAAACAATAAGAACCAACTTTATTAACAATTGTACATATTAACGTTAATGATAAAAAAGTCCTTGCTGTGTATATCTGTTGGTGATGAACTCAAAAACTGCTGAACGTATTTTAATATAACATTTTTTAGCCTCCAATGTATATCATTTTCATTTTTTTTTCTCCACCAGAGCTCATTCTCTAAGCAAGATGGCGGCTCTATCACTGAAGATATCCATCGAGGGTGGAAAGGTCGTGAAGACCATACAGTTCGACCCCTCCACCACTGTGTACGATGCCTGCCGCATCATCAGAGAGAAGATTCTAGAAGCCAGCAGTGGGGATCGTAAGTAACCAATTATACAAAAAAAAGGAAAAATAGTCTGCGAAAGAATTTGAACCTTAACTGTTACAGAATAGAGATGAAATTTCGTTAAAGAATAATTTTGAATATAAAACTAATATTTATACGAATTTTCTGCAAATAAAGTTTATCTGGTACTTATATGAGAGAATAAATGAGTTAAAAAACTATAATTTGCCCCACAGCAAAAGAATACGGCCTCTTCTTGGCGTCAGAAGAGGACAACAAGAAAGGTATATGGCTTGAAGCCTCCAGAAGTCTGGACTACTACATGCTGAGGAATGGCGACCTTCTGGAGTATAACAAGAAGACCAGAAACTTGAGAGTGCGCATGTTAGACGGTTAGTATCGACTTATGTATTTGAAATTGAACCTTATTGCTCCGGAATAAGGGTGATTTTAGTATTAGTTCGTTCAGTGTCTACTTGTTATTTGTTGCATTCGAAAAACAACCTTATTGCGGCGAAGACGTTCGGCATTTGTACAGATTTCGTCTGTGATTATATTTGTTATGTATTGTTGTTGTAATTGGAACTTTATTGTGTCTGTATATAAAGTTCAGAAACGATTAAAGTTTATAAATGTAATGATAAAATGACACTTGATGGGTATAGGATTCATTCTATTATAAGGAATAGCTGTAGTAATTTAAAAGTTTCAAAATCTCTCCAGAGAATGGTCAGTCAAAAACTTTGACAAGAATAAATATCGTGTGTTTGTCGCAGGCACTGTGAAGACTCTCCTGGTGGACGACAGCCAAGTAGTGGCCAACCTGATGGTGGTCATCTGCACCAAGATCGGCATCACCAACTACGACGAGTACGGACTGGTGAGTACCACCTCTGAGGTTCAGCAGAATTAGCATCAATTACTTTTGAAAGCTTTAATCAAATTGCTAGATATTGAGTATTTTTGTTTAGAACTCAGACATTCTTTAAGGCATAGCTCTGTCAGCGAGCAGCTGTATTACCTGATGGTAAGCAATCAGCGCCGCCCATGGATACTTGTAGTACCAAAGGATTTAAGATTTGATTTGTGGCTAATTTGGAAAAATATTGGGCTTCCATTAACTTCACTCACACGGCGAATAACAACGGTAGTGTCACTTCACGCCGGTATTCTGTGCGGCCGTGATATAACTCCGGTCTAGCCGACCTATCGTGCCGAAGCGTGCTTCTCCCACACTTTAGAATTAAAGTATTTTATAGATTTTTATTGATAATTTTGCTCCTCTCAAAATTTTTATACCATAGAACTATCCAGTTCAGATTATACCTACTAGTACTAGAGTATCTACAAAGTAAATCACAAAATTACTCAAATAAGAACTTTTAAATCACCTCCCGCATCAATGAGAATAATTCTCCAATCTGCCACAGCCGTTTAGCAGTGATGCGCCAACAATTCCTCTTTATATTAATAATATGTTATTTGTTTCAGGTAAGAGAAGAACAGAAAGAAGAGGTGGATCCGTGTGAGAAGCCAAACTTCGGCACGCTGACCCTCAAGCGTAAACACCAGGAGAAGGAACGAGATGCCAAGATGGAACAGCTGAGGAAGAAGCTCAGGACTGATGATGAAGGTGAGAAGTAAACGACTACATACAGTTTCTGTAGCTGGCTATCATCATATCACTTAATTATAGCCTACTAGTGTCAACTAGTGGATTTGCGCGCGGAGCGTGTCGTTTGTGGAAAAGTTTAATTTTAAAAAAACCATTGAAATACGTCCAGACTACAATCTTAAAATATCATTTTTTTATTTAATTGTTCATTAAGGTACATCAACAATATACATAAAATACATTTTCTTAATTATATGATTCAGACAGAGTTCTTGTATGTACATGTGTATATCTTTAACAGATGTACACATCACTCCCCGGATGTAAACGTTAATATTAACCTAAGGAAAATAACAATAGGAAATACATTTTTCGTATACATATTACAAAAAGGTTCGGCACATCAAACCCAGACTCGGAACAAGATTATCATCACACAAAAACATAATATTATCTGATAATAATATTTTTGTAACTATCAAACTATACCTTAAATAAACGCACGCACGCTACAGAAAAATCCTAGTGTGTGGAAACGTTTTATATTAAAAAACCGTTTCAAAACGTCCAGACTATAATCCAAAAATCAATGTTTTTCTTATATTGAAAAAAGTTTGTACAAATCACACCTAAACCCGGAATAACATCATGGATCACACAAGGAATATAATTATGGTATCGGATAATATCCAAATATTCCTTAAATAACAAAAACCTTTCTTCAACAGTGAACTGGGTGGAGCCATCAAAGACGCTCCGCGAGCAAGGTATAGACGTGACAGAGACGCTGCTCCTCCGGCGCAAGCTGTTCTTCTCCGACCGCAACGTGGACTCCCGCGACCCCGTGCAGCTCAACCTGCTCTACGTGCAGGCCAGGGATGCCATCCTGGATGGGACCCATCCTGTTACTATGGATAAAGGTAATTGTTGAAGTTCAGAACAGTTTTATAGACCCCTACTGGTTGGGGACCGTTCCAAGCCCTTTTTTTTGACGGGGACTCATCATCATCAGTCTATAAGTGGTGGTATAAAGGCCTCTTCTCACACGGAGAAGGTTTGCGCATTAATCATCATGCTTGCTCAAGGCGTTCAAATTTATAGTTAGAAATTATACGTCGAGGTTTCCTCACGATGTTTTCCTTCACCGTATGTCAGTGGTGTCTAAATAATCTTAGAAAGTGCATGTAGCTCGGAAAAGATCACATTGGTACTTGCCAAATTTCAAACCGTCGTGATTAAGAAGGCGCCTTAACCTTCGGGCCACCACAACAATACGGGTTTTTGAGAGAATTTTAAAAGTCGTCCCTTTTTTCACCTTGATCCTCTTTCAAATGAAGTTATGGATAAAATTGTGGTTATTGTAAGTTTTTTATTTTTCCAACAGCTTGCGAGTTCGCGGGCATCCAATGTCAGATACAGTTCGGAGACCACAGGGAGGACAAACATACGCCTGGATTTTTAGAGTGAGTTATTATTTACTTATCATGAAGATTTTATTTAAATACTTTAAAGGAGATAACAGAATTTTCGGTGACACTTCCATAGTCATATTTTTCTATCGGGACATGCCCTAATCTAAGGTAGATGCAATCTTGAAATCTCCAGTGTCCTAGGGATAGACCATCTATCTTAGATCCCACAACAAAATAAATCTGAAGATATTGTTAGAAGAAAACACCTACATCAAGTGTGGCAAAGCCAAGCTTAAGCTCAAATGGGTCGTCTCGACCGGAGCGATACCACGGCTCCACAAAAAACCGCCATGAAAAAACCACAGCGTCGTATTGTGAGGCCCAATTCTTCTTGCTCTCACCCAATCCCTTAAAGTCTTAAAGCCTAATCTCCAAAAGGCACTCGTAACTTCTCTGGTGTACAAGTGTCCGTAGAAAGTGTCCATGGCTTACCATCAGGTAATCCGTCTGCTGGTTTGCCAAGCAGTTCCTCTGCGCTCAGTGTTTTTTTAAATGTAGGAGACAACATACATATTACAATCTACACTATACGTGTTATACATCAATAATAACCAGACAAAATCTCCTACCCTGCACAGCTTGAAGGAGTTCCTACCAGCCTCATATGTGAAGGTGAAGGGAATTGAGAAGAAGATCTTCAAGGAACACAAGAAACACGTCGGCCTCAGCGAGCTCGACGCCAAGGTCTTGTACACCAAAAGCGCAAGAGACCTCAAGACCTATGGAGTTGCTTTCTTCTTGGTCAAGGTAAGAAACAAAACAGTATTTTTTTAAAAGTTGGCCCTCACTAATATTTTCTCATGTGTCGTGGGTGCATTTAGAAATATACAATTCCACATACACATGACACTAACACCCGGAAAAACAATTTGTGGATCACACAAAGCGTTGTTCCGTTCGGGAATCGGACCCGCGACACATTGTACAGCAGCCAGTTGCCTTTATTAGATTTTATACACTGATAACCAGGGGTTTTACTAGCTACTCTGCTTCCATTTGTGTTTTGTATCTTTCCTCGATAAATTGACTATGTAGGATAATAATAATATTTCAAATCGAACCTAGTAGTTCCTGAGATATGCTCTATCAAACAAACTCTTTAGCTTCATAATATTAGTATAGATATTCTTTTTACTATAAGGTATAGATGAGAGTGAAAAAATCACAATCACATTTAATTTATTTACGTGATGTTAACTCGACCAGTTTCAAACTACAAACGGGGCTCATATCATATAAATAAGTTAATGTTTGTAAGAAAGATCAAATATAATTATTGAATCAATCTTCTATTAAAATCTTGTTTTATCAATTCACTTATTTTTCTAAAATACGATATTAATACTTAGACAAATGTGATATTCAATTGAAACTTACGAAACGAAAATTTTACCAAACATTTTATGTCACAGGAAAAAATGAAAGGCAAGAACAAGCTCGTGCCTCGTCTACTGGGCGTGACGAAAGACTCGGTGCTGCGCTTAGACGAGAAGACCAAGGAGATCTTGCAGACCTGGCCGCTGACCACCGTGCGACGATGGTGTGCCAGCCCCAACACATTCACTCTGGACTTTGGAGACTACAGGTCCGTTACCATTAAAGGAATTAAGTCTCCCTTGAGCAAAATAATTTGTGCTAAAGTTTTAAAAAACAATAGCAGAATTTTCTACATGGTATACCTGAACATATAGCTATTAAAGGATCGTCCAATTTCAAACTATTTAAAGTCAAAAATCATTTATTCCAATTAGACCCTTACAGGCACTTTTGAAGTCAAACAAAATTTTTAAGATATAGTGTCAGTCTGTCGGTCAGTCCTATCAATGAAGCTATTTGCTCGTTCCAAAGTATAGATTCCGATGGAGTAGAACAAGCAAGAAACTCCATGGTTACTCTTTTTCAATCAGTTTCACATACAGATTCCTATTCTGGAACTCATATTCAAGAGTTGTGTGCGCGAACGATGTCACAACTACCTATTTATTTCACCCGGTATTGTGGGGTAAGCGCAATGAGGCACCGCGACCTCGGCCTAGAGCAGGAGAAGGAACAGGGGGGTTTTTAGTCAGTAAGAGTCTGACACTCCCTCCCGCCCGATGATTTTCCCCTCACAAAAAAAAAACAACCTATTTATTTCTTTCAAAAAACTTGTCACAATCGAATAAGTTAAACTTCCTTTAAATAATAAAATAAGATATTATAACGTGCCTTCAGAACGGGTTCACTTCTTGCGAATTCGTAGTGATTGGTCCTCAAACCATGACCGTCTGGAAAGAGGCCTTTGCTCAGCAGTGGGCACTTACAGGCTGATGATGTATTATTTTAACTCAACTACTTTCAAGTCACATTAGAGTATAGTTAACTACTACGATCTCCCAGGTTGGCTTAAAACTTAAACATGTATATTTAATGCCACAGCGACCAGTACTACAGCGTGCAAACTACTGAAGCGGAGCAGATCCTGCAAGTGATAGCTGGATACATCGACATCATCGTACGCAAGCAACGCGCCAAGGACCACCTCGGTATCGAGGGGGATGAAGGGTCCGCCATGCTGGAGGACTCCGTCTCGCCTTCTAAGTATGTACCTCGCTAGTTTGGTATATTTTTTATGAAGTTGGTTATACCTAATTCTAAGTAGCTTCAAGATGTAAGCAATTCTTTTCTACTAGCTCAAATTAAAAGTTTATCAATTACTGTTTAATCTATACTAATATTATAAAGTATATAGTCCACAATAAAGATGATTTGATTAAAGAGGTATAATTTGTAAGTTTGTATGTAGGGGGTAATCTTTGGAACCGCTGGTCGAATTGCCAAAATTCTTTCACTCATAGATAGCTACAATGTTCCTAAGTGCTACAGGATATAAAACATCACTCTACAATTAAATGGAGCCGAGCAGCGGGTGAAACCGCGCTAGAGTTGCTAGTTCGTTGATAAATGTTTAATGTCACTTACAAAAGAGTTTGAGTAGGAAGGATTTTTTTTGTTTTTACTCGCAATTGACTGCACGGTTGGTGCGGTGGCTGGGCCACTGGCTGCCGTGCAACGTGTCGCGGGTTCGATTCTCGCACGGAACAACTCTTTGTGTGATCCAGAAATTCCGGGTGTGATAACAGAGAAATGTTATCTAAGGGATAAAATTGTTGCATTATAATTATTTCCCAGATAACTTTTATCTAACCATTGAAAAATCTGACCTAAAACAATTTGTTTTTATTTGCCAATCTTTCCAGTAACTTATAAACTAATTGTTTACAGGGCCAACATAATCCAACACGACACTTTCAAATCTGGCAAAGTGAACACGGAGTCCGTTGCCAAACCCGCCGTGCACCGCCCCGGAGCTGAAGGTACGACCATTTTTTTTATCGCACCAGTTATACAAATTATTAATTGGCTTTAAACAACCACAGCATTGTGTTTCTCCATTTGAGTGAGGTTACCGGAGACCCAATGCTTCTCCACCCCCAATCCCTAAATCTCTAAATCCCTAATCCCCAAAGATCAACTCTGTTGCGGGTGTCCATGAGCGGCGTTGATTGCTTGCCATCCGTCCGCAAGTTTGCCGACGTATCCACATAAAAAAATCAAATACGCCAGAGCTTACAATTTTGTTGAATCAATTTTATTCCTAGATTTTTAATATAATGTAAATATGGAATGTAAGCACTGATCAATATGTATAGATATTTTATTATTAATATTTTAAAGTAGTTGCAATTTGTTTTTTTCTTTTTATTTTCTTTTTTATGAAATATCGTGTTGTATTTTATATTATTGTAAATTGTGCAAAAATATTGCAGATAATGTCATCTCTTCATTGGAAATAATCTCATTACCTTTCATTGTAATGATAAGATTTTGTGTCAGAAAGACCTAACTTTTGAATCCTTAAACTGGGTATTGGGTTCGTTTTTTGACTGGGTGGAAAAACATCCAATGATTCCTCCCACCTTGGAGGGTTAGGCTCTAACAAAATAAATGTGGGAGAGTCATACTTCGGCACGAAAGGGTCGGCTCGACCGGCATAATACCACGGCCTCACAAAATACAGGCGTGAAACTACCACACCGTTATCGTTATGCTTGTACAAGCAACTTTTTTTGTGAAGGGATAATTGTCAAATGACTTCTCTCGGCTAGGGTATGGCGTGAGGGAGCGCACACTTTTTTATGAGAAGAAAATCATCAAACGACTCTCCCCCTATGGCGGGCGGAAGGTAGTTACAGACTTACTTTACTAGGCTGAGGCCGCGGTGCCTTCTTCCGCTTCTCCTACAAACCCTTTCTTTCAAAAGACTTATACACTTTTGAATTAAAAGTACAATTTAATAAAGAGACAACACGATATTTCATTATAAATATGTATATATTATTATATCGCCTCGCTTATTCCCTGCTAGGAGCGAAGCCATTTGCCGTGAACCACATGACGGGAGCCCAGCAGACCACGGTCTCCGGGCAGATCATTACTGGACACACCCCGCCCGCTGTCAGTATTATTTTATTTGCTTTTTTTCTTTTACACTATATTTATAAAGCTGTAGGTATAATGTTAGTTAGTTGTCTAGTTATTGTATGTTGGTTTTTTGGAGTAAAAGTGGTGTTTTTGCGTTTGAAAGGAATTAATTGCTAATGGAAAATTCGGATTTTAGTTTTTCTGACTGTTAACTTGAAATATTATTAATAAGAATACTTGGTCTTCGTTGAGTTGTGTATTAAAGTGAAAACTGTGTCAAAACAGACACTTTTGGCATTAAAAATATAGTCGAAACTTATGTCTTTTGGTCTTAGCTACAACATTTTTAACTAATTATGAATTCACTTTCTATAAGTAGTCCTTACTAATTATAAACTTCGACAGACTACTTCATGAACAAATATTATAAAGCTGAAGTGTTTAAACGCAGTAATCTCCGAAACTACTGATCCGAAATTGAATAATGCCTTTGATTTTGGTTAAATCGTGTATCGAGGAAAGCTTAAAAAAATCGTACTACGAAAATTACTCGTAGTAGCCGAGCTTTAAGTAAAACCGTCGCGGTGGTTTTTTGCTTTCATGGTAATTCGGGACACCATAGAAAAACAATAGATGCGAGAGCCGGCGTTCGCTCAGGGTTTGATGAATTAATACAACATCCTTCCACCAGAAACAAGCCACTTTTACTCTCAACCATCTTACTTGATCATTATAAAATATTTCTTTAAAAATGTATAATGTATTTGTTGTTCCACGCTGCCTTTGGCTATACTTAGTCATCGAAATGGGCTGTGTAGGTATATATTGTTAAACATATTCATATATTTTATACAATATAGTTCTATTTGAAGAACTATGATGGACAAACTAAATTTCGAAGTTGATATTCCACTGTACAGGATTTAGTAAATGGATTTTTAATTTTCGTTTATGCCCTAAGTCGACTACTCGCGAAGGCGACTGTCGAACGGTTATCAATTGGTTCGATTCCAGCATTGAAGAGCTATATATAAAACATATTTGTTTGGTTATTTATATACAATAGAATTTTATACATATTTTGACGTTTAAAGTACCTGTTTATAGTTTAATTGGAGTACTTAACATTTTGACTTTGACTTTAAGAATGTTTTCTAAATATAATTTCTATGAGCTAATAACTAATGTACATACTTCCGTACCCAGGCGTCACAGGTCCAACAGACGCGCGTGACGTCGATCCTGTCGGAGCCCCAGCGAGCTCTGCTGTCCACCATCTCCAGCGGAGTCGAGATCATCAAGCACACAGAGGAGGGACTCACCAGGGTGTGTACCTACTCTCACATTATAGAAAAAAATATCTCACTCTTACTGTACTTAAAAACAGGCAAAATGATAAATAACCAAGTTCCATAAAAGTAGAAGAAATAGTTTCCACAATGATCTATGAGTTGTCAGTTAGATGTCAATTCTATTTTTAAATCGTTTCCCTAACGAATCGTGTCGCTCTGACTTCTAAACACGTGGGTTCAATACCATAATTAATGTTAGGTGTATTTTCTATCTGTGCCTTAGTATGGACTTTTTTATATTTATATTCGAAACGTATATATGTATGTAGCGACTTGTTCTGTCTGCTGCAACGTTGATACTAAATTTCCCCACTATATAATAGATTTTGTTATACATATAAACCTTCCTCTTCAATCACTCTATCTGTTAAGAAAGCCGCATCAAAATCAGTTCCGTAGTTTTAAAGACTTAAGCGTACATACGGATATAGGGACAGAGAAAGCGACTTTGTTTTATACTGATAGTGATACCTATACAAGATTTGTACATATTATGAAATTATTAACAAGTTTAAATAACAATGATAAACTGTCAGAGTTTATCTTTGTTATTCTTTAGTCAGCGTTAATTAAAGTACTCAAAATTAGATTAATTTGTAAAACTTAACAACTTGGGTTAATATTTTTGCAGTAACAAAAACTACTTCGGTAAATGAAAATCATTTGGTTGAAGAATAAAGTTCATTTTGTTCATTTATAAAATAACCAATTTTTGATCATTCTTCTTCGCCATCATTCTTCTAAAGAATAAACTCTAATTTCCTTGGAGTTTTTAAGTGTCTCTCTTATCTAAACAATTGATACAAAGCTTTGTTTAAGAATTGGCGGATAAACATTTTTAATATAATCTTTGAAGGCAATAAACAAAAACAAATCACCAATTAAAGCAACACCGACATTTAACATATTAACTTTCAAACCAATATTTTAAATAGCTACCGTAATGTTATATAGCTTATAGCACTAAGGAACATTGTAGCTATCTATCAGTGAAAGAACTTTGGCAATCCGACCAGCAGTTCTAAAGATTACCCCCTACATACAAACATACTAATTTTACCTCTTTATCTTATTAATGTATGTGTACTTAATTACCCCAGGCGACGCTCCCAGCGCTGGGCCAGGACGCGGCGTCCGTGAAGTGGAAACAGGTGACGATGGATACCAACAAGCAGGTTGTTACATCACAGATCGCCGCCATGAATGCCGCCACCGCACAGGTCGTCACGCTCACCTCAGGTAACTAGATTCATTATTAATAATTATTATTATTGTGTGTGTCCAATTCCAATCACGGGACCACAAGATCCCGGAACTTTGGAAGGCGTACGAGATGCCGAAGCCAACTCGCTGAGGCCTGTTCAGCAACTTTTAAATTAGTGAAATGGCACATAATTATTGTTATTTTCCTTCGTAATTCTACTTGCTGCTCGTTTGCTTTTAGCTGTAGAGTAGATGTACATGTTTTATACACTACAGCCTTGGTAGGTGGTTTATCCAACGAAAAACAATGGTCCGATTCGAACCAGTAGCTCCGGAGATAAGCGCGTTCAGATACTTTCTTCAACTTTAATATGTACTAGTGTAAAATTCTGATATCATTTTCCAAGTGACCAAGTCATAACTGCAGTAGATTATATAAATGTTGAACGCCATACATTTTTCTAGTCGGAGTATGCATTAGTTGATCATTTAAAATACCTTTTTGTAAAATTTACTCTTAATACATACATAAAAAATACATTTTTCGTTGGATTATCAACTGAAAGTCATTCACTACTAAACAGAATCCTATAGAAAACAGCTTTTTGTTAATTCTACTGTTTTCTTTGTTTCCTTCCCCGGAACATTAGCATAAATATATTTAAGCCATTAGTGGCTAGCTTATAAAAGTAAGCGTAGGGATTTTCAGTAACGGAAAAGCAGACACAAATGTCTAAATATCAATTTTTATTCCTCTCAACTTAGCATTCTTTCACACTATTCTTAATCCCCACTTTCTTCCCCAGGTACGGAGGAAGTAGACCACACTGCTGTAGGCGCAGCCATCACTACTATCACCACCAACCTCCCAGAGATGACGAAGGGAGTGCAGATGATCGCCGCGCTCATGGATGACGGGGACCACGGAGACAAACTCTTGGATGCCACAAGGAAACTGTGTACAGCATTTACTGACTTGCTGAAGGCTGCTGAACCTGAAACTAAAGAGGTAAGTGGATAATTTGAGATTGGTAGATTTTTCTTACAAGAAAAAAGTATTTTGGATCAAACCTCTCGTTATATTTATCTTCTAAACGAAGGAAGATTGAAAAACTGAGTTAAAGTATTTTTGATCAAAATTCTCGTGTCATTTCTCTTTAAAAATTAATAACGTACAAAGAATATCTAGTCTTATTCAGAGACTTAGTCTGTATCACAATCAAGTCCAAACAAAAACTTTAAAAAATGTTTTTAAAGAGAAAATGTTAGTTGAATAAAATATATTTCTGTCACTCACACTTCAGACATAATCCTTTAATTAATTTTCAAACTATGAAATACAACATAAAATACTTTCAAAATATGTTTGTACATTGGTAACATGCACTTCACAAGCATAAAAACTTAATACATTTAATATTTTGTAAATACTTGTTTTATGGAATCTTTTTATAAAGTAAATGAATTAGCATTTATTATTATTATTTTAACAACTCAGTTACATCATATTTATGGAAACATGTTTCACGTGTCTTTTACCCACTTCCAGCCACGCCAGAACCTTCTGAACGCCGCCTCCCGCGTCGGCGAGGCATCCACCACAGTCCTCTACACCATCGGAGAGGAAACCGAAGAAGACAAGGAAACCCAGGTAATTGACCCAGACCCTAAGAGAAACCCTAAGAAATCCTACCTCTATCGCAAACTCAACTATTGTTACGACAATTTCTATAAAGTCTTCTTCGGTAAAGATAAGGATGATAGCTACGATACAGATTTTGAAAATATCGACATTGGGACCGGCCACAAGGATGTTGTGGACGATGGCATCTATGAGGATGTAGACACTACCCGCAGCTGGGGGCTCGATGTCATACAGGAAGAGTCCGATAGTGACTACTACAGAAGCATAGACTACTGTAACATGATCTTTAAAAACAGACTAGACAAAAACAAACAAGATAATATTAATGGAGATTTCGAATCCATAGTACAAAACTGCGAAGGCTACTTAGACAGCACAAATAGTCCCAAGTTGTACCCAAAAACTATCTACGATAAAATTTACAATTTCAAAAAAGATTTCTCCAACCACGATTACGCTAACGTCAATTTCGATAAGAACAATATCGATAAAAATAACATCGATAAAGCTAACATTAATATCGATAAGTCAAACTTGAATATCGATAAGTCTCACTACGAAAACGTAGATTTTAACAGACGTACTAAAAACGATATACTTCGCGAACAATTCTTTCGGACAGACAATATCGATAAGAATGATATTAATGATAAATTTAATCGATATAACGGGAAAAAGATCGAGTGTCATAGTATAGTTAACGATGTAACGAAATCAGGTCCGGACGTGAAAGTTTCAGGCGCTTTGAACATGAAACTACTAAACTTAGACAAATACAACCGCGTTCTAACGACAACAGAAACATTTATGGAGACAGCGGACGCAAGTTTTACAAAAAATCAAATATCCAAACTCAGACACGATGGCTTCGAGAACTTCGTTAAAAAGAGCGAGAGATACTACACGACAGAGACGGGGGATAGACAGACAGACATATTAAACAACGGTGAACAGAAAAAACCTAAAACTGAGATCCGTATTTTCTATAATCCGACATTTAGGTGTACGGGGGAAAATTTGAAAGGTTTTTGTAAGTTTTGCAAGCGTAGGTGTCCTAGGACTGAGGAAAAATGTTGTCCCAAATGTGAGTGCTTAGAATTACAACTGGCTACAGTTTGGAAAGATAATTGGTTGAATATTCTCTGTCTGTTGTCTATACTGTTTATGTTACTGGCTTTACTTGTCCAATGCCTAATGCCCAATGATGTTTGTGAAGGAAATACAGATGTCGGAGAAAAGTGCTTCGAAATGATGTGACTAGTTCGTCGTTTCTAAGAAAGTAGGTTTTGTTAGCTTAGTAATGAAAATGGTGTAGGGACCTACAGTTATATAAAGGACGGTGGACAAGTAAATATTTTCATGTAAAACTTAAAAACTAAACCTTTTATAGTTGGTAGAAATATAAAACAACTGAAAAGATATATTCAAAAGAGGAATTCAACTATAAGGAACAATACAAAACATTTTTAATACAAAATTAAATCTAAAAAAATCTAAGCCTTTTTTTAAGTCGGTTAAAAAAAAGTATTATAGTATAATTATTTTTGACAATAGGAAAGCAATAACGAGTATTCCTTTTCTTAAATTAAGATACTGGTGGTAGCTCCTAAAATCGGCAGTATCAGCGGTGATACAATACATATTAAAATACCAATTTCGCGTTTATTTATATATTAATATTAATAATATATTCTAAACAAAGTATTATTTTTACAATTTTATTATTTAACTCTATTTTTATAGCCAATATTGGTTTCTATGTCATTTTAAAACACATATTTAACTATGTAATTATATTCCCTATTACATGGGACTCCTTACATAATTGGCACAATATTATGTTATCTTATACATAATATAAATCGTCTTTTTCCTATGTTTCTTGGTTTTTAAAAAGCAATTGTTTCGAAAATGTTTCTTCAACAAAATAATAAAGACAATACAATAAGGAAAAAGACTGCACTATATGACATATTTTATATAATTTAGTTTGTAAGGTTGCCTAATGAAGGGTTCGGTAAATGTGGTTCACACAAAGACAAAACAGCATCTTAAAAAATACTAAAACTTGTCGGTTTTGGAAACTAAATTAGTATGTATACAAAATATTGAGTTGATCAATAGTAATAATAGACGTATTATTATTATTTTAGTCACTTCTAAACCATTCGAGCAATCTCGATTACTTTCTAGTTACAACTTATAACCTATATACCTAATTCTCCAGTTTTTACCAAGAAAAAATATTTATTGTTTATGACTATAAACTAGTACAGTATAAACTAGTATTTCAATACATCTCATGATATTAAAAAAAAATATTTTGTCTGAAATTTTAAATATTCTGTATGTGAACCACAAACTTAAAATCCAGTTAGACCAGCGGGTTAACGCACTAACTGTGGGTTAGTTTGATTTAATCTCTAGTTTGGTCCACTAACGGGTTAACTACGGCAGTTAAACGTACACGCTAACTTCATAGTTAGTTCTATAGTTACATAAAAATAGGATAGGATTCTTAAACGAAGTCAGGAATTATTCGCTAAATATTACGGAAAAACTAGTCAAAAAGTCATCACAATTACTTATTTGAAGTCAATATAAAGGATTCAAAATTATTATTATTATTACATATTGGTATAGAATCTCGAAATTTCTAGTCTAAATGCAGCTAAACATTTTTTATGGTTATGTTTGTTTGAAGTATATTGGCGAGCATTAAATACCTATCATTCTAATCATTACATAGTATAAAACAAACTTGCTTTCTCTGCCTTTATATACCTATGTACACTTATACCTTTAAAACTACGCAACAGATTTTGATACGGTTTCTAATAGATATTGAGTGATTGAAGAACTAGTATGATATAAATTAAGAAATTTATTGCATTACATGATAAAAAACAAATATTATTATATTCAAATACTCAAAAGCCAGTTACGTTTAAAACGCTAATGAAATGGAAACGGTTTTATTTGAGTGGAGAATATAATTCACTGACTTCACCCGCCCTGGAGGTGGGAGTGTCAGACTCTTACTTTCTAAAACCCTCCCTTTACTTCTCCTACTCCTGGCCGGGGAAAGTGGTAGAGGCAGCTTAAGATCTTAATAGACATTAAAATTTAATAACATTTCACTATTCTGAAATATTATTATTGTGGTACGTATTTAGTGCTCGACATTATACTGAAGGTAATCTCGCTAATTTACTATTTTTTGCCAGTACACTACCATGATAATCTTGCCGTCACAGATATAAGCAGGTTTTAATTATGTAACTTGTAGTTCCTTTTCATAATGGTTTAAGATTAATGTTTGACATCTATATACATATACATAAAAATGAATCGCAAAATATATTGGTAAGCGCATTACTCAATAACGCCTTCACCAATATTGACAATTCTTTTTTTGTAGTAGTTTGAAATAGTTAAGAACAGGTTATTATGAAAGAAAATTTTAAGGTAAAATCGGGAAAAACAATTTGGAAAAAAGAGTGGGGTAATAAAAGAGTAAATATTATGATTGGGTTGGATCTCTTTATCAGATACTTAGATAATGCACTTAATTAAATATCAATAATACACATGGATAAGTTAGACTCAAGAGTTCATGTTTGTTTTTTTTAAAGGCAATGTCAGTAAAGTAAAATTTGTTATAGATTTTATCGTTAGGTACACAAGAGAAGTTAAAAATTTTAAAATCCACAATCTTAACCCGTTATGTAAAGGAATAATAATAACATTTAATTTTTAATTTATATTTTTGTTAACAATAATCTTAATGCTTACTAATCTAGTCTTATATTTTATTATTTTCACGTTTCTTTTTGTTATTTTATAAGCATTAAGATAATTGGCAGTTATAACGGATGGCGTCTAACATATTAAAAATTGAAAATTTAATAGATGCTGGCGACCCGAAGTTATTTATTTTATTTTTGTTAATATTTTTGGCAGCTTTATTTTTTGTTCTGTTTTTTTAAATATGTACATATATTTTTTGGTTTTTTATTTAAAAGTTCAAGTGTATATTGTTGAATAATTTTATGGGAATATTTTTCTATGACTATATTTGTTTATATTTAAAAGTATGCGCTTGAACTAAATCTGTTAATAATGTCCGTGTTGTATTATGTGTCTCATCTTTGCATTGGTGCTATTATATGGTAACTGCTGTAAATTATATTTAAACTCACTAATATTTGGGAAATAACAGTCACGTTTCAAAAATAGTATTTTAAGTTTTATGTAAAAGATAACTATATTCTCGCCCTATATGATACTTGAATAAAGTTAATGAAAAAGGTTGCATATATATAATAGCTAACTTTTATAAAAAAGACAAATGTCGCTTTAAACAGTCCTTAAAGTGTATTAAAATTATTTATATTCAACGCGCAAATAAAGGCGAATAATAACAACAAAATCAATGCAAAAAGTCACATAATACAGACATTAAAAGTTGCCATCAACAAGTACAAACATACAGATTGCCAGTCTACAAAATAATGTTTTATTTTTAGTTTATTTTTTATTTACTCAGCGAGTATTGCCATAAAAATGTTTACCTTAAATTCTATTATATACGTACCAAAGTGCCAATATTACTTATTTATTAATTATAAAAAAGTTTTACTTAATTCTTTTGGCATTTAAAGACTGATTTCCGACTTGTTTGTTTGTTTTTACATAAATAGTAAAATTTTCGTTTCAATACTCGCTGACTGGATATAATTTATTTTTATAATAGTTTTAATAAATACTGGGGTTGGAAAAATCATACCACTATATCGTAATTGTAATATTTTTTACGTTGTATTTAGCATTGCTTCGTGCGGCTTTGTGAAGTTCCTTGTGGTCAACAAAATAGATCTTCTTCCATTTTCCCATATATTTATACACTTCAGATATCATCAGCCTATAAATGTCCACTGCTCAGCAAAGGCCGCTTGTCACACAGAGAAGGTTTGAGTGATAATCACAAATTGAATGGACTATTTCACGTTTATAATTGGAAATTAGAGAATCTAGATTTCCTCGCGATGTTTTCCTCCATCGTGTGTCTAACTAGAACTCTGAATTTTTTATTATTACTTGCCAGATTTCGAAGTCACGTCTTCATTCTTAAGAATAAGACGCCTTAACCTTGGAGACACCATGTCCTATCCATCCATCCACAGTCTAATTAAGCCCTTCTTTGTCACACGGTATTATATTTTTCCATATGTCCATATCAAGAGCATTTCTGTAGTTGACGCCACGTTGTTTTATCCATATATATATTGATATCCTTAAATTCATCATTGTGTCCATTCTTAATCCAAAGTCTTTGAATTGAGGTCAGTTTTTGTCTAAGTTGAATGGATTGATTTTTTATCAAGATGTTAGTATAGACCATAAGTGCACTATCATTCTAAAAGAGAATCTTGTTTTCTATGCTACAAACAGTGGTATGGTTTCTCTGCACCCCAGTGTACGGTTGTGGCCATACCCTCACTGCCAGGTTGGTTATTTTTGTTTAATACATTTGCTTAAAAAAACAAATTGTTTTATTTATAACTAACTGTCTGCAAAGTGAATGTATTTAGCAAAAATAACTAACTAAAACCCCCTTTGTAATTACAAATAATGGTGAAGGAAAAATACCTACACAAATATAATTGAGATTATGTTTTAGTTTACCAAAACATACATTCCTTATATGGATGTAACATTTAAGTTACTAAGTATAATTAAACAGACAGTATATCAGCCTTTACGTATAGAAAAAAGCAGTATTACATGCTGAATAAATAAAATATAAATTCCTTGCGTCGCAAGCGCCGCTCATAAGTAAAAAACTCGTTCCACGCCACCGCGCTTCGTATCGCATCGCATCGATCTACGGAAGTGATATAGTACAATGTCAACAGATGGCGTTGTTAATAAAAATAAACTCAAGTGACCTACATAGCGCAGATGACGGGCGTCTGGTTTTTGTAAAGCTAGTCCGTGAGCTCGATTCCTGAGTGGACACTCGTTTTGACCTAGATTTTTGACCGGATACATTAATTTATGCTGTTGTAAAATTATGTTTGTAGTTGACTGATTTTTGAAAATTCTCAATAGTAACACGGAGTCAAAAGTTATGTTAGTAATTTGGCAATACTACCCTTCTCCCCCATTACATAATTTGTAAAAAAGTTGGTTGAGTTTCTACCCTTTTTATATTTAATTTTTTAATTTACTTTCTTTTTATATTAAAAAAAAATGTCCCAACTTTGGTTTTTCACCAGCGTCGTTGATGCGTTTACAAACATACAATTTCACAAACACATCACACAGACTCGCAACAATGATTTGCTTATCACACAGTGTCGTTCCGTGCGCCAGTAATCCAGACACTGCGCCAAACCGCTTATGTTAAAAATAAAGCTATCCAAAAAAATTATGTATAAAAAAAGTATGAAGGAATTTCTTGTATGTTATGTTTGATTAATGTGACATGATGTTTTACGACGGACGCCAGTAGTTAGTGTAATCAATTATAACTCTTTCATACAATTTATGTAATAATGTATTACTCGCGAAATGGCGTTGGGTTTTTGTTGCAATTTTTAAAAGTTGATTTGAAGAAATGTTTTTCAAGAATTGAGATTTTTTTGTTGGAAGTTTTCCGTTTATTTACGACGAAGTTTTTGGGTACTTTAAAATTTCGCTTAGACTAATAATGTATGTAGGCTAGTAAGATTTTTATTTGTTTTCCCATGGGAATTTAGAACCAGTACTTATATGAACTTTACCAAAAGAAAAACTATATAGATATTGTTATTATACCTTTAAAGTCGTTCGTTTTTGTTTCATGAATTTTATTATCAGTACCGAATGTGTTTTGTTGAACTTTTTATACTTATGATAATGTGACTGAGCATGGACCTAATTATTTAATTGACCTCTCTATTGACTGACTGTTTAGCCCATTTTCTGTCTGCTTACCCCGTTTAGGGACTAAATACATAATGTTGTACGATATGAAAAATACATTATATGTAATATTTTGGTCCTACGTCTTTGAGAAAGAAATTGCTTTTCATAATGTTACATTTTGTGTTATGTGTGGATAAGAGTTAAAATCGATATATACCCTGTCGGGTACAAAGCTTTATTAATATTAAATTGTAAAACCATATTAAATAGGTTTTTTTCTAATTCTAATAATATTATTATTCCTTTAGGACATCCTCCTATCCTTGGCAAAGGCAGTGGCCAACACCACAGCCGCGTTGGTGCTGAAGGCAAAGAATGTAGCCGCGCAGTGCAGGGAGGACCAGCCCTTGCAGAACTCCATCATTGCGGCAGCTACGCATTGCGCGCTGGCTACTAGTCAGCTAGTTGCATGTGCTAAGGTAACTACGAGAATTCTTATCATGTAATTTTAAAAAATGATGACCTATATTAGTATTTTCTCCTGTGTCGTAAACATTTGTGTATTTTTGTAAAGGCGCCCCCTTTACAAAAATACACAAATGTTCCGTGCGGAAGTCGAAACCTCGACACTTTGCTCGGTAGCCATTAGCCCAGACATTCTTTAAACCCGCCTTAAGAGGGAGTTTATTGCGACGCAATGCGCAAATCTTATCTGCTATTTGATACAGATTTGTATTTCTGCAATTTGTGCAATTTCTTTTTAAGGCAACCTTTTTTTCCATTTAAGTATTTTATAATGGTGGGATGTTACGCATGGTTACATTATTGTATCATTTTTTCGTTATAATTTTATTATTGTCATTAATGATGGTCACAATTGTCAAGTATTTAGCGATTGTTTCGTTGTCGATGTCAAGACTACTGAATGAGACTTGAGCTCAATCATTTTTTGTTTTGTATTAATTACTCAGTTGTGTGATCAAGAAGGAACTGATATAAAACTCATGTCCGTTCCCCATTGACCACTTACTAACAATGATGACGAAAAATACTTGCACTTCTCAGTCCATCAATTCGTAAAATCATGTTTCTTATGAAGTTGCTTTTAGATTAGATGTAAATTTACTTATCTCCTTGTACCTCCCCGCAGGTGGTAGCTCCAACCCTGCAGAACCCGCAATGTCGGTCGCAGCTGTCCCACGCAGCGCGTCAGGTGGCCAGCGCAGTGCAGCGCCTGCTGGACGCTTGCAGCGGGGCTCCGCCCCCGGCGGCCCCCGCCGTCGAGTCTCTCACCGCCGCCGCGCATAACGTCACCCAGGAGTTGGAGAGGCTGTTGGCGCATTGTGAACTAGGTCAGTACTATATCATCATTTTGTCTGTACAGACAAACTAGCCTACTAAAGATATGTGTGAATTCTCAATCTTACTGGGGCAACCCATTTGTGGGAGACCAAAACCGATTTGCTATCACTAATAGAGAAGGTTTTCACTTAATATGTACGGCTCATAGCTTAGTACTTATTTTGGTGAGTTGACGGTAAACCACAGTAAAGCACAAGAAATAGTTTATTTCTTAGAAGTAGGTACAAATAAATTCGAGAGATGATCTCCGGCCACCGTAAGCGCGGGTCTGCGGTCAGTAAGGGCAGCTCGCCGCCCGACCAGAACCAGGCCCGAGCGTACGGCACAAATTATATTACAATATACACAACGGTACAAATTATGCGTTTGTACGGAACCGTACAAACGCATAATTTGTACGTTTCACGGTTAGCTCGTAACTGGCTAATGTATAAGACCTACTGCCTATAACGAATACTTCTAACTACTTTGTATACATAAGCCGTAAGCCTACCTTATCATAATAAATAAATCATTATCATCACATCAGCTACAAAGGCGTCCATTGCTGATCAGATCATCAGATGGATGTTAGTATTGAAGACATAGGCCAAGATTTGGACATTATCTTTTGTCGTGTGTCAGTCTGTCGGTCTTTTCCACAGTGAAGCTATTTACTCATTACAAAATGTAGATTCCGATGGAGAAGAACGAGTAAAAAACTCAACGGTTATAGAGTAACCAATTCAATCAGATTATTTTTAAATTATTAAGTTTATTTTTTTAATTATTAAGTGCATTTGGAATTGAGATTGAGCCTTTGTCAACCTCATTCACATTTTGTGTCGAAGCACATCGGTTTTCTATGGGTCAGAAGTCGAGCTTGATTTAAAACACTCTAGATTTGTATATGTCCTGATCTATGTAATTTATTTGGGAAGTCATAAGATGTATTCCGCCCGCAGAGCGTCGCGTGACGGGGACAGTGTCGGAGCGTTCCGTGGAGAGCGTGATGTGTGCGAGCGAGCGCGTGGTGGCGGCGGCGGAGGCCGGGGACATGGTGCGCCACGCCAGGCTGCTGGGGCAGGCCACCGCGCATCTCATCACCACCATCAAGGTCACTCTTACTATAACTCATATATAATTATATACGTACTTTTGTAACTCAAAATAGAATAGTAGTCTGTCAGTCTGTTCCTCAGTGGAACTAGGCACCACCACCACTATACCATTATCGGGGACCATTCATATAATGATAATACGACAAACGACCACACGGATTACTTGATGGTAAGCAATCGGTGCCGCCCATGGACACCATCAACATCAAAGGAATTACGAGTGAAGACAGTCAAGGAAATCTCAAAAACAGTTTTACTTCTCCATGCAAAATGATCAATCAGCTGTTGCGAGTTGTATCATCATCAGCCAATAATGCTGTACAAAGGCCTCTTTTCGCACGGAGAAGGTTGAGCATTAATCAAAGGCAGATTGGTGATTTCATATTATTTAGTTAGAAATCATAATTCCAAGTTTCCTCAGGATGTTTCCCTTCACTGTATGCCAGTGGTGTCTGAATAATCATAGAAAATACAGATAACTCGGAAACAGTCTCATTGGTTTGTACTTGCTAGGTTTTGAACACGCACCTTCATGCATGAGAAACAGGCGCCTTAACCTCCGGGCTACCACGACCTTTCGCTATTTGGATGAGGGAATAAATTTATTTTTATATATTAATAGATGAATAACTTTAAAACATGTTATTGGTTGGTACAGACGGAGGCGGAGAAGCAGCCGTCGGAAGGTCAGCGCAAGTTGCTGGCGGCGGCCAAGTTGCTGGCCGACGCCACCGCGCGCATGGTCGAGGCCGCCAGGCAGTGCGCCTCCGAGCCACAGGTACCTTGTTTCATTTATTTACTATCTATAAGCTTATTACTCCTGTGTGTTTAGACAAGACGTAACAAATTTGCCTACATTGGGTAGTTTCCTAAGTCAGACATAAATTTGACGTTTCAATACAATAAAATGTTGAAAAATAACTATACTTTTATTGATCGATTGATCGATACACTAAGTTATAGATATTTTTTAGCTATTTAATAAAAAAATAGGTAAGCTATCTGACGCAAAAATACAATGACGTCATAATTCGAAGCTTCATAAAAAAGTTATATAGTAGTTGTATTATTTTTGACCTTTGGATAAAAGTACTGAATTTGACTAGTTGAAAACTACAGAATTTTGTTGATAGTTGCGCCACAGTTTCTGACTACTGCAGCTATCATCGTTACTTATAATATTACTACGTACATTATTAAGTTCCAAATAAATACTTTTATTATTTATTATAATTAAAGAATTCATTGGTTTTGAGTTTTTTATTGATACAAACTAAAATTAATTGTTTCGGAAAAGTACTCGAATTATATCCGATATTTTAGAACGATTTAATTCTATGGTACCTAGCTTGAGAAAGTAAGAATTAAAGTATATTTTATATAGGTATAGATGAAAATATGAATTTGCTTTTTTCTTCAAAATAAATTCAATTAGTCTTACATGGTACTCGTGAAATGGTGAAAACTTGTCATCACGCAAGTTTTCCACCTCTTCAGAAGTTGATTAGATCCATTTGATTAAAGAAGTTTACTCATAAAAACATAAACAACGTGTATGACACGTTATAAAAAGCGTTTTAAACCGAGCCTTCGAAACTTTGAATATTTTCGAAACTAGTAAAAATGTGTAAGCTAATTAAAAAGCAGTGTTTTTAATTTCTCTTCCGTCTGTTAATTAACCAGGACCGAGAGAAGCAAGAAGCTCTCCGCAAGGCGGCGGAGGAGTTGCGCTACATCACTGTGGACTACGCGCAGGGACAGGACATCGTCGGATCACAGGTCGCGCGCTTACAGGTCTGTACTTAGTTCTTAGATTCGTCCACGCATATCTAAGGATTGGAATGGAATAGTTTGTCTGCAACGGTCTTCCCGTCAAGTTATGATTTAGGTGTCTAAGAGTGAATAGGCTCTTAATAAACTATTGCATCACTGCTTACCATCAGTTGGGATTGCAGTCAAGCACTAGATTATATGATAAAAGACAAATTACAGTGTGTTATTTTTTGCATCCAATCAAAGAGCTATATTTTCTTTGGCTAACTAGATTTCGCTAATCAATTAGTTTATCCAATCGGAGCAGAACTATCAATAAAATGTCATCGATTGGAGTAACCAATCGATGACTACTAACTACTACTAACCTCATCTAGTGAGCGAAAAACGGTATACGGTCCTATAATAAATTAAAACATTAAAAACTATAATTTTCTGTGACGTTTGTTTGAGATCGTATCAGCTTATTTTTGAAACCTAAACATTTATTCGAGAAATTCTACTACTAAGTTTATTGTCAAATTAATGAATGAAGTTTGTATTTCGTTTTGAATATTGTAAACCAAAAATAATTTATTTAGTAACCGATGTAATGTTTCTGTTTTATTTGGTTCCAACAGGAGAGCGCCCGCCAAGCCGCTTCAAGCGCGACCCAGTTAATAACATCAGCCCACAACGCCACGCAGTACAACACCAACAAGTATACACAGGTAAACCAATTAGTTTTTTATTAAATCCCACACTATGATTTTCTCCTGTGTCGTGGGTGCGTTTACAAACATACAATTTCACATACACAACACACCCAGACACAGAACAACAATTTGTGGTTCACTCAAGGACTGCATTTGTGTTGAGTTTTACTATTGCTGATGTCAATGGGCCTTACTTAGTACTTACAAATCTCTAAATCAATCAGAATTAATCAAAAAATGCTCTATGTTTCATAACTTCTGTAGTTTCTTATAAATTTATGCCTTCAGCTCAGACACCCTTGCACTTGTGCTACAAAAAAATATATCGATCCGTTCAATAGTTTTTGCGTCAAAACGTACCAAAATTACAATAACTAGTTTTGTGCCGTTTCACCTACTCTTCGGTCGCTATTGAGCATGGCGTGATGTTTGATTGCCTATAGTATTCTTCCATAAATTTACTATTCAACATAAAAAAGTTTCCAATTCGAACTAGCTCTTCCTGAGATTAGCGCGCTTTTATAGACTCTTCAGCTATACAATAAGGGTATACATAGACATTCAAGAAGTATGTTAGTTTTATATGTTTGATTGCATTGTGTAACAGGAAACGTTGATAGAAGAATGCAAGTCGCTAAACGAGCAGATCCCCCGCGTGGTGGACGCCGTGAAGGTGTCCAGCCTGCGCCCCGCCGACCCCGCCGCCCAGCTCGACCTCATCTCCGCATCCGAGGCCTTCCTACAGGTCCGTTACTTACATATGTTTGTTCATAACCTCATCCAAGCTAGCGTATTTCCTTTACTGTTGATTTGTAGTTCATTCTTTCAATTAAATGGAATATGGTATATTAAATCAACTAAGATATATTACAATATATTATGACTAACAGAAATATTCTCTTTTTGTATAAAGGCTGTCTTTTTAAACAAACATCAAGAAGTTTCGTTATTATTTATCATACCAATGATGTCCAAATATTTATTATTTAGAAGCTACCTAGCTTGATCAATAAGTTAATTAGTATAATAGCATGTATAGTTTTTTTTTTCATGAAATCATACTTATTTGCTAAGTCATGTTTTAACAAAATCTGCGAGATATAATGCGTTTCTATTCTCTATATAAAATACTTTATCATAAAACGTTTTTCTTCGTACAGCCGAGTGGGCACGTGATAGCGGCGTCCCGCGGCGCGCTCCCAACAGTGGGCGACGGGCCCACGGCCAAACACCTCGCCGACACCACGCACTCCTTCACCACCAGCGCTGCTGACCTACGGTATGTTGCATTGCTCTCATTCATCATACATCATCAGCCTATAAGTGCCTACTACTGAGCAAAGACCTCTTCTCATAAGGAGGTTTGAGCATTAATCACTACGCTTCCTCGAGGCGGATTGGCGATACTGTGTAAAAATGTTTCTTGTATTGCATAGTTTGAATGTTATTATTACAGGATGAATTTTCCATCAAAATAATTGACTTTTATCCTTGTTATATATTTTCTACATAGTGGTTTAGTAGTATTTCTAATTTACAGCGCACAACAGTTCATAGTTCTTTATACACTTTAGCCATATTGTTTGTCCAGGATACAGCAAATACATCAATTTTTCATATAACTTACTTATCTCAATTCTTCTACGAAAGAGTTCGGCTTGTTTCGATCACATCTGCAACTCGTGATCATAAAGCATACATAGAGATATAGGAACACAGAAAGCGACTTTGTTTCATAATACGTAGTTATAAGCAAATACAAATTGTCCACAGGTCAGCAGTGGGTCGCGCGCGTATATCCTGCAAGGGCCTGGAGCTGGATGCTGCAGCTGAGATCATAAAGTCGCTGCAGGCAGAGCTTGACGAGCTGGAGGAGGCTGCCAGGGCGTTGGAACTCAGGCCTCTACCCTCGCAGACGGTCAGTCAGACAATTGGGTAGTTTCCTAGGTCAAAAATAAATTAATTCGACGTTTTAATACGATAAAATATTGAAAAATAACTATACTTTTATTCATCGATCGATCGATACACTAAGTTTTAGATATTTTTAGCTAATTTTTTAAAAATAAGTAAGCAATTTGACGCAAAAATGGTATGACGTCATAATTCAATGTTTCATACAAATTTCATAGAAAAGTATCGTTTTTGACATTTGGATAAAAGTATTGAATTTGACTAGTTGTAAACAACCGTATTATTATTAGTAGATATAGCGGCAAGTCAAGTTAGACAACATGTGCTAATAGACCACCACAGACGGGGCCCTATAGGGCTGATTCAGTCGGGGTTGCGGGGGAAGCGCAATGAGGCACCGCGACCTCGGTTTAAAGTTGGAAAAGGAAAGGGGAGCGGGGGGTAAGTCAGTAAGAGTTCGAAATTTTTCGCCTCACCTGTGTGGGAGAAGTCAATGGATTTTTTCATAACAAAAAAAAGTTTGACGATATACAGACGGGATAATACCAAATGAAGTGAGATTAGTCCCTTTTTTAAATGTTGATAGTAAACTTGTAACTGTCTTGATGTTGTGGGTGTTTACACTGCATGGGTGGTTTTATAATCAGGCAATTCGTTTGATTTTTTGGTCCTTTGGCTTATAAGACAATGATCTAAAATTTCAATGAATTGGTATAGGAGCTATGATTCTCATAGCGTGGCGTTATCTTGCAAGAAAGGCCTGTTTAGCTGTTTTTAATTGATTATATTTTTTATGTAGTGGTAAACTAGATAAGGAGTGATGTAATTTTGAGTAGAGTCGGATCAGTCTTGTTTGTCTTCTGTGACAGTACAGCTATTAATTCTACTAAACCATTCTCATTGTACAAACTTGTTAAGTCTATTTCAATCATTTGATTTGTCTAATGTTTTCCTTGAGGCCACCCGAGTAACATCCACCTCGGCAATTTGTATAGATAATATTTTCTGTAACTGTGATTATTTACAAAGTGAAATTGTAAATAGATTACCATCTGATCACAGTGGGCTCACAGTTAACTTTAATACTATAACAACTGTGCCAAAAAAGGAAATATTGTTTAGACAAATCACATTGATTCATTAAAAAATAAGCTAAAACATGAATTATGCAGCCAAGTACAAGACAATAATTGCCCGAGTGAGATATATGCTAATTTATTATCCCTTATAAAAATACAATTCGATAAACTATTTCCTTTAAAACGTAAAAATATTCAGTGTAAATTTGTATTCTGTGACTGGGCTACACCAGGTATTCGTATAAGTAGAGACAGGTTATTTGAGCTATACGGCCTTAAACCATTTAATAGTAGCGAGGCTTTTCGCAGACATGTTTCCAAATATTCAAAAATATTTAAAATAGTATGTAAGCATGCTAAGTCGCTCCACATTAGTAATAAAATCAGGACCGCGGAAACCAAAATGAAAGCTACCTGGAATATAATTAATAAAGAAACAGGTAGAAATAAATCACAAAACACTGAATTGAATTTAAAAACCGAAAAGGGATATACTAGTTCAAATTCGTCAGTTGCCCAGGAATTCGAAAGATTCTTTAAAAATATTCCTATTAAAACTACGGAAACGTAAAATCATCTCCAGCTCTTTATGTCGAGCTTCTCAGGGGTAACGTCAAAGAATGTCCTTCTGACTTTAGCTTTCAATACACAACCCCCCAGGCAGTAATAAAGGCGTTCAATGAGATCAAAGTAAAGTCAACTGAAGATCTTTGGGGAATGTCTGTTCGAGTGTGCAGGTCGTTTATAGAGACAATTGCGCCGAACTTAACTTTCATTTTTAATAAAAGTGTAGATCAAGGGGTTTTCCCGGATTTAATAAAATTTTTAAATCAGGTGATAGTACAGAACCTAATAACTATAGGCCGGTCTCTATTTTGCCAGTGCTCAGTAAAGTGTTCGAAAGGTTGATGCTTACTCAAATGCTGCGTCACTTTAACACGAATTCTATTTTCCATGACCATCAATACGGGTTCACCAAAGGACGTTGCACTACGGACGCAGGAGTATCACTTATAAAACAAGTTTTCAACTCGTGGGAAAAAGCACAGGATGCCATCGGAATATTTTGCGACCTTTCAAAGGCTCAAGTGCTCTCGTGCTCAACACAGTCGAATGACTGTGTTGAGCACGACACGCTGTTACTGAATCTAGAACACTACTGCATTCGGGGGGTATCCCTAGATTTATTGAAATCATACCTTCAAGAAAGAAAAATTAAAGGGTGCTAGCGTATCTATGGGCGTACCGCAGGGCTCAATATTAGGTCCTTTTCTATTTTTAGTTTATGTAAATGACCTGCCCCATATGTTCCAAAATGAACCGCATATGGTATTATTCGCTGATGACACTTCATTGATTTTTAAAATAAATAGACGAACAAACAAATATGACGAAGTTAATAATGCCTTAATGAAGGTTCAAAATTGGTTTATATTTTTTGCATTAGATTTATTTTACCAAATGTTAAAAGTAACGTATGTGATGATATATTATTAAATGATCAGAAACTAGAATTTGTAAAAGAGACTACTTTCCTGGGGATTACTGTAGATGAGAAGTTGCAATGGGGGCCCCACATCAGGTCTCTAGCAGGACGATTGAGCTCTGCAGCTTATGCTGTCTGGAAGATCCGTCAGCTAACCGATGTAGGCACGGCAAGACTAGTGTACTTTAGCTACTTTCACAGCATCATGTCGTATGGAAGTCTGTTGTGGGGACAGGCATCCGACGTTGAGTCTATTTTTATCTTGCAAAAGCGTGCCGTCAGAGTTATAATATGGTTGAGTTGGGCGGTGCTGGTGTACGTGTCATGTTCGTGAACGGGCGCCGCCTATTGGGACTGGTCAGCTCCAGGCTGTCTAATATGTTGTCCTTGAGGTTAACTTCTTTTTCGTACTTTTGCCTGAACATTAGTGTTACATTGTTCTCACATATCAGAACCGACTAAATGATGTAACAAAGATATATATTGTAAAACTGATTGAAAAAGAGTAACCATGGAGTTTTCTGCTCGTTCTTCTCCATAGGAATCTACACTTTGGAACGAGCAAATAGCTTCACTAGAGGACAGACGGACAGACTGACACGCTTGATTTTAAAGCTCTTGTTATATACTTTTTGCCTTTTTAGCTTGTTTGACGTTCAAAAGTGCCTACTGTGGTCTAATTGAAATAAATGGTTTTTGACTTTGACTTTAATAATGTGTCGTGTACGGTGTCCAGGCGGAGTGGGCGTCGTCTTTGCTGCAGACGTCGTCTCGTCAGACAGCGGCGAGCACGGCGGCGCTGGTGTCGGGCGCGCGGCGCGGCGAGCAGGCCAGCTGCGCGCGCGCCGCCGGCGACATGGCGCAGGCGCTGCGAGACTTCAGCGCCGCCATACGCGCCGTCGCCGCGCTGCAACACGACGCCCAGCGCACGCAACAGTAATATACTTTCTACTAGAGCCTTTATATCCCTCAACAGTCCCTATTGCAAAATATATATTTTTAATCCTATAAACTAGTGCTTCACTGCAATCTCATCTGATGGTAAGCAGTGATGCAATCGTTGAGGGTAAGACATTTATTAAGAGTCTATCCATTTCGTAACTATCAGAAAACGAAGAGTATCATCTCCTAATATTATCAACCCTTCGCTTGGCAGTTAGTCAGAAATTTTATCTTATATAAAGTTTTTATCTCAATATTGTATATTATTCCCTCCCCCAGAGTGATAACGTCAGGTCGCCAAGTCCTGTACTCGTCGCAGACTCTAGTGGAACACGTGAAGCGATGCCTCACTACCTCCGAAACTGTGGACACCGCCTCCATCATGTCCATCGCTAAGGATATCTCACAGGTTTGTACCTTACTATTATAAGTGTGTGGGAGCACGAATGGGTCGGTTCGACCAGAATGATACCACGGCCTCACAAAAAACCGGCGTGAAACAACCACAGCGCTATGTTTCGCCGTGTGAGTGAGGTTATCGGAGGCCTAATCCTTACCCTCCGCCCATCCCTTCCCTATCCTTAAATACCTGAAGCCCTTATCCCATATAAACAAATAGCTTCACTAAGAGGACTGACCGACAGACTGACACGATATCTTCAAAATTTTTTGTGAATGAATAAATGATTTTTGACTTTTTGACCAAAAAGACTCGCAATGCACTTGTAACGCCTTTGGTATTGCGGGCGTCCTGGGGCGTCGCCGCCGTCGAGCCGAGGCCGAGGTTTAACAAAACAAATTTACTTCCATAATGTATTAAAGTGTATATAAAACTTAATTTTGTTATCATACCAGGGTCTGGAGGCAACCCTGGAAGCGGTACCATCACACACGGAGCTGGACGTGGCCATGGAGAACATCAACGAGACCCTCAACATACTCAACATGGGAGAGTTCCCGCCCTCCGACAAGAGCTATGGGTTAGTTATTATTTATTGTATTTCCTAAGATTTTATTTTAGTTTAATGTACATTTGTAAATAAAAAAATTCACAAATACTGTTAATCTTAAGAATCCATTTATTATCATTCAGCTCAGATTCATGATAACGAACTTTCTTCTTTTTTCGCCATTTTTTTCATTCACACCTTTTTTTATATGCTTTCTGTGATTAGGGGAATATCTTCTATGCAAACATACAATGTTTATAAGAAAATCAAAAGATAAAATGGTTCTTTACCCCTAGAATTCTAAAATACAATTGAAATGAGTCAATATATTTTCTATGGTGTCCTATATACCGTCAGCCAACAGGTTACTTATGTGTAGTATATTGAAAAGAGTTTAGTACGTATGAATGGTGTGTGATGAAGTCCCGTTTGTATTGGCAGCGAGCTTCAGTCGGAGCTGAACGCGGCGGCGGTGGGGCTGAGCAGCGCGGCGTCGGACGTGGCGCAGAGCGTGGACAGCCCCCCCGCGCTGGCCGCCTCGGGCGCCGCCTTCGGGGGGGCCTTCAACCGCCTCCTCGGGGTCAGCATGGAGATGGCCGGACACACTGAGGTAACATCTCCACAAAAATATAAATAAACTATTTCAGGACTGACAATGGGATCGGGTCAGGAGATCAGGGAAGTAAAGGAACTTCTTTTTTACTTTACTGAGGATAATCGTGATGGCTCAAAAACATGTCATGCACGTGAAAATGCGGTGTCTTTCGACAGCCTAGCATGTATCAATGTAACTTTTTCCGAGTTATATGTAGTTACTTTCTATGATTATTTAGACAACACTGACATACAGTGAAGGTAAACATCGCGAGAAAACATGGACTTGTAATTTCTTATTATAAGTTTGAAATCGTCAATCCGCCTTCAGCCAATATGATAATTAATGCTCAAATTAATGCTAGAAGCGTAGTTATTAAAAGTAATTATTGCTTCTCCATGTGAGAAGAGGCTTTTGTTAAGCAATGAACACTTATCGGCTGGAATATTCTCGAATCTACATTATGGAAGGAGTACCTTGTTACCTACAGATTATTCTTTTGATTATATAGTATAGTTTAGACTTTAGCCAAGTAATGTACTATTTGAATTTGTTTCCCCCTTAGGATCGCGACACACAGACTCTGATGGTCAGTTCTATGAAGAGCGTGACCGTCAACTCATCTAAGCTGCTCGGTACTGCCAAGTCTGTCAGCCAGGTATTTATATACATACATACTTTTACTATGTATCGAATATCTTTTATCAAATAAAAAAAAAACATTTGTTATTTTTGACAATGCTAGTCTCTGAGCTCCTGTTTCGAATTTTCAAAGTTTATTTTTCTGTTTAATTTTTTTTTTATATAACATGTTCTTTTTAATCTTTTGACGGCTATAAGACAAACTAAATATATTTAATAACGACTTTTTCTGATCGTTTGTGCTCGACATAAGCAAAATAGCATATGTTCCGATTGTCGTTTATTTTTGACTAGCTTTGGCTAGCGATTTTGTTAGTTGCTTATTTACTTATATTTTAACTACGAATTACAATACGATCTGCGTACAGGAATCGATCTGTTCAAACGTCAATATAATAGCTATTAAAGCTACAAAACATATTTGATTTGATTACTCACAGGACCTGACTCGTCCCAACGCCAAGAACCAGCTAGCAGCGGCCGCCCGAGCCGTCACCGAGAGCATCAACCGATTGGTGAGTGAATGAATGAAATTATTAATTCATTTTGCAAATAGGCTGTAAAATTGTAATTTTACTCCAAAATTATATAAAAAAAAACTAGATGAAGCCGGCATTTCCTATCTGAGTACTCTGAGAAGAAACTCCGAAACAAACTCAGAGGTCCTTTTTAAGTCCAGACAATTTTAAAAAATATATAATGTGTGGGAACCGTGCCAGTTCCTTTCATAGTTTTCTTTTGTGAAAAGAACTACACCTGTTTAATAATGTTATGTTGGTTAACCTATAATTGGCAGCTGTGTAATGTGTAGTCATGTCAAAAATTGAACTTTAAGCTTTATCTACACAGAAGTTCCTTTAAGATTGCGTGGTTGGTGCGGTGGAAGAACTGTTTTTGTGATTCAAAATTAGTTTTCCCGGGTGTGTGTGTGACGTGTATGTTGCCCAGGTGGACGTGTGCACGGAGGCGGCGCCGGGCCAGAAGGAGTGCAGCGCGGCCATCCGCAGCATCCGCAGCACGGCTGCGCTGCTCGCCGCCGCCGACCAGCCTCTCTCCGAGCTCGGCTACTTCGCCTGCCTCGACGCCGTCGTCGACCACAGCAAGTCGCTCAGTCAGTACAACCGTCTTTCTTCTAACGTACCACTTACTCACCTCGATTGACTGAGAAAGGTCTACTAGTATCAAGTCAAAGTTTTGAAGTAAAAAAGTTCGATCAATTTAAAATCACAGTTATATACAATAAGAGTTAATTCATAAATAGCGCGCGTGTTTTTCCAGTTAATACACATTAGTAATATGTCTTGATAGTTTACTATACACAAATCTACATTGTCACTATCATACCAGCCTCTCTCAACTTTTACAAAATAAGTATAATGATATCATATTTATTACGATTTCATACAAAAATCATAGAAAAGTATATTTTTGACATATCAATAAAAATATTGAATTGTATTTGTCGGAAATCACCAAATTATTTATATAACTAAGTAAAATATTCTCGTCTATCTCTGCAGAAATTAAATTTGACTAGTTTTTTTTTGCAAATCGGCCATAAATCGACACTTTAACACATCAAATTATACAAATAAACTAGATGAAGCCGGCATTTCCTATCTGACTACTTTGATAAGAAATGCCGAAACAAACTCAGAGGTCCGTCTCTTTAGACACTATGATACTAACTGTTAAATCCTTCCCCCCCTTAGGCGAGGGTATGTCCCTGATGGCGAGCTCGGTGAAGCGCAGCGAGGCGGAGCAGTTCAGCCGCGCCGTGGGCACCGTCGCCACCGCCGTGCAGGGGCTCGTCGAGTGCACTGCGCAGGCTGCATACCTGGTACTCTAGCTTACACTCCCATCTACGTCAACAGCTTCTTTTCAGCCCACCTTCAGTAGTTAAGTCGCTAAGATAATATAGAGACAGATTGCATATTTATTTATTTTTATATCACTTTATGCATAACATACAAGAAAGTTCATGCCAAAAAGCATTCTCTAAGTGTCGAGAAGTGTTATAATTGGTTCTATTGGTATCTATTTTGCATATCTCGTAGTAACTTAACCATCTTAATCTCTCCATATCCAATAATTGGTGAAAAGATGTTTAAAAACAGATTTATTGATTATTTAGGTCCAAAACATAACATGTGAAAAAATCCTGACTTCATATTTCGTTTATACCATAAACAAGTCTAGTTTTTTCGCAAAAATGATTATTATTTATCGCCTTTAATATAAATCATAAATATAGATGTGTGATGACAAAAATGTAGATTTCTTAACTATTATTATTAACAACAAACAAAATAACTTTTAATCAGACTCACAATAAAATACTCAACTAACACCATTTTTCTTTTGTATAGCTAATAATAACTTCCATACAAAAGTAGATAAATCTTCATTGATCAACCTGTCCTTGCCTGTCTCCCTAGGTGGCAGTATCAGATGAGACCAGCGTGGCCGGCAGACCAGGTCTAGTAGACCAGGCTCAGTTTGCCCGCGCCGCAGTGGCCATAGAACAGGCCTGTCGCGCACTCTGCGATTCTTCCAGCAACCAGCAACAGGTACATACATTTTATCATCATCAGCCTATAAGTGCCTCAGAACAGGAGAAAGAGGGGGTTTTTAGGTAGAAAGAGTCTGACAATCCCTCCCGTCCGACCCTGTAGGGGTGGGAGTGTCAGAGATGAAGTCATTTGGTGATTTTCTTCTCACAAAAAAACCCTTTATGTGCCCACTGCTGAGCAAAGGTCTATAAACGATTGGGTAGCGGTCTAATTATGATGCTGTCTGTCGCGTCAGAATGTTTGTATAGCGGCTGATTTTACAATAGTCAGATAAATGTTATCTGAGGAATAAAATTGTTGCTGTCACTGTCTTATACAAACATTCTGTAAGTCTAACCATTGAAAAATCAGCTTATAGACAGCGATTTAATTCCTCAGATAACATTTATGTGAGTATTGAAAAAGCCTTGAATGTATGTTCGTGTGGTTGAGGTCCTGTCTGCGGCGACGGTGATAGCGAAGCACACGAGCGCGCTGTGCAACGCGTGTCGCGTGGCGTCGGGGCGCACGGGCGACGCGCGCGACAAGCGACACTTCGTGCAGGCCGCCAAGGACGTCGCCAACTCCACCGCCGCGCTCGTCAAGGACATCAAGGCGCTCGACACCGACTACAGCCAGGTATGGACAACATCAACTCAATTCATCATACACAATCGCCTAGTTTTCTAGGTCAACAATAAATTAATTCGATGGTTCAATACATTAAAATAAAATATTGAAAAATAACTACCGTTTTATTCATCGATCTGTCGATATTTTTTTAAGAAATGATTCATCCATTCTATTTTACGCAAAAATACTATTACGTCCTAATCTAATTTAAAGTTTCATACATATTTCATAGCAAAAGTATTGAATTTAACTAGTTGGGAAACTACCGTTCTTATACAGATCCTAGCGTAGCTTAAAATCATTCGACTTACATAGTCATACAGTTTGAGCAAGTTAATATTTAAAAAATAATGTTATTTCTACAGGAAAACCGTGCCCGTTGCGCGGCGTCGACGGGTCCCCTGCAGGACGCAGTGCGCAGCCTGTGTCAGTTCGTAGACAGTCCCGAGTTCGCGTCCATTCCCGCCAAGATATCGCCACAAGCTAGGAACAACCAGGAAGCTATATTGGAGTGTGGCAGGTTCGTATTTTATTATTATAAATTTGTTTTTCCCGTGACTTTACTATAACTTAGTAAGTGTGAACTTAGGTAGGTACTATAATAACACTTCTTTCTTCATAATTATTATTCTTTTTACCCTACTACGGCAAAGCAAAAGAAGGGTTATGTCTAAATTATGTTTAAAAGTACATATAACCCGGAACAGTCACATTGGTACTTGCCAGGTTTCGGAATCGATAAGATATATTTATTTAGTAAAACATGAGTTATTACAATGAAGGTGTTTTTGGTATATACCTATATCGAACCTTGAGTGTGAGAAGCTAATGCCTAAAGTCTTCACTTTCGGGCTAACACGCCATGTAATTCTTTATACTTCCTAGCAGTGACCAGGTTAGATATGGTATGAGTTAATGTACATTCTGTCTCCCAGGAACATAATCTCAGGGTCGTGTTCGATGCTGGAGTCGGCCCGGCTGCTGGGCGTGTCCCCGGGCGAGCGCTCGCACTGGCAGCAACTGGCGCAGCACAGCAAGACTGTCTCCGACAGCATCAAGGGGCTCGTCGCCAACATCAAGTACGTCACTTACTATGCTCACTTATCTCAATAGCATACCAATACCATGGACACCGTAAGCGCGAGTAAGGGTAGCTCGCCGCCCGACCAGAACCAGATACGAGCGTACGACGATTAGAGCCAATAGACCACCACAGACGGGGCCCTATAGGGCTGATGTTTAGCCGGGGCTGCGGGGTAAGCGCAATAAGGCAACGTAGCCTCGGCCTACAGCAGGAGAAGGAACAGGGGCGTTTTAGTCAGAATCTGACACTCCCTCTCGCTTCATTGTAGGCGGGAGAAGTCATTTGATGATTTTCCCCTGACAATAACTAAACCTTAGGCGAGAGGAGTCAATTTATGGCTTTTCTCAAACCGAAAAAACCTCATCAACATCATCAAGGTTTTCCTCTTTAAAGGCTATCGATGAAGTTCCTTCTTTCATCTCCTTACTAAATAATTTCGTATTCATGTTTTTAACTTAACTTTTAAAGGAAAGAATTGGGCCTTCAGTAACTTCACTTACACGGCGAAACACAACGCTATGGTTGTTTCACTCTAGTTGTCTGAGAGGCCGTAGTCCCACTCAGCAATCAAGAAGAAATTTTTTTCTTCATATTCCGAAAATCCTTATTATGTGATGATAATACCGTTATTACCTATTATAATATTTCAATGATAACCATCTCTCCTCCTTCCCCAACAGAGAGAAGGCGCCAGGTCAGCGAGAATGCCTTGCGGCGCTGGAGACCCTCAACCGACAGCTGCGGGAACTGGACCAGGCTGCCATGCAGGCTGTTGGCCAGGAACTACTGCCCAGGAAGAATAATACGCTGCAAGGTTAGTCATTACTACTTTAGGATATTCGAGCATGCTCGTTTAGTTGCGAGTCATACCGAGGCCCTTAATCAAAAAGTGTGTTATTATTATTGGGCACTTTGTGATTATAACGATCATGTAGGTAGTAAAAATCCAAATCCAAAGTAATATAATAAATGCTAAAGTAACTCTGTCTGTCTGTCTTTTCTTCACGCCTAAACTACTGAACCGATTTCTGTGAAATTTAGTACAGACATAGTTTGGAACTCGAGAAAGGAGATAGGATAGTTTTTATACCAAAAATCTGCAGGCAGTCCAGTCAGTCAGTTACGGAGTCGCGGGTAAAAGCTAGTAAAGTAATAATTATAATCTGTGTACTCTAATATACTATTTGAGTTTTTTTTCCCGAAAAATGATGATGACAAATACAAGACAATGTTTTACGAGTACAACCATATAATAATGTTACGTGCCTGACGTCACGTTCCTGACTATGCGGGCTTGGGTTACGGGATTGGATAAAATTGAACACTAATACCGGTTTTCAGACTTTCTATTGCACTTAAATGACAGTGTCCACCGAGTTAAGTTTTCGGCGTTCCTCTCCAGCAGAGTCCGAGCGACTGACACAAACTTCCGTTTGCCGCTCACAGTTCACGCTGACTTTCACTTAACTCACTGCACTTCACTATTTCACTCACTTTTCTTCCGAATCGCTTTGGACTTAGAACTCAACTGCCAGCGGTGAGCCGCAGTTCTGCTTATATACCCCCGGTTAGGTTCTGGAACATTCAATTTCATTATTCTTTTTGATCGTCATGCCTCCAGAACCTTCCAATAATTTCGTTATTCATTTTTATTTATTCTCCTTCTCACTCTTTAATTTTTCATATCTTTCACACAAATAATTCCAGAAAGTTCGACAAAACTTCTATCAACTAAAAAACTTCATGTTTACGGCGGGACTCGAACTCGGGGTCTCTGTGGTGTAATCCACACGCCTTACCGATTACACCAACTCGTGTTGACAATTCACGACGAAATTTACAATCTCTAGGCAACGTTTGACAACCATCCATTGACGTCATGATGTCAAAGAGTTTGAACCACTTTTCCGTCGCAATATGTATGAGATATTATACAAAAAGTAAATTCTTTACTTTTTTTTTACAATATTGCTCATATAATTCTACATAACATTATAAAGTTGAATACTTTGGTTTTTGAACGTTCTAATCTACGAAACTATTAAATCGAATTGCATAATTATTTTTGTGTTAGATAGACCATTTATCAAGGAAAAGACTATAACCCAGTTTCCGAAAGGCTTGTCAATTCATTCATCAACTCACACTGCGATTAATTTAACATGACTGACAACCAACTGGCAGCCCAATTGACACTTGACAAGAGATTTAATAGGAGATTAGTTAATTTTAGTGTTGACAAGCCTTTCAGAAACCGGGCGTATATATAGTATAACATGTCACATATTATAGTAAAGGTATGTAAATAAAAAGTATACCTTCTGATGCAGGTTACACGGAACAGATGGAAAACAGCGCGACAGAAATGCTGGAGCGCCTCGAGCCCCTGCGGGTCGCTGCCAATGGAGAAGCTGAGAACCTTGGACACGCCGTCGTACAGCTGGTCAGTTATTCACTCAACTTTTAGGAATTGTAGCGTAGGGTTAAGGGAAAGAGATACGTGTTTTTTTCTTAATTTGAGACGAATAAGTTTTTTATTATTTGGACAATTTGGTTAATGGAATATTAATAACTAGCTACTCTTGCGCAGTTTTATCCGCTGCACGGCTCCATTTATACGTAGCGTGATGTTTTATAGCCTATAGCACTCAGGAATATTGTAGCTATCGATCAGTGAAATAATTTTGTGAATTAGACTTACTGTCCCAAAGATTACCCCCTACATACAAATTTACTTTTACTTCTTTATAATATGAGTTAAGATAATAAGTTATAATAATTTTTTCCTCTTGTATTTGGGGGGATTGTCTTTGATTAGGATAAGTAAAACATTAAATGCTAATTTGGACACTATTAAAGTGTTAAAGATATTGCTTTCAAGTTAATTCCATTTTAAATAAAACGAGAGTTTTTATTTCGGAAAATATATTTCAGCAATAATTGAAGATTGTCCAAACAATATGTGTCAAAGAGTTAATGAGTGGTTGGAGTAACAATAGTACCATTTTTTGAGAAGGAAAAATCATTCGGCTCTGGGCCGACGCCGCGGTGTTTCATTGCGCTAGCTCCGCAACCCCGGCGACATCAGCCCTATAGGTCCTTGTCTCTTGGCGCTGATTGCTTGAGAGACACATCACTATAGTTCAGAATAACGATATCTATTGTCGTATGGAAATGTCAAGCAGTTGCTTGGGTATGGTCGGTATTTAACGTGGCATCATTGATAGTTGTCAGCTGTCATGCGTTTAGAAATTGAAAGTATTGGATTGAAAAGACGTTACCATAGATTATACACTATAGTTACTTATGAGTTGGACACGGGAGTGAGGGGTCGTTTTGCCAGCCTGTACCGAATTTACCGCGTTTTTGATCATCTCATTTACGATTTTGTTATTATATCATGTCGGACCGGGATTCTAATGGCGATTTACCCGAAATGGGTGAAGTGACCTCCTTATTTATAATATATGTTTGTACAGGTATCGTACGCGGAGCCACTAGTGACGGGCGCGGTGGGGGCGAGCTCGAACCTGTCGCAGTCGGAGACGCAGGCCGCGCTGCTGGAGCACGCGCGGACCGTGCTCGAGACGCTCGCGCTGCTCATGCACGACGCGCGCGCCGCCGCGGGGAACCCACGGGTACTGCCTCATCATCATGTAGCTCATCATCAGCCTATAGGTCGGAGACGCAGGCCGCGCTGCTGGAGCACGCGCGGACCGTGCTCGAGACGCTCGCGCTGCTCATGCACGACGCGCGCGCCGCCGCGGGGAACCCACGGGTACTGCCTCATCATCATGTAGCTCATCATCAGCCTATAGGTCGGAGACGCAGGCCGCGCTGCTGGAGCACGCGCGGACCGTGCTCGAGACGCTCGCGCTGCTCATGCACGACGCGCGCGCCGCCGCGGGGAACCCACGGGTACTGCCTCATCATCATGTAGCTCATCATCAGCCTATAGGTCGGAGACGCAGGCCGCGCTGCTGGAGCACGCGCGGACCGTGCTCGAGACGCTCGCGCTGCTCATGCACGACGCGCGCGCCGCCGCGGGGAACCCACGGGTACTGCCTCATCATCATGTAGCTCATCATCAGCCTATAGGTCGGAGACGCAGGCCGCGCTGCTGGAGCACGCGCGGACCGTGCTCGAGACGCTCGCGCTGCTCATGCACGACGCGCGCGCCGCCGCGGGGAACCCACGGGTACTGCCTCATCATCATGTAGCTCATCATCAGCCTATAGGTCGGAGACGCAGGCCGCGCTGCTGGAGCACGCGCGGACCGTGCTCGAGACGCTCGCGCTGCTCATGCACGACGCGCGCGCCGCCGCGGGGAACCCACGGGTACTGCCTCATCATCATGTAGCTCATCATCGCCATATTACTGCCCACTGATCAGCAAAGCCCTCTTCTCACACGCATCATCATTAATCACCACGGATACAGTTCCCTTGTCAACCAGGAGCGGAATAAAACAACGGACGTCTCAATAGCACAGCGTATATTTGCAGACTGTTACGGCGATGGTGACAATCTTATATATAACAAAATAATTTACTACCACCCACTTAACCTAAATATAAGAACATACATCACAGATTGACGATTTCAAACTTATAGATGTTATAAGTCCAGGTTTCCTCATAATGTTTTCCTTCGCCGTATGTCAGTGGTGTCTAAATACTCATAACTCAGAAAAATCATGTTGATACTTGCCTCGCTTCAAACCTACCACGACGTTAATGTATAACATTGTATGTCAAGCTAAAATAACTATTACTTTCATATATTTTTTAGGACTGCAAACGAACTCACAGTTTACCTGATGGTAAGCAAGGGGCGTCGCTTATGGACTCCTTCTCCACAACGGAAGAATTGCGAGTGACTAACCGACCTTCTGGTGATTAGGAATTTGAAGAGAGAAAAGATTGGACCTCCAGTTTTCAATGAAGTCGTTGTATTACTCGGGTTGAGTCGACCTACCAGCCGAAGCTTGGCTCTCCCACACTTACTTAATATTATCCATTTAAATAATGTTCTCTGTGTATTACCAATAACAGTTAGGACTTATCTCTAATTGAGTTTCAGTAATATAAGTCGATACGTTCCCCCGCAGGCGGTATCAGCGCACAGCAAGGTGGAGTCGCAGGTGTCCCAGTGCCGGGCTGCGCTGGGCGAGCTGCAGGCGCAGGTCCGCGAGCTGAGCGCGGCGCGCGGGGCCGTCGGACCCTTGCTCGACTCCATGCAGCGAGCCATCGCCAGGCTCACCGACCACAGGTACGCTCACTACACATTTCCTTTCCTTTCTTTTTAAAAAATATTGCCCCACACTAGGTTTTTTCCTGTGTCGTGGGTGCGTTTACAAACATACAATTACACATGCACATCACACCCAGACCCAGAACAAGAATTTGTGGATCACACAAAGACTTGTTCCGTGCGGGAATAGAACACGCGACACGTTGCCCAACCACCGCGCCAACCGTGCAGGCATTTTACCCGGCAATGACATTTACATGGTCTTGACTTTAAATGAGACGGACTTCTAATATGGAGATCAATTAATAATAATCTATTTAAGGTGGATTTATCAATATACAGATAAATGTTATCTGAGGAATAAAATTGTTGCTGTCTCTGTCTTATACAAACATTCTGACGCGACAACATTATAATGATTCCCCAGCTAACTTTTAACTAACCATTGAGAAAATAGCCCTAAATGAAATATATAATTATTCACGATGAGTAAATTAATTCACTCAAAACTCACATCAATTACTTTATTCAATACAACAAGAAAATATTTCTACTATATTAGGTAATACCAGTATAGATTTTTAAAAATACTCCTCAATCTTCGATTTTCTCATTTTGACTCCGAAATAACCCTTAGAATCACGTATTTAAATATCGGTCACTTACCAGTCACAGTCACTATATATACAAATGTTTTTTTTTTTGCCAAACCTACCCCACTCAAAACTCAATTCTATTGTAAATACAATAACGTCATCTTGACATAATAGCAACATACAAAACATACTAATAATATATGTATGACTCCAATACTACGGCGACCTTAACCCGCGCAGCTGTACAGCGCATACTGTACTATGTTCTATGTTTTATACTGACACAACTATTTCGGGAACACTGTGTCACATACATTTTGTACTAGTTGCTATCAGCGGCTTTGTTCGCGGTACCAGGTCTACCTTAGCAATGCGTTTCTTTGCCTGAAGAGAGATAAAGGTTAGGAATTCTGTGTGAAAGTCAAAGTCAAAATCATTTATTCCAACTAAACCATAAATAGGTACTTTTGAAACGTCAAAATAAAGCTAGGTGCTCGTTCCAAATAGTAGATTCGAACAAGAAACTTAATCGTAACTCTTTTTAAAAAATAGATAGAGTATAATTATTACGTACCTACTACACTAGGGCGGGTCCCAGCTTCGCACGGGTGCTATTCTGATATTCGTTAATTTCTCCACTATTTAATGGATGTTAATATACATATAAACCTTCCTCTTTAATCACTCCATTTATTAAAAACCCCATCAAATACCGTTGCGTAGTTTTAAAGGTCTAAGCGTACATAGGAATATAGGGACAGAGAAAGTGACTTTGTTTTATACTATATTCCTTCCTCTATGCGTTATTTCAGACTATAATCTACCTCTATGCCAAATTTCATTCAGATGCCTTCAGTAATTTTTCAAGTTAAACAGTAACAAACATCAACCTATATTTTGTAATTCCTAAAACCCACTTGAACCACTCATTATAATGTATCGGAAAGCCGCGGCCTATTCCCAGAGCACCCACTTTTGATCTGCCCGTCGGCTACGAGTTTGTATACTAATTAAAGCTCGCTAATTTCTTAAGTGTCTCTCGTCCATTCAGAGGTGCATTTGGCAATGTGCCAACGATCCGTCCATCGATGATCTAACCGAAGATGGTATATTTAACGGTACTATGTAATATGTTGTTTATTTTTATATTTACGGTACGATATTTTTGTAGGGAGACTGGTTGAATAGATAGTGGGTTATTAGTTATTGTCAGTTTTTATAGGAATTTGTCCCAACAAATTTGTAACAAGTGTGGGAGAGCCATGCTTTGGCACGAATGGGTCGGCTCGACCGAAGTGATACCAGGGCCTCACAGAAAACCGGCGTGAAACAACCACAGCGTTGTGTTTCGCCGTGTGAGTGAGGTTACCGGAGGCCCAATCCTTCCCCACCCCCAATCCCTCCTCAATCTCTAAATCTCCAAATCCCTAATCCTTAAAAGGTCGGCAACGCACTCGTAACTCCTCCGTTGAGGGTGTCCATGGGCGGCGCTGATTACTTACCATCAGGTAATACGTCTGCTCGTTTGCCGATCTATAACATAAAAAAAATTGAGGCAAATGAACTTGTCTCCAGCTAGGAAGCAAACGTCACCGCCCATGCGAAGTTCTAAGGAGTTAAAACTGTAAACAAGGGGTTTTGAATATTGTGAAGTAGATTTTGTAGCCCCGTGTACGGGATTATTTCACACCGATTTGATGGAGAATGCATTGTTTCACACTGTTTTTCTGTAAGGCCCTGGTCTTCCCTACTGGGAAGTCACTAAGATATTCTTTTAAATGTCATCATAATCATAATCATCATCATCATCATCATTATCAACGGAAAGACGTTTACTGCTGAACCACCTCCATCCTTTAGCTCCCCGCGATTCTGATGATGTCTTTTGAATGTATTACCACTTATTTATATTTAAACATGTGAAAAGGAGGGATGAAAAGCATGTAACAAAAAAAGTCATGAGTATAAATGTGGATGGATGGAGAGGGAGGGGGAGACCAAAGAAAATATGGATGGATTTTGTGAGAAGTGATATGGAAGACAGAGGAGTTACAGGAAAGAATGGAAGAAAAAAACGTATTGCGCCGACCCCAAATAAAACGGGACAAGGGCAGGAAGATGATGATGACTACTTATTTATATTATTTTTTTAAATTCAATTACTAAATATCACCTATACCTATTTTCCTGTCTCTAGACTCCTATCAGTCTAGACTTCCCAAACAAATAGATCTATGCAACATAACATGTGCGCGCGCACCTTGTTTACTACAACGCTCAGTTGACTTATATCCGTCGTCGCCATTACACGTATTTATTGTGTCACTCTTAATATTGTATCTAAGTAGTTTAAAAGTGGTTTAATGTTTAAATAATAAAATAATTTTGTTAAGTTTGTGTGAGTGATTGAAGTGATTTTGTGCAATTTGGACTTGGATGTTACAATATGGATGAGTTGAAGTTAGTTACTATATCTTTTTTTTATTTTTAACTGACTTCGTGTTTGTTTTTGGTTTTTAGTAAAGGACTAGGGTTAAATCGCTAGGATCTTTCAGCTTATACTATTTTCTCTACTTTATATTAATCAATTTATTATGATGACTAGTGATGGATTCTTTTTTTCAAATGAATCGAAGCTTTTAGTAATATTTGAGCATTGGCTACTTGTGAGAAAGTCTAATTAATATTATTTTTATGGATTTTCGGAATGCTCTGGCGTCGGCTATTTTCAAAGAATTCTCGTACTCATTCTTAAATAGCCAGCTTGAGACTGACTCCTCTGGTTTTGCGGGTGTTCATAGACAGTGTTCAATCACTTCCATCGGGTGATCCGACTCTCATTCACATATTACATAAAAAAATCTATTATTTCAATTTAATTTATTTTTGTAAATGGGCAATAAAACAGCACTTTTACACGTCAAAATTATATATAAAAAACTAGATCAAGCCGGAACAATGCTCTGTGCTTCTCCAATAATAATATACATATATTCAAATTATTTAGAAATTTTCTTGTGTAGATGAAACGTAAAGAGGTCACAAACAGACTACTGTAGCATTTATAGATATTATAATAAAATCGACATTCGAATGATATATTCAAGGAATTTTCTGTTACAAAATTCCCGTCAGATTTCAGCAACGCATTGAGTATATCCGTCCGGGTGACGTCAACTCTCTGATTGAAGATCAATACCGTATGAAATGAAAGATATTTATTTCATCTTTATATTATTTTATTATTACAAGAACCAACTGATGCGGGATTTTCAGTACGTAGGTCGATTTATGTGAGATTCGCATGTTGGTAATATTCAAATGTTTTAAATAATTTTGATTGATATTAGCGATCCGAGGGCCTACCGTGTGGTGTTAAAGCGTGAATCTTCCGGGCGAGAAAAAGGGATGGAGCTATAAAAGGTGTATAGCTGTGTAGGCCCCCAGGTCCGGTTTTGCACGGATGTAATAATTACACTAAATTTCTCCACTATTTAATGGATGTTATTATACATATAAACCTAATTCCTCTTCAATCACTCTATCTGGTAAAAAAGCGCACCGAAAGCCGTTGCGTAGTTTTAAAGATTTAAGCGTACATAGGTATATAGGGACATAGAAAGTGACTTTGTTTTATACTCTGTAGTGATAACTAACGGGTCTCCCTGCACGGGTATTCAACTATTTTCCTGCAAGCTGTATTACGATTTCTAACATTGTCTTTCATTAGAACCTTACCCTAACAATAACAACGCCAACACAAAAATAATTGGCAACATTGGTCCAGCCATTTTTGAGTTATGCGCTTACCAACACATTTTGCTATACATTTTGGTCAGTCATTTATAAAATAACGTGCATATGTGCAATGTGCACTCTTAGCCAAAGTGTTTTATTTACTATTAGTATAATATTCGGAATAATCGGAATAAATAAACCAGTGTTGAATCAGTCAATGTCGCCGACGAACGCTGACAGCGACCCGCGATCGTAAAGTTTATTTTAACTGTTACGTTAGTATGGCGTGGTGACGCGATTCGCGATACTCACGCAAGGTCGGCTTGCATCTTCACCTAGATATATTTAACTGGGTGTAGGGGTGTGTATAGCTTTCTATTCTAGATCATTAACACAATATTTTTATCGGAAGAAGCCTTAAAATATTTGTTATACACTAGCTTCTCTCACGCGGTTTCACCCGCTGTTCGGCTCTATTTGATCATAGCGTGATGTTTTATAGCCTATAGCACTCAGGAACATTGCAGCTATATATTAGTGAAAAAATTTTGGCAATCCGACTAGCGGTTCCAAAGATTGCCCCCTACATACAAACTTACAAACATACAAACTTACAAATTTTACCTCTTTATAATATTAGTATAGATAGCATTAGTTGTTTCTAAGGCAACACAAATATCATTTCATCTGTTTAAATTTCAACTATCTGCTATTACAGTTCATTATAATTCTACAGTCTAGTTACAGAAGCAACTCTTTGTATGACCCTAATGTGCGACGATTACCTGATGGTAAGCAGACGGCTCCTCCCGTAGACACTTCCTACACTAGATACCGGGTTAGCAACGCACTTGCAATTTCTTTAGGGTCCTCCACGATTTAGAGTCTGGGGAGGGACTGGAACGATTGGTAACCTCAATGACACAGCTAAATACAACGCTGTGGTTGTTTCACGACGGTTTTCTTTAGGTGGTAACCTAAGGCCGTGGTATCACTGTCGAGCTGACTCATTGGTACCGAAGCATGGTTCTCCAACACTTGAGTATTGAATAGGGATGATGACTAAAAAATAATAATTAGTCCATCTTTTGGAACGCCAGAAAATAGTACATACGTATTTTTTCTTTTGCTTCTAAAACATAAAATAACAAAGTTACAGAGCGGTGAAAGTACGCGCCACGGCATTATTTCTTAAAAAAATTACGAAAAAGTGACGTCACGAGCCCCTACTCCTGAATTTGAATGTGCCGTATCTTAATATTATTCGTATGGACAAATAAAAAAATACGTTTCGAGTATTTTTCTAGAATGTAACTGACGGACTAATTAGAATCTTGTTGTTTTAACCCAGGAGACATCCCTATTTGACTAGTTGAAAACTACGGTATTCCTACATAGATATATGCATGACTATTTAGTTGGCATCCGTGTGTACTCATTGTAAATAACAATGTAAAGCACTCATTATAATAATATAGGCCGCGACCAATGTGTCTGTTTGTCTGCGCGTCCCACTCCCGTACAGCTGGATGCGATGTTTGTATGAAATGTTTATTGCGTTCCTTTCCATTCTTACCGACTTTATTTTGATTTTGAAAAGGTTGTACACTCTAAAAATATTTGTAGGACTTGAGTAAGTGTGTGTATAGATGGACTATCACGTAAAACTACTGTACGAATATTAATGAAATTTGACACAGATGTATTTTAATCTGAAAAAAATCTCCACTGGAATTTAAGTGTGGGAGAGCCATGCTTCGGCACGAATGGGTCGGCTCGACCGGAGTGATACCACGGCCTCACAGAAGACCGGCGTGAAACAACCACATCGTTGTGTTTCGCCGTGTGAGTGAGGTTACCGGAGGCCCAATCCCTCCTCAATCCCTAAATGTCCAAATCCCTAATCCCTAAAAGGTCGGCAACGCACTCGTAAATCCTCCGTTGCGGGTGTCCATGGGCGGCGCCGATTGCTTACCATCAGGTTATTATACGTCTGCTCGTTTGCCGACCGAAAAAAAAAACTCAAAAACCTTCAATAAACTCCAGACTGGCGCGATGGCTGGGCAACTGGCTGCAGCGCAACGTGTCCCTGTTTCGATTTCCGCACGGAACAACTCTTTGTGTGATCCACAAATGGTTATTTCGGGTGTGGGTGTGATGTGTATGTAAAATTGTATGTTTGTAAGCGCACCCACGACACAGGAGCAAAATCTAGTGTGGCAACGTTCTTTTTAAAACAATCTCCTTCTTAGAAGCCTGTGACTCGTCTGAAGCTGCGGTCGTCTATAAGCGGCGCTGATCACTTACCATCGGGTGACCCGTCTGCTCGTTTGCCCCCAATTACATAGAAAAAAACCAGTCATACAGTAAAGACTTTAATAAGACACATAATATCTTGACTAGCACTAAACGTGGATCTGTTTGTTGTTACAGAATGTCTCTGATCGGTTCTTACGATGAGTCGGACTCGTTCGTGGACTACCAGACGAGGATGGTGGGCGCCGCCAAGGAGATCGCCAGGCTCGCCACTGACATGGTAAGCTGGTGTTTTGTACTGTGTCGCTGATACTGCAATTGTTCAAAACTTTTCAGGATAAAAAGCCTTTTTACGACATCTCTATTTGTTTTTCTAATGGATGTAGTGACGTGACATTTTATAGCATTTCTTAATAAATTAACTGTCTAACACAAAAATATTTTACGTTGTTGAGACACCTGCGGCTCGGACTAAGCGCTTTGCCTCGTCATTTATACCGCGTACATCGAGGGATTGGAAGAGTTTGCCGGCTGCAGTCTTTCCGTCCAAATATAATTTAGGTGTCTTCAAGGCTAGAGTGAATAGGCTCTTAATAAACTAGTGCGCCTTACCATCAACGATTGCATCACTGCTTACCATCAGGTAGGATCGCAGTCAAGCACTAGTTTATAGAAAGTAAAAAAAAATATCAATTTCAATAAGTAATTCTATAGATTAGTGTGTTCAATCTTCTTATATATAGAAATGGATAGCTAGCAGTGATATATGATAATATAAGTTGTAAACTAAACAGATAATAATAATATTTAAAAATACATACCATAAATGGTGGTTGATACCTTTAAGATTACCAATATACTTTTGTCCGCAGACGGCGAAGTCAGCGACAGACGCGAGCCGGCTGGTGCAGCTTGGCAACGAGATGTGCCAAAAGTACGAACAGCTCGCGCAGGACAGCGTCGGCGCCTCCGCCACCACGCCCAACTCCGACATCGCTAACAGGTAACTTCACTACCTACTTACTCATACACTTTATATACGATACTAGCTATTCTCGCGCGATTTCACCCGATGCTCGGCCCTATTTAATCGCAGCATGATGTTGTATAGCTTATAGCACTCAGGGACATTGTAGCTATCTACCAGTGAAATAATTTTGGTAATCCGACCAGCGGTTCCAAAGATTACTCCCTACATACAAACTTACAAATTTTACCTTTTTATAATATTAGTATAGATAAGCCTTCCTCGATAAAGGGACTCTAACGAACACAAAAAGAAAACGGTAGTTTCCAACTAGTCAAATTCAATACTTTTATCCAAATGTCAAAAACGATACTTGTCTATGAAATTTGTATGAAAAACTAAGTTATGGCGTCATAGTTTTTTTTTTGCGTCAAGTAGCTTACTTATTTCTAAAAAAATTGTTTATAGTTATCTAAAATTCAGTGTATCAATCATCGATGAATAAAAGTATAGTTGTTTTTCAATGTTTTATTGTATTGAAATGTCCAATAAATTTATTTTTGACTTAGAAAACTACCCAGTTGTTCAATTCGAACCAGTTCCTCCAGAGATTAGTGCAATGTTAATATGTACATAATACAAGTTTCGTTTATGTATGCCTTCTCCTCCAGAGATACAGTTTATATTCATATAAACTAACTAGCTACTCTGGCGCTGTTTCACCCGCTGCTCGGCTCTATTTGATAGTAGCGCATGTTTTATAGCACTCAGGAACATTGTAGCTATCTACCAGTGAAATAATTTTGGCAATCTGACCAGCGGTTCCAAAGATTACCCCCTACATACAAACTTACAAATTTTACCTCTTTATAATATTTATTAGTATAGATAACTTATCATCGTCACAATCTAATAAAATTTTCGTTCTGAACTCACAATAACGTGTTTGGTCCCAGGATCCGCGTGGCAGTAGTGGAACTAGGTGAAGGAGTGTCAGAGCTGATCAAGGCAGGCGGCCATTGTCGCCTGTCTGCCATCCCACAGAACCAGCGCGCCGTCGCCGATAGCGCCAAGATTGTCAACGAGAAGGTATGTGTACCAATCATAATTTATCTTTGATAGAATTTCAATAGGACTAATTGTAAAAGGGATATATATGTACAGATTGTATATGAAACTGATTTAAAAAGAGTCACCATGGAGTTTCTTGCTCGTTCTTCTCCATAGGAATCTACACTTTGGAAAGAGCAAATAGCTTCACTAAGAGGACTGACCGACAGACTGACACTATATCTTCAAAATTTTGTTTGACGTTCAAAAGTGCCTGTAAGGGTCTAATTGGAATAAATGATTTTTAACTTTTTTGACTTTTGACTTGGTATTTAATGGGGATCGGTAGTAAAATATGGTTTAACTACAGCTTTAATACATGTGTTGGTACATAGACGATGATATATTAATATTTCTTTGGAGAGAAACCAAAACTGACGATGACTTCCAAATTCAGCTGGTCTGAAGTGAAAGAACTGAAGAAATGCATTTATTTTTATTTCGTTATTCGCATATTTTATGATAAATGGATTAATGTAAATTAAATAGGTATAAGTTTACTGGCACTCGATACCAAAAGCGATGGATCTAATCATCAGTATTAGTTTCTGCTTTACCATAAAAGTTTTATATTAGCTATCTATACCCGTCAAGCATACATTTTGTTACTCTATACATTGTCATAATTTATAAATAAACATACTAAACAGCGTTTTTTATGTTATAAGTCGGTAAACGAGCCGATTACCTGATGGTAAGCAATCAGTGCCGCCGATGGACACCCGCAACATCAAAGGAGTTGTTGTCGAACACGTTGCCGGCTTTTTAGGGATAAAGGTTTAGGATATTTTTAAGGTTCAGGAAGGGATGGGGGAAGTGGAGGGATTGGGCCACTGCTAAGCTCACTTACACGGCAAAATACAACGCTTTGGTAGATTTTCTGTGAGGCCGTGGTATCACTCCGGTCGAGTTGACACATTCGTGCCTCAGCTTGGCTCTCCCACACTTAAAAGCGTTACATCAATATTAAAACATGAATTGTTCTCAATACAGGTGATAGCAGTACTAAGCGCGCTGCAGGCGGGGTCCCGCGGCACGCAGGCCTGCATCGACGCGGCCGCCACCATCGCCGCCATCATCGGGGACCTCGACACCACCATACTCTTCGCCAGCGCGGGTATGCCACACCCACACCACACACACCATCCACTCGCTTCATTGACGAACTGACTGACAGACTTGTTCTATTGACGGTTCACAAGTACCTGTTTATGGTTTAGGGCTGATTTTTCAATAGTCAGAGTTCTAAGTGCGTTATCGGCCTTTTGGGGATTAATTTCGGATATTTAAGGATTGGGGATCCCGTAGCCTCACTCACAAGGCGAAACAAAACATTAATTGACGAATGTTTGTTACTCCTTCACGTTACGATTTAACATTACTGGAGGGATCCGAATGTAATTTGGTATAGAGGTAGATTTTAGTCTGAAATAAATATCCCATTGGATACTTTATACCCTGACACTGCGGGCAAAACCGACGGCAGTACACATATAATATGAAAATTTATTTATATTTATTATATAAGAATTTATACTCTACTCAATTCTCGCGCGGTTTCACCTACTGCTCGGCTCCCTTTGATAGTAGCGTGATGTTTTATAGACTATAGCACTCAGGAACATTGTAGCTATCTATCAGTGAAAGAATTTAGGAAATCATAGGAACATAGAAACCTAAAAGATTTAACAATTTTTCTTACTTCTGCCTTGTTGTAGACATTATTTTATAACCTTTGCTAGTTAACTATAATGTCAGTCTGTTCATCCCATTACACAGCAATGTTTGTCCACCAAAAATATAAATATATAAATAGAAACAACATTATACTAATCTTATTTGCATCCCACAGGCACTCTCCACTCAGAAAAGGAATCGGACACATTCTCCGATCACCGGGAGAATATCCTCAAGACTGCAAAGACTCTAGTGGAAGATACGAAGACCCTCGTCGGAGGAGCAGCCGGGACTCAGGAACAACTCGCCTCTGCAGCGCAGAGCGCCGTCAGTACTATCGGTCAGTTGATTTTGTACTCTATTTTCAAGTAGATAAGATTTGTTTTAAAACGTTAAGTTACATTGAGTCATATTGCCTTGAGCGTTTTTTAAAATCAGTGAATGTTTCTTGTTCTTCTCACTAAGTTATTGAGTATGTGTTAAATTTTCAACATCTTAGAAAGACTGTTTTAGTGCTAGAAGTCACAATAAAATATGAAACAATAAATCGTTTATGTAAATAGGCCATAAAATAGCTTTTTTACACGTCTAATTATTTTCAAAATACTAAATGTAGCCGCTATTTTTCCTATCTGCCTAGGTAGTCTGAGAAGGAATGCTATTGATGCCAATTATAGTGATATGTTGTTCTTGTCCACCAAAAGTATGATTCTGTAAGACTTCATTTTAAACTTCGAATCTGAATCAGCTGTGAGTAGTAGTACACTAGCGCTACACTTGTAAGTTGAACTAAATTGGCAGCAACATTTTGATAGATAAAGTATGAGATGACGTTAAAAGTGACATTCTAAAATGTAATTTCCCCGTCACTTCACACTCGAACAAGATTCAAAATTAAGCAAATTTTATAGAATCGACTTGCTGAGTAGTACTAGAAATTACTTGAGCAGTTCGAAATATATGAGTTAGAATGTAACGATGACGTATGGGTGTTGTCAGTGCAACTATGCGAGGTGGTGAAGCTGGGCGCGATGTCGCTGGGCAGCCGCAACCCGGAGCCGCAGGTGCTGCTGCTGCACGCGGCGCGCGACGTCGCGGCCGCGCTACGCGACCTCGCCGCCGCCACCACCGCCGCCTCCGGCAAGCACGTCGCGCATCCTGACATGCATCGACTCAAGCACGCCGCCAAGGTAACACCACACACTCACGACACTACGCTATACTCACGACAATACGTTATAGTCACAACACTACATTATAGTCACAACGCTACGTTATACTCACGACACTGCAATACAATTACGACACAATACTACACTTGCAATACTACAATAAATTCACGTTAATATAATACACTCACGGCACTAAACTCACGCGAATACGCAACACTCACTACATTACTCTTATGACACTTATTTCTACTACACTATAGTAACGTTATAGTACTCAGGAATGATTTCTCAGTCTAAAATAATTATTTAAACTTTTTAATACACAAAGACACTTTAATTATGCTTACAATTGAGTAATAAATCAAGTTACATTTAATTAAGTAGTACGATATCTCAAATAATAATACTATGACTTCATAGGAAATCTTATAGAAAATTATTTTTAAATTGCCTTTGACTTTCAAAAACATTTTATTTTCTAGTTGGAAACTTGTCTATGACACTACTACATATATGTACACACGTACACGCTACACATTTTCTCTACACTAATTTACTGTAGATATTTATTTATTTTAATCGCTTACAGTAGTTATTAGCTTTGTAAATATAAAAGTATCAATAATTTTATTTACATACTTTAAACATATTATAATATATTTCACAAGTTTTGGCCTTACTACAGGGAAGCAAATCAAACGCTCCAAGAGACTTGGCGATTTGTTTTCGACTGTTTTTTTTTCAAAATTATTAACTTTTTGATTTGTTAACTTATCACTCAATTTAGATTCAGTTTAATCTTAAATTTATTTAAGGTTGATTTTTCAATGGTTAGATAAAAGTTACCTGGGGAATAAATTATGATGTTGTCGCGCCAGAATGTTTGTATAAGACAGTGACAGCAACAATTTTATTCCTCAGATAACATTTATATGACTATTGAAAAATCAGCCGTTATTGAAAAGGTTTTGCAATATTTGTATACCTAACTGCTATTTAAGCAGTGGTTTTTGTATAAACTTAACTGTTTTAGACTTTGATTGTGAATATCAATTTTCATTAATATCAATTTAACCCGGGTTCGAATTGTTCGGTATATACCAATTTGTGTAAAAAGACGAAATGTGCGAACATTCTTCATAAAATAAGTAGTATAGAGTAATCCACTAATCAATAAATATTGCAAAGCGTTTTCAAATAAACAGAGAGAAGTATCAAAAAAACATCAATAAAGTATACATTGCATAACATTTGTGTTGTCTATGTGTCCGTCTGTCAATATTGGACTGAGCTGGTGTGTTTCCCCAGCGGCTGTCTGACGCGACGCGCCGCTGGAGCCTCCCCCTCAAAGCCACCACCATACCCCGCCAAAACAGGCGCTCCGCCATCTTGCGAAACGACTATAACTCCGCAGACTCCGAAACAGACATATTCCAATCCGACCAGGAAGATGAATTAGTCAAGCTGTTAGACTACTCCAGCCAAGACGATGATGTCTCCCCCACAATATTCCACGATAACTGTGAAGAAATCATCACTTACATCGAAAACAAAATGACCATTCCACCAGTAAGAAGCTTAAAAAATGATGACCTCAACGAAAGGTATAATCTAGCAGCCAAGAATAGCCTCCTTGACATGGACTGGCGGGTTCTAAAGTACGGAGAAAATATACTTCTAGGTGAAGTCAAAAAGCTAGTCGATATGGTCCACGACCTCGGAGATAAGGAAGAAAATAAACGAAAGAGGGACAAGATCCAACGGTTGAAAGCTAACAACGACTTAGACACAGAAATGAAACGACTGTCCGCAGTTATAGAAAACTTGGACACGGAAATACAAATTAATGTCAAAACTGAAGTCAACATTGAAACTATGACTAATAATAAACCTAAATTAGACAATGGTAAACTAACAAGCCCTGTGTTCAAAGTCAAAAAGGTCAGACCAGTCAGTTTAGATGTCCAGACTCCATCCCCAGAAGCGACCGAAGCTGCCAAAGAGTTACTCAGCCCTGAGGAAAAACAGAAAGATGAAAGCATGGAGATTGTCGTCAAACCTGATGTTAAGACCAGAGACGTGACTGACGTCAGCACCATGACCAAGAAGGTCAGGATGGAATTCTGGAAGATGTTCAAAGACGACACCGAGTGGTGGAAAGCTTTGGCTAAACGCAATCTGGAGAAAATGGAGGAAACCAGACGAGAGCTGGAGAGATTCAGCGGACATGAACTAGTTCTCGGCGAATTCCAAACGCAACTAGACAGGTTCGAAAACGAGAAGCACACTCTACAAAACTTTATTGACGAGGTCGACAAATCGAAAGCCGTCAACCAAGATCTAGAGTACAACAAGAAGTACGAAGACATGGTCCTCAAACTTATAGATTTCGCCAAAAAGGACTTTATTTACAAAGGCTTTGATCCCCTTATAGAACAGCTGAAAGCTTTAGCCAGCGTCAAAATCGACCGAAAGAAAAAAGTGGATATACAAGAGATACTAAACATATACTTGCAGATAGACACAAGCAAATACACGTATGAGGAACTTTGTCTGCTCGAAAGGTACTATAAAGAGATTATACGAAAATACAAGAAGGACTTTAGGGATAAAGAAAACATTATTCCAGAGAACAGACAAGCATACACAACGAACAGTTTACACAGAAATATTAACAGAACAATAATTCACAATACAGACACGATGAAAAGCACGCGATCGAACCCTGAGAAACATCACAACTCCATCGAAATTATGGATTTAACAAGGACATACCCAATGCAGTACTATGCCAACAACTGGTGGACCATTTACGAAGACGTTCTCCGAAGCAGAGAACAACAGTTCGGCTCAATAGACAACTGGTGGCAGGTCTATGAGAGAATTCTCAATAAAACAGAAACAACAGAAGATTTGGAAAGATTCCAGTCTCTGATGAGAAGTCAGTCCAAATCGAGGCCTAGTTCTAGAATGGAGGAGCAGTTGAGGATGTTAGATGAAATAAGGAATGATAGGTTCAAGGAGACCGAGGCGGTGACGCGGCTGGACGATGAATCGGTTAGATACAGTTCAGAATCTTGTAATATCTAACCGGCGCACGCCGCATGGTGTGGTCCCTAGCTTGGCATCGATGTCGTGGCGGTCGGTTGCACTACAATATTTGCACGCTGCTCTAAAAGCTTTTTATATTGTCTGTCTATCCGGTTTTGGGGCTCATTCAGGTCATTTCTCATTGGACGTCTAGCAGACGATTCGCTTAGCGACCGACTTTAACTACCAATGTTAATACGAAATCTTAAGATTTTAGATTAAAATTGGTCATTAATTTCAGCCGCAGATTCCCATCGAACGCTATGTATGGGATGGTTAAAGTGAATCCTTCAGCTAATGACGTCCTTAACATCATTTTTTGTCAAGATTCTCGAAATTTCCAAGGACGGTGCTACGCTATACCTATATAGAACAAAGGAGTTATATACCGACCGCCACAATCACTAACTCGCTTCATCATCACCGTTACATTTGTCGAAATGTGTTTAGTTTTGTACTCTATGTGGCATGGAATAAAGTCACCATTTGCTTGTATATACAGACACGTCAAGATTTTCATTAATATATTTCCACTTTATCACAAATGTTTAAGGTCGAAAATTTATTTCGATAAGTTGGCGAGGTATATTGAATTTTGAACGCCTTGAAGATACCAAGGGTCTTTTATTAATTAACATAATAATATGTACATAAAATAGTTGTCTTTAAAAACTTTGTAATATTGTTCGTCAAGTTTTCTAGTATAACATTAAGCATGAAATATCTTAATATAGTTATAAAATTATTACGCTTGACGTTAAAGAATCATTATTATTTCCAAGTGTTTTATATATGAAAATCAATGCCACTTTTCGTTGTAATGTTATAACTCAACAATGCCTTTACCGATTTGCCTAATTTTGGTCTTGAATTATTCGTTGAAGCCCAGAAAAGGTTTGCAGTTAAAGAAAATTTAAAAAAAAAATCTTGAAATTGTGTAAATTCGACATCAACCCGGGCCAACGCTGTTAGGTTCATAAAAATGTGCTAAACACATTTCCTTAAACCATACAACCATGATGTCCATCTCATGCGGTTCTCAAGAAGATTCGCTTCTCATCAATGTTTTAACCAAACCAGAAGCTTTCATTTCCACACAGCTGTCGGTCCGATATTGACATTATATTATTCTACGGGGCACGGGTCCTGGCGGTACGTAGCTAGATTTACATGAACTCAAAATATTTCGAAAATAAGTGTAAATCTCGCTTCGTCATCGACAAAATTCCGCCATACCTCACGCCTCAGTTATAATTATATTTCTATTATCACATTTATGTATGTATTTTTTGAGTTTTTTATACAAGTTTATGGTGTTTTTTTGAAAGCTTATGGGTTACCGCTAAGCATGGCGCTTTTGTCGTTTCACTGGGTTTTTTTCGTCTCATTTTTTTCGTTTTCGTTTATTCAAAATTATCTAATTCTAGTTGGCAACCCAAAGCTTTGAATTCATGTTTTAGATGGTAACACTTGCTGTTTTAATGTTTTTAATTTTGACTTGAAATGTAGTAGTGGTGGTTTTTTGATCGTGTTTTTAGTTATAAATGTAAATAGTCTTCTAGGCAATGCTGAGAAACAAATTTTGTTTGGTTTTTTATAATAATAATAATTGCACTAGACTTTGCTTGCTCTGTGTACCTACCATTGGTTTATCTCTGCATCACCCAAAGGTTTGACTGCTAGTGAATGCCCATGGCATTAAGTCCACCTTATATACAATATTTTTGTGCTTGAAGCATATTAATAAATCAAACCCCAAGTGAACGCCGGCGTTCTTTCATCTATTGTGTCTTTTTCATGAATTACCACGACTGAAAGATTAAATTAATGATTATTATTATTACTTTACATTAAACTATGCAGAGCTTCAAATACCATTGACGCCAAAAAATATAATAAAGATTTAAATATATGATAAAGATTTTTCCATATTATATTTAAAGATTATTTCAGTTATTTTTGGAAGGCAACTTTACAATTATTACTACTTCCGCGTAAAGGAAAGAGGGCGAGGTCATTCGTTCTCTCTTTCACACCATCGCGCTCCTACTCAGTCGACAGCCTGGAAAGTCCCTTCATCCCCACGTGTACATTAATAAAGAGGGCATTCCCAACATGATCAAAAAACCACCACCATCTAATCATCATCGTATCACCAGCTAACCTCACATTTTGTCCAGGTTATGGTGACGAACGTAACGTCACTGCTGAAGACCGTGAAAGCGGTGGAGGATGAGCATACACGGGGCACCAGGGCCCTGGAGTCTACCATCGAGGCTATCTCGCAGGAGATTGAGGTTTGTGGAGTTTTTTTTTTTTGAGATAGGTCGGCAAATGAACGGGCGGGATACCTGATGGTAAGCAATAGGCACCGCCCATGGACACCCGCAACACCAAAGGAGATACAAGTGCGCTGTGTTAAGATTAAAAAAAAAAACCGTTGCCCCTCACTAGGATTTTCTCATACACATCACACTCCAGCAACAACAATTTGTGAATCACACAAAGAGTTGGAATCGAACAGAACACGTTGCACGGCAGCCAGTTGCCAGTGTGCAGTCAAACAGTGTTATTTTTGTTATCTTTGTGTACATAATTCTGCTGTACGTGTGTATGCCATTGAACTCTTGCTAAAGGGCTTGCCCGATTTCAATGTTTTTTTCTGTATGCGTTTGAGTGGCGCCCTGGATGGTTTAGATTCACAAATCTGCCCGGCAGATGGCGCTGATTGCTTGAAATTTGTATTGCATGTTGTAATCTCGGAAACGGCCCCAACTATTTCGGTGAAATTTGATTCGGGCAGGGTCCGCTAGTTAGACCGTCCGCTATATTTATTTGTCCTTGGCGTTCATGTCTTTTGCCGAATGAACACATATAATTTTATTTCATTTCTCAATCAGGTGTTAATGTCATCGACTCCCCCGAAATCGACAGCGACCCCTGAAGAGTTGATCCGCTGCACGCGGCAGATGACGGTGGCGACGGCGCGCGCCGTGTCCGCCGGGAACGCCAACAAGCAGGACCAGCTCACTGCCGCCGCCAACCTTGGCAGGAAGACTGTCGTCGACCTACTCGTTGTCTGCAAGGTAACGCGACCATTATTCAGTTATTTATGTTAATACAGGTTACATTAACAAGAAAAATAGCAACATTCATAAGTTTCTCGCGCAGTACCTCATGTCTATCTTATATATATACAAATCAATGCCACTTTTCGTTGTACTGTTATAACTCAACAATGCTCTTATCGATTTGGCTAATTTCGGTCATCAATTATTTGTGGAAGTCCAGAAAAGGGTTTGTACGTAGAGAATCTTAAAAAGGTGTAAAATCGACATCTACGCGGACGGAGCTGCTGGCGACCGCTAGCATTATATAGTGGTATTCAACATTGTCAAAAATAAATTACTTTAACACTGATAAACCAACAGCCCACATATTATAAACTTTAATGCCTATTACAGGTACACACAGCGTTCATGTTTATACAACTAAATATAGACAAATTAATTATTTAAGAGAAGAAGAAAAGAAATAATCTACTAATAATATTGTGTTCAGGGCGCAGCGCACGCGGCAGAGACGGAAGAGCTGCGCACGCGCACGCTGGAAGCTGGGCGGGCCGCTGCGCAGGCGTACCGCGCGCTGCTGCAGGGCGTGCTGGCCGCCTGCGGGGGCGACGCCGCCGCGCGACACCATCTGCCCGACCTGTCGCGCCACGTCGCGCACGCCACCGCGGACATCATCGCCACCGCAGAGCTGCTTAAAGGTATCGCCTTATCTCATTTATATTTCACTTGCTCTTACCCGCGGCTTCGCTACCGTCATTTGACTCAGATAGACTGACAGGTAAACTATCTCCATCAACCACCATTCCACGACCAATAATCTTAATTGTAATACTAATCCGGTCCATGACACTAATTTGGCAAATAAATCCCCAGGTTCAGATTGGGTAGACCCGGACGACCCCACAGTGATAGCTGAGAACGAGCTACTCGGCGCCGCAGCCTCCATCGACGCAGCCGCCAAGAAACTGGAGTCATTGCGACCCAGAAAGAGCGTTAAAGTACAGGTCAGTCTTATATCTACACTATTATACGATAATATATACTATACTTGTGGAAATTGAGGTCAATTTTGTTTAGCCACATTTTTGTTCATGTTAATCGAAATAATAATTTATAATAAATAAAGCAATATCACTAACATGTATCTAAATGAAACATATTCCTTTCTATCTCTTTCTCTGTCTATCTTCTTTCCTCCTTACTCCTTCAACTCTACACTAACGCCATCTATCGAGCGACACAACAAACTAACACAGAAGAAACATCCCACAGAAGAAATCATCGCAAGAAGACTACCGGTTGTCGTTGAGATATGTTTGATATTCTTGGTTGTATCTTTTTGCATCACCCAGGAATCAAACATATTACACATCGATGCCGGTACTTACATCTAAACGTCGACTGAAGAAGATATGAGAAGATATTTCAGTTTTTGTTTCGAGAATATTTTCTTGATACTTGTGTTATACTGTCTTTTCTTCTTTATTTTAAATTGTGTGTATTATTAGCTGAAATGTATAAAAACATTACGATTGTTAGTAAGAGATTGCACCGTTGGCGTAGTGGCTAGGCACCTGGATTCTGTGCAACGTGACGCGGATTCGATTCGATTCGATGATAAAATCATTACACTGAATCGTAGAAATACTTCATATTTGATTGGGTAGAATACTTAAATTTTAAGGATGGTAATAAATTTTGTATGAATTTCATGTGTTTAAATAACATTTTCAAAGTTACCTATATGAGATTTAAATAACATTTTAGCTAATAGTACAATTATTCTGATAATCTGTTTGTTCTTTCATCTCTTCTTATATAATTTGTGCTTCATTATACATGTTACTTAGCTATATATGCAGCTCCAAAATTCGTTGATTATTGTCATACCTAATACTGATAGAGAATTTATTTATTTAATTTATTGAAGATTTTGTAATACCTATGTATAATTTTTTTGGTTTTGGTCCAACAAATGTTGGTTTTTTTATCTGTGTCTGACTTTTTAAGTGTGTTGGATAGTTTACTCATTTACTCTAGACTTCAAGAATACAAAAACTATATCATTCTCATAATTATCTTGTATATAATATAAATGTTATTCCTGTATCTACAAGGTGTAAAAGACACTTAACGAAGCCGAAAGCCACGTATTCTACCCATTATTTGGATCATTATTTTCTTTAAGACCATAGCTGGGACTCACGGGTTCTCGAGATATTGAAGGTCAAAGATGCATTTTTAATTTTTGTTTTTTTTTTTGCGCAATCGAATTCTTAGTATTATTACAAAACTTTTTTCCAAACAAACATTACCTGAGATTTTAGATTAAGTTACGAACAGTAATGTACGTAATAAATAAATGCAGACCCGCACAAAAAACATCGTGCATCTCTGTAGGATTTTTATTTTACAGAACTGTTTTGTTGTTGCGAAGTAAAACGTCGACCTACGTACTTATCACAGCGTTTTCATGCTAAGCTGTGAACCTACGCACACAATGACACAAAGCCCGTTTGCTTTACATTGCGCGCAATAATTTTTTTTTTATACCTAAAAGTAGTTTCCCAGTGATAATTTTAGCGTAAAGCTACTTAGTTAGAACTGCAGTATGCGTAGTTAACGGCTTCGTTAAGTGTCTTTTTACACCCTGTATACAACCTCTTAAATATATTTTCTTTGCAAAATCCTCTACCGATTTGCTTAAACACTGATGGTGGCGCCCCCTTGTGACAGGAGGCGGATGAGAGCCTGAACTTCGACGAGATGATCCTGGAAGCTGCCAAGTCCATCATCACGGCCACTTCAGCACTCGTACGCGCTGCTTCAGCTGCGCAGAGAGAACTTATTGATCAGGTAACATTGATTAATTATATTACTAGACTTCCTTATAAAAAATACCACCTTCCGCCCGCGGCTTCGCCCGCGTTGTATCTTGATAAAAAGTAGCCTATGTCCTATTCCGGAGTGTATCCTATGCCTGTCCGGCCGTTTTGATTGAGTAACAAACATAAAAAAATCGGAACTTTCGTATTTATAATATTAGTAAGATGACCTCTCCCTGTTTTATTGTGAGACGGTTCATCACTAGAAGGCCGTGAAAGGCACTTGTCTAATTTGTCTGGTTTGGTGGACGTCGGTGCCGATTGCTTACCATCAGGTAATCCGTCTGCTCGTTTTGCTGCCTTAGAGAATATGTGTAAGAAATTATGAGTTCAGGTTAATTGGCATACCTTGTATAGAATTGCCATTATTCAGTTTTGGAGTATTTTTTTGACATAGGTCGGCTAATGAGCAGACGGATTACCTGATGGTAAGCAATCCAAAGGAGTTACTACAAGTGCGTTGCCGGCTTCTTGTCGGTTATTAGGAATTTTAGAATAGGGGAATTAAGGGTGGGCCTCAGGTGAAACAGTGTTGTTTCACGCCGGGTTTCTGTGAGGCCGTGGTATCACTCCGGTCGAGAAATATGGGTCTCCCGAATTTATTTTTAGACTTGCTAGACAAATATTTTAAGTAATATGAACTTTTACATATGTGATTGTAATTTTTATTCAGTTTAATGTATTCATAATGTGCATTATCAGGGCAAGGTAGCCCGGCGGCCCACGTCGTCGTCGGACGACGGGCAGTGGTCGGAGGGACTGATCAGCGCGGCGCGGCTGGTGGCGGCCGCGGCGCACTCCCTGGTGGAGGCCGCCAACGCCCTCGTCCAGGGCGCAGGCTCCGAGGAGAGGCTCATCTCCAGCGCCAGGCAGGTCGCGTCCTCCACCGCGCAGCTACTGGTCGCATGCAAGGTATGTACACTCCCTGGTGGAGGCCGCCAACGCCCTCGTCCAGGGCGCAGGCTCCGAGGAGAGGCTCATCTCCAGCGCCAGGCAGGTCGCGTCCTCCACCGCGCAGCTACTGGTCGCATGCAAGGTATGTACACTCCCTGGTGGAGGCCGCCAACGCCCTCGTCCAGGGCGCAGGCTCCGAGGAGAGGCTCATCTCCAGCGCCAGGCAGGTCGCGTCCTCCACCGCGCAGCTACTGGTCGCATGCAAGGTATGTACACTCCCTGGTGGAGGCCGCCAACGCCCTCGTCCAGGGCGCAGGCTCCGAGGAGAGGCTCATCTCCAGCGCCAGGCAGGTCGCGTCCTCCACCGCGCAGCTACTGGTCGCATGCAAGGTATGTACACTCCCTGGTGGAGGCCGCCAACGCCCTCGTCCAGGGCGCAGGCTCCGAGGAGAGGCTCATCTCCAGCGCCAGGCAGGTCGCGTCCTCCACCGCGCAGCTACTGGTCGCATGCAAGGTATGTACACTTCAAAATTGTTGCTGTCACTGTCTTATACAAACATTCTGACGCGACAGCATCATAATTATTCCCTAGATAACTTTTATCTAACCATTGAAATATCAGCCCTTATTCATATAATTTTAAGAAGACTTACAGACTAATACTTTATTACATGGTATTTTTTCTTTTCATTTGCAATTTGTCAATTTTCCCGATTGTGTGTCAGGTATAATTAATTTATTTAACATAAGGTTATTTTAGATTTATGTATAATCAAATTCTATTTTGTTTTTTTTTTTTGGTTTTTAATCACTCTAAACCAAAATTATTGTAGGTACGCCATAACTGGCAAAACAGGCAGTTCAATTTATTATTTAAAATTATAAGACCTTGATACATACTCATGTTTTCCAATAAATATTCTATTCTATTCTAATACAATACAATTATCAGCCTATAAGTGCCCACTGCTGAGCAAAAACGGAGAAGGTTTGAGCACAAATCATCATGCTTACTTAAGGCGGATTAAAGGATTTCAAACAAATAATTAGATATTATAAGTCCAGGTTTTCTTCACCGTATGTCAGTGGTGTCTAAATAATCATAGAATGTACATATAACTCGGAAAAAGTCACATTAGTACTTGCCAGGTTTTGAAACCCTCATGCATGAGAAGTGGTCGCCTTAACCTCATGGTCACCACCGTGGTAAGAAGAAATTCTTGCTCGGCAGTGACCACTAATAGACTGATTATGATAATAATGAGCAGACTAGACTACTCCTTTTTTAGATTCTCTCTTCTTTCTTGATTAAACAATATATTCATTCATGTCTCTTAAATACAGAGCCTAATTAGAGGTTTTCTAGTCGATCCAGGTGCAAGTATCAAAATAGTTTTTTAAACTAACGATTTGTATAAATGTGCAGGTGAAAGCCGACCCCTCATCGGAATCAACTCGTCGCCTGCAAGCGGCCGGCGCTGAAGTGATCCGGTCGACGGACAACCTCGTCCGGGCAGCCAGGGATGCCATACATACTGAGGATGAGAGGAGTCTTGTCCTCAACCGACGTATGGTCGGAGGTATCGCACAGGAGATTGATGCCAGGTAAATGTTATGAACAAAAAAATATATATACATTCAGAGTTCATTGTTCTCTGCTGCGGAAAGTGACGTGAGAATTGACTTGTAAAAATAACATTAGGTTTTTTTATGCAGTAAATAACTAATCTATCACACTCCATCATTCAGTTTATGATATTCTTCATATTAATATCGTTAAGTTTTCAAGAGTAAAAGCGTAATATTTGGCGTAGAAAAACAAAATCTCATACAATATTCATATTAAATGATTAGAATGAAATTTGAAAGAAATATTGAAGTAATCAAGTTCCAAATTGGTCGTGTCAGCCACAAATTGTTGTGAAGTGTATCTATACTAATATTATAAAAAGGTAAAATTTGTATGTTTGTATGTAGCGGGTAATCTTTCGAACCGCTGGTTGGATTGCCAAAATTACTTATTTCACTGATAGGTAGCTACAATGTTTCTGAGTGCTATAGGCCAAATACATCACGCTACGATTAAATGGAGCAGCTAGCTAGTCAAATATAAACTTCTAAACGCACCTACGAATAATCAAATCTAATATTGGAAGATAATTGCATCAAAAAATCCTTAATGTAAAAGATATTGATATTACTAGTATTCACAAAATTCTTTCTTCTCCTACCGGAATCAAAGTGTTGCAAAACGGTATGTCCATAACTAATTCCACACGTAATGTTTTTTTATTTATTATTTTATATTTTATAAATCGTTATTGTATATACAATTATTTATTTACATTTATGTAAAACCTTCAATTTTATGCACATAAATTGTACAAAGATAAAGTTACTTCATTCAGTTCGTTTATAAACGCTGCCTAGTCGAACAAGTGAATGGAAAAGCTATCATTTCTAATCATTGGCAACTTTGTTTACTTAATTTCCTATTCATTTGGTCACTAACCTACAAATCACTAGATTTTGGCTTGATATTGTATAACCATCGATCCTAATCAAAAATCTTACGTTTGATTTAAGTTTTAACCTGTAACTACTAAGTTATTTGATTTCTGAAGATCAGTCATTGGTTTCTGACGCTGTTTAACTACTTTTATAATCATTAAGTTAGACTAAACCTCATTAACACTGCAATTTCTCCACCAGATCCGAAGTTCTTCGCATAGAGAAGGAGTTGGAAGAGGCCCGAGGGCGTTTGACCGCCATCCGGCAGGCCAAGTACAAGCTGCGCGCTGGAGAGACCTCGGGGGAGGACACCGATACAGACGTACAGCTGGGGTACACCAGCGATACTGCACCACACAGGTCAGTCTACATCATCAGTCCATCATTTTTTTTATGTAATGAATAGTTTGGCAAACGAGCAGACTGATTACCTGATGGTAAACAATCAGCGCCGCCCTTGAACACCCGCAACGGAGGAGTTACGAGTGCGTTGCCGATCTTTTAGAGATTAGGGATTTGGAGATTTTGGGGATTGAGGAGGGACTGGGGGAGGGAAAGGATTGGGCCTCCGGTAACCTCACTCACACGACGAAACAACGTTGTGGTTGTTTCACGGTTTTCTGTGAGGCCGTGGAATCACTCCCATCGAGCCGACCATTTCGTGCCGAAGCATGGCTGTCCCACACTTCACATCATCAGGATGTTTCTATAAAGAGACTTCCTCGTTCTTATCTATGTAAATCTCAATCTTGGAACAAGCAAATAACTTCTCTGTCAGATGGACGATTCTATTGAATTTCACGTTTCAAATGTAGCTGGTATTCATTTTACGTTGACTGTACGATGTATAGCATATATAGTAATTCAGTGTTCTTTAAGAGATCCTTGATCACGAAATCGTATTTCAAAACTTCTATAAATATTCTGTTGCCTTTACAAATAAGAATAAATACAAGTCTGCGAAAATCCGTCATCCGAACTGCGTGATGAACTAATAATAATTAGCATGTAGTTCAAATATGAATCATATTGACAAAGCTTACTCTATACTAATATTATAAAGAGGTAAAATTGTATGTTTTGTAAGTTTGTATGTAGGGTTAAATCTTTGGAACCACTGGTCGGATTGCTAAAATTCTTTCACTGATAGATAGCTGCAATGTTCCTGAATGCTATAGGTTATAAATCAACACGCCGAGCAGCGGCTAAAACTGCGCAAGAGTAACTAGAGTGATCAATAAAAAAGATTACAAAGCAAAATCAAATGTTCCTTCCAGATTCAAGACTCCAAACAGCAGTTTCGCGAACACGACGTACAGTCCAAACAGCACGTATTCCCCCCACACGACACAGACACTGAACACGACCAACATTAGCTCCCACATCACTCAGCTGAACCACTCCATCCATGGTACTCCAGCCAAGAGCCCTGTCTCCCCTAGCTACTACTCCACTCCAAAGAGCCCCACGGTACCAGCTCGACCTGACCAGTATACCCAGAGCTTCAACCAGGAGAAGCAGTACACAGTTCAAAGTCCATCTTTCTCCAGCTTCAGACCCGCTGAGGAACCCAAACAGAATTATGAAGGATTTACTACACGGTAAGGATTTAAAAAAATATATCTATTTTTTTGTTCGTAAGTTTTGTTGGTGAAATGTTTATTTTTGATTGGATTGTTATAATTTTTATCTGAATCTTTGGAGTGATTTGAGAAAGACTGTGGTTTCCGTAGACCCAATCCTCAAATGTATCTCCAATCCCCAAATCTACCTAAGACAAATGATAATTGTGAAGCGAAACGTTTACATTATGTTTCGCATTGTGAGTGGGGTTCCTTCATTCATCATTAGAGCGATAACCAAGCAACGACTCCTGGGTTCGATACCCGCTTTAAGTAAAACTTCATTGTTTCTCAGTAATAAACTTTAAAAAGTTCATTGGTTATCTGTTTATTTATATTTCCTTTTACAAACGCCTTTTCGTATTAAAGGAATAAGATATCTTTGTTTAATATCTTTGCACTCGTTCTAACTCTATACTTCTCTCTTTCACACTCAATAATGTTTCACCAACAGAACTATCTTTGTAATATAACATAACTTTATTTCCTGTCAAAGCATACTAATTCTTTTATAAAAACAACAATCTGTCTGACACTTTTTTTGTAATGGGTTCGAATCCCGATCAAATCACTTTTTACTTTACAACCTTTCATTTATATGTCACATACTAATTTCTAAAACCTTTTATTGCTTTCCACGCTGCCATTGGATTAAAATAGATAAATATAAAGCTAATATAATACTGTATATATGTTATACTTGACATACAAGTGCCTTCACTTCGATACGTGCCTATTACATATAGTAATATATACATAGACTTATATATATAATAGTTTTTAAGAATATCGACACACACACAAACAAAGGAAGCATACAAGGTTAGCATTATATATATATTTAAATAGCTTTTAAAAGATCTCACTTGTTATTTTGCAGTAACATCTATTAAAACTTTCCCTAGACTGTATTTTCTTTTAATGATCTACACTAGTATTTTCTCCTGTGTCTTTGGTGCTTTTACAAACATACAATTTCACATACACATCACAACCAGACACGGAACAGATTTGTGGATCACACAAAGAGTTGTTCCGTGCGGCAATTGAACCTGCGACACGTTGCCCAGCTACCGCGTCAACCCTGCAATAAAAATATATTGAAATATTAATTTAAAGTCAAAGTCAAATAATATATTTGAAATAGAACACTAAAGGCACTTTTGAACGTCAAGCAAAAAATAAATACCAAAAGTTTAACTTTATGTGTCAGTCTGCCCGTCTGTCCTCTAGTGAAGCTATTTGCTCGTTCCAAAGTGTAGATTCCTATGGAGAAGAACGAGCAAGAAACTCCATCGTTACTCTTTTTCAATCAGTTTAACAATTCATTTTTTTGTTACATCATTTAGTCGGTTCTATTGTGTGAGAATAGTGTAACACTAATTATGTTTAATAGCACTTTAAACAAAATATCACGGAACAGCTCTTTGTGTGATCCACAAATTCTCGTTCCGGGTCTAGTTACACCCACGACACAGAAGAAAATACTAGTAAGGGCAGATTTTTCAATATTCGGATCTGTGTTATCTAAGGAATAAAATTGTTGCTGTCACTGTCTTATACAAACATTCTGACGCGACAGCATCATAATTATTCCACAGGTAACTTTTATATAAACATTGAAAAAGCAGCCCTAAGACAACATTTTTGTTGAAGAAAAACTTCCGTCAGTTATTCGCAAAATAATTAGTAGAAATGACTTTGTAGTAGTTGTTAGTATGTGGATTACAATATAATTAGTAATTACATATAGATATACAAACTTACATACGTAAAACATGTACTATAATACAACATATAGTTATTATGTACACTTAGAAATATTTGTGAACAGGAAAATACATTGCATTGACCTGAAAAATGGACTTAATACCATACATGTAAATAAAGTTGAATTTCAGTCTTTTGGAGTAGTTGTGTAAGGTAAAATGTTTCTGTGGCTTTTATGTAGACACTAGTTTCTGCCAGGTAATTCGTTTTATGCATTATTCTAGACTATAATCTATTTCTGTGCCATATTTGATTCAGATCCGGTCAGTAGTGCTAAAAAGAGTAAAAATTTTCCACCTCTACTTCATCATCATCATCATCATCAGCCCATAAGTGCCCACTGCTGAGCAAAGGCCTCTTCTCACAAAGAGAAGGTTTGAGCATTAATCACCACGCTTGCTCAATGCGGGTTGGCGATTTCAAACTTATAATTATAAATTATAAGTCCAGGTTACCTCACGATGTTTACCCTCATCGTATTTCAGAGGTCTCTAAATAATCATAGAAAGTACATATAACTCGGAAAAAGTCACATTGATACTTGCCAGGTTCGAACCCACGCGCTCTTTAACCTCCAGGCCACCACGACAATGCACCGAAATACCCCTACTTACAAATATCGAATCTTAGAATCTTCAGAGGTTATTTACGACTTTCTGCGAAGTAACGTCATTACTACAATTTTCAACTCTATTCTCACAGCTATAAAGACTATTATTATTCAAACTGCAAAATCAATGCAATGTATTCCCTTGTAGCTCACAACTTTTACTCTATACTTCATGCATGGTTGCGCTTTTTACCAAAATGTACAGTGAAAACAGCAGGTCAACCCTTTTTGTCAAATTCTTTTATTCGATTTTCAACTTTATGTTCTTAGTATAAAGTCGAAAGTCCAATGTATTATTGGATGGATTGATCTGCTGGTCTCTGTACGAAACAGTGCTGTTCAATTTATATCAACTATGTACTCCGCTCACCGACTTAATATTATGTTATGACTGAAAAAGTCGGTTTTTTTTATTAAATAATTGGTTTTTGGTAATGTCTGAGTGAAACTGATGCTTTCTTATCATCATCACCATACGAGCCATAAGGCTTCTACTGTCCACTATTAATTTCTAAGCCTCGCCCAATGACATCCAGATCAATTTGTTAGTATAGTTAAGTCTTGTTAGATATAATTTTTATTATTTATCACTGTCATTACGCTCTCTTTTAATTGTACGCTGTAGCTACCTTAATATGTTATGCAACTAGCTTGAAACTTAATAATTGTTAACTATACATTTATTAAGTTTTGTAATAACTACTGGTGGTTCCAATAAATATAAATAAATAAATACATTTGCTATAGATTCTTTCTACTTGAGGAAAGGTAAAATATTAACAAAGCTTGCTCAAGGCGGATTGGCGATTTAAAACTTGTAATCACAAAACAAAAATCCAGGTTTCCTCACAATGTTTTCCTTCACCGTAGGCCAATGGTGTCGAAACAATAATAGAAAGTAGTTGGTATCATGGAAAAAGTCACATTATCTATCGAATAGTGGACGTTAAAAAATAATTATGATGAAACTACACATTTTTTATTCTGCCTAATATTCATAGAAAACCAATAGTATTATCACTCAGACAATATCAAAATCCAACCAAACTTTTGCTACCCTTAGCATAGTGATTACAGCTTATACTTATGTTCAAACTGCAGCCAGATCTATGTCTATGCCTAGTTGTATCTAATGTGCCTTTCGTTTCCAGACTATCTTCCAAAGACAGAACGATGAACGAACAGTAAGTCGGACATAATTCATACATATATACATATACTGCAGTTGATATTTTATGTTGTTTGTTATGATAATGTGGATGAAGTAAAACGAAAACTGTATTTTACAAAAAAGTCATATGTTTGTCCTCATCATTTCACGTTTTTTCTAATATATTTGATCCATCAAACCCCAAGCGAACGCCGGCGTTCATCAATTGTTTTTCTATTGTATCTCGGATTACCACTACTGAAAGTTTAAGTAGTACATAAGTCAGAAATATTGACGTAGTTTCGTTGTAAATTGTTATAAAATATATATCATTTTTCACTATTTGATCAACAATAACAAGAAAAAGAAACAATTTGACTCCTTAGGTATTTTATATTACAAATATTATCCAATAGAAAATATATTAGTAATAAAATGTTTCTCCCTGATTGTATTATATTATTGCATAGGTTTAATTTGAAATGGCAATCATCATCTATCACTCTAGCCTAGTCCAGAAATTTCCAGCCGGTATTTCGGGTGGAGATTAGTCAGTAATAGTCTTACTCTCCTTCTCTCCCCACCAAGGGGGGCAAGATTCAGTTGTTGATCCCCCCCCCCCTCTTAAAAAGCCTGCTTTAAATTTCATTCCTGTTTTGAAAGATCATAAAAAAAATGTTATTAATTCTGTAACTTAGTCCAAATCAATAATAAAACTCCTTCATCCATATTCCCACCAAACAACATATAATCAATTGCACATTATGTAAATATTTACAATACATACAATATGTAAATAAGTTTTTGTGAGCAACCAATTTGCTTGAGAGCCGCTTTGCAATATGCGAGGAACGTTTTACCCCATCCAACTATGTATATGCGCTTTTTATATACTATACAGACAGACAAAATAAACATTTTTAATATAGTTTTGATTTAGCCTATCTTTTATGAAGTATATAATATATAGGAAGGTGTTTGCCATTTTTTTTTGAGTTATTAAATCAGTAATTTAAATTGAAATTTTTATCACTATTCGTAAAGCTGTTACTTTTTAGACATATGTAAGTATTCAGTTTTGTACAGACACTGTCTCTATATTTTCTTGTTATGTCGATAAATATTTTCCATAGGCAATGTAGAGTATAAAATATATTTTTTTTTCCATATGGAAAACAGAAAATATCTACAGATATTCTGTAGAGATTGCTACTATATTACACTTTATTTTCTTTACAATATAAAGATATACATGAATATATCGCTTGCTCCAACGCTCCTAACATATCCCCAAGCGGTCCGTCCGTCGTTCTGTCTATAACTATAATTCTGTGTATAGCTTGTGTATACTTAATGCACTAAGATTAACTAGACATGCTCTGATAATGCGATAACACAAGACTTATGATGGGAAAGTAATTCTTAATTTTTATTTAAAGTTACTAAAATACTTCGTTTATTATTAAGAACTAGATTGGTTGACAAAATTAAATCAAAACCTATCTATCAATGTTTGACTACGACCTATCAATGTTTGTATTCATAGTTAAAGGAGTTCTTAATTTGATTGCAAAATCAACCTTATTTGTATCAGTTATTTCTCTTTTATTATTTGAAAACTAAATCTTTTGTCTTTTAAGTTCAATTTACAATAAATTACTAGATTTCATATATAGTTCTTATTAAAAATCGAAGCTAAGAATGTCTGAAATCTTTTCCATCACAAGCCTGCGTTATAAAATAATAAAACTAATGTATAACCTTCTAACTAACTTGCATGGGGTGCTTTACAAAGGACAAGCATAGAGGAGGTGACAGTAAAGTCCCTAACCCTCCCGGAAGTGAGGACTGCACACCTGGTAGGCGAGGACCGCGTCTCGTACAAGAGGGAGAGGGCACCCCCTCCGCCGCCGCGCAGGGCTTCGCTACTTAGGTGCGACGAGCCGACCAAGTGACTTTGGTTTGTCAACTTCATTTATTTATGCACCGGGGAGCCAGGACTTCATTGTGTTGTAAATACTAAAATTATTTGGGGCCGAAAATGTTGGGGTATAATGGGAAATTTTCAGTGTGATCCTCAAGCCATGAAAATCATGAGGATAACGGCTAGAGCAATCGAGTCTTAAGAGGCCTTTGTTTAGCAGTGGATATCTTCAAGCTGAAATTATAAATGATTTTAGTCACAAAGGATCATAAAACTACTACTAAAAATATAATGACAAGGGAACTATCAGGGAAATATTCATTTCATTTATTTACAACCTGACAACCCCATGGGATAGGTATGGGAGGCACACTGTGCTCACCTTGTGATAATATAGCACCAAACACATACACTGACCGGGGAATGGGAACGAACGATAAAGATTGATGAATGAATGAGTGAATGAAACGTAGAATGAATCGATTAGGTACTCGTTTTGTCATTAGAGTATTTATTTTTGATGCGAAGAGCTGAATTTTGAGTTCCAACGCTGTTGGAGTAGTCATAAAAGATAAGAATGAATGAATGAATGAAATAAAGTCCTTTTTAATAATAATAATTATGAAGTTAAAATAATATGTGTGGCTAACAAAACTCAATGTTCTACTAATAATTAAAGAGGAATTGAAATCGATCGCCAAAAAAGTTTACTAATAATTAGTTCTAATGGTACTTGTGTGGCTACTAATTCTTCTTGGTTACTTCTCAGCATGGCATGGTGTTGGTTTCCTAACTACTGGTTTACTATCACGCCCGCCATCTTTGTTTCAATCTCTAACTTGTCTTTATTCAAACTATGTTACACTGGTCATAATAAGGATGGGTTCAATTGGGGGATCATTAATTTATTTAGCTTCTGTGCTGTTTATGGGCGAAGATGTATTTTAAAGTAAACGAACCTGCCCATAAGCGATGCAAAGCTGACTTAAAACACCTAATCTCCCTCTAACCGACTAATATAACTTTGCAGCTACGAGACCCGACTGTACGACACCCCGCGCCCCCTACACGAGACCACAACGGAACGCCAGGAAACCCTATACGACTACAAAGAACATAAATACGGCTATGAACCCCCCAAAACCCCACTCAGCCCCAAATTCAACGCTAGAGAACTCAAGTTCGATGACAAGGAACCCATATACTCCACCCTCAAGAAACCCTTCGATGGAGTCGGACAAACATTCTCTGAACACCAGAAATCTTCGGAAGCTATTCCCGGAGGTGTAAAGCACTCTGAATTCAAAGTCCACAGCGAGTCCTACCAGTCATACCCCAAAACTGAGTACAGTAAGACCGAATTCCGTGAAGAAGTCAAGTCTCCTTTCGCGTCTACGCCCAAATTTGATCGTTCTACTGAACTGGTGAAGGCCGCTACACCAGACTACGATAGAATCGCCTCGCCATACAAAGAAAGCGCTAGTTACGGGGGCCCCAACTATATGGAGGAAACCACAACAGAAGTTAAAGAAATACCAAATGGTACGCAGAAAATTACAACCACAAAAATATACAGTTCTTCCCCTGTTAACCTGACTACGACCAACACCAAATATGAACCGATAAGGCTCGATGGCATCGATGAACTGTCCAAATCATTCGACAACGACTCCAAATACAGCACTCTAGACTCTCGCTTCAACACCTTAGAGTCGAAAATGAGTTCGGACACCAGCCGCTCCTTCATGAGACCCTCAGAATTCCAATCCTCAGATTATCAGTCGACCACTAATGTAACTAAAGTGAAAAAACCTTCGGAACTTGCTAAGGAGATTGATTCACTAGACAAGAAGTTCTCGAAGCAGACAATTACGTCAGAGACGATCGAAAGGAAGTCTGTGATGACCAGCTCACACAAATCGGAGTCATCGTCGACCATCACCAAGAAATTTGGCAACTTCTAAGGTCAGTCAGTCGAAATTTCATGTGAAATGCTTCCTTACTGCCAGTTAAAACCTCGAATGTTAATCTCGTGTGATTTTTTAGTGACTTTACGGTTTTTTACCGGGGTAATAGGTCTTTTACACCGGTAAATAACTTGAAGAAATTTTTATAAAGTGTTTTGAGGTTTTCGCCGTATTATTCGTATGTCGTAGCTTTAGTTGTTGATTTAAAAAAGGACTGCGCACGTTTTACTAAAGGAATTTGAAAAAATATTTATTAATAAAATATTAATATTAAAGAGTTTTGTAAATTGATGTTTTCTAAAAAATACATATTTCGACAGATATTTTCATTTTTTGTTTTATGAACAGGGTAAACAGGTCTCGAAAGTAGTAAAGTTGGCGGACGACCGACTTCGAATCTCAACAACATAAAAAAGTCAAAAAAAAGTCAAAATATCTGTCTTAAAACAAAATTGTAAATTAATAAAAAAGTTTTTTAATATTCCAATATAATTTATAAATGTGTTGTTTTTGATCTAACATTGAAATTATTTATTGAATTTAAAGAGCTATTAATACTAACGGAAAATGAACTATAAAGCGTTGTAATAAGAGTTATATTTAAAAGGATAAAAGTTAAGGTGCTAACTATATTATTATATATAATAGAAATACGTTGTGTGTCTTAGCCAGCCTTAGAAATGACAAATTCAATTATTATTGTTACTTATTGTTGGTTGTTAAGACTGGATTTAGTGATTGTAAAGATTATTAGAAGATAACTTCGTAACACGGTCTGAAATACATGAAAGTTTTATAAAAAAAACTAGCTACTCTCACGCGGTTTCACCCGCTGCTCGGCTCCATTTGATATAGCACTCAGGAACATTGTAGCTATCTTTGAGTGAAAGAATTTTGGCAATCCGACCAACGGTTCCAAAGATTACCCCCTACATACAAACTTACAAATGTTACCTTTTTATAATATTAGTATAAATATACATTCTATCCTAAAATCTATATAATTGATAAATAGGAATAAATAGCTGCAAAAACAAATATGAAAAATCAATTCCAAAGTATGCAAGTAATATAAAAACCATCTTAATGATGAATGTCATGGGAATTATTATAGTACTCCTATAAAAAACTTTGAAAAAAAATACTTGTACTGGTAAACTCATTTACAAAAAAAAACACCTTTAGCATCACTAAATCCAAGTCCCACTGGGCAATGAGCCCACACTTCACAAAGTGCTAACCCCGCGGGGTCCTTATATTAGATGCCTTTTATAACAATCGAGAGTGCCATTACTCTAGTATTCTAAGTTTTATTCTATTCAACGTGCCTTTACATCTTAAAGTTTTACTAAAACAACAAGAAAAACGCAGCTACGAAGTAATTTTGACCCTATATAATATAACAAGTACAGGCGACGCATCAATCTACTCCAATTAATTAAACAGATTTTAAATTCCAGAACAAAATTATTGAGTTTAATAAAGTACAAAAATCTCCAAGTCCCTAAAAGGTCGGCAACGCACTCGTATCTCCGTTGTGGGTGTCCATGGGTGGCGCAGATTGCTTACCATCAGGTAATCCGTATGCTCGTTTGCCGACCTATTACATAAAAAAAGTTAAATCAAAAAAGTATTGGAGTATATTGATTGCTAAAAATTCGGTAGTTTCCAAGCTTAACAATAGATTATTAAAGCCTTTTAAATACAATTAAGTATTAAAATATTAAAATACTAGCGCCCCGTGCTTTAATGGATATTATCTATACTTATAATAAATCTGTAAAAAATCAATTCTGTACATGAAATATATTTTCAATATATAAAATTGTGAAGAAATCTAGTTATACATATAAACCTTACTCTTCAATCACTCTAAAAAAACCGCATCAAAATCCGTTGCGTAGTTTTAAAGATTTAAGCGTACATAGGGATGTAGGGACAGATAAAGCAACTTTGTTTTATAACATGTAGATCATTGCTTTCTTGCATTAATTTGACAATATAATTCAATTTAGCTAATATTTCAGAAATAAGTATACTGTATGATGATTTTATACAAAAATTCATAGAAAAGTATATTCCTTTAAAAAAAGTATCGATCTTGTAATAGTTGGAAACTACCGAATTGTATTTAGACAAGCGTCCTGCAGCTTCATATAATGTTAAAATGAATGTGCCATCTACAAAATATATTTTTATTTTATTAAATTACCTATTTATTAATGTTAATATACATTTTTAATGATATTTTTACTCAACTAACTGGTTTGTATGCGGCGTTCTGTATTATATAACCTATATAAAAATGAATTCTATATAACATGAGAGTTAAACAGGATGCCGCGAAAAACAGTGATCGTATGGTGCAATTATTTTGAAAATATACTAAAAATATATTAACTTAATATAGATTATATTTGTATAACTACTAATGAACTAAAGTAACGCAGCTTTCAAGAAATAACGCATTTAAAAAAAACAAAGCAAGTAACATAATAAAGGAGAAAATTTTATTTTTTATTTTTGTTTTTGTTTTATAGCGTAGTGTTGGTGTCGACTGGAGAAATGTCCTGAAAATATTTAAGGATACCAAGTAAATTATAATAATTATATATTACATTATGTGTCGCTAGCAAAAAGCTAAATGGATTGTCAGTTGGATTTTTTATTTATTTAATTGTGTCATATACGTGCCTTATGTAATTCGCAGCTTGAATATATACTTAATACAGAACTCAGACTTTGTATATAGGTGTCTGGGTTCGATGCTCGCCTCGTGTATATTGTATACCCGTAGTATAGATGCCCGCGAAAGCGATTCGTCCACTGAAGGTAACATAACACCAATTCTAGTAGTTTTATATATATACATTATATACTTATAAATATTTAGAGATAGGTATAGTGTATATTTTATAATAATTGTAGATTTTAATGCCGGTTCAACGTTTTAACATGATTTTTGGAAGATTTGTCTTATATTAAAACATGTAATTACCACAATATATAATTGTAAGTGACATAGGAAGCCATATTTTATTATATTTACTATGTAATAATGCGTAGGACCACGAGCGTAAGTTCGTGTCAGGCTAAACCGTGTCTTATTAATTATAATAATAATTATTATTACTATTTAAATCTATATTCTTATTCTTAAGGCGTCGTTTCAAACGCTCAAAGTTGAACAAAATATAAATTCTCAAATATTACCTACATGTTGAATTTTATCAAGAAATTCGACATTCTAGGAATATAAAAGTTTTTATTGATACGAACAAAACGAACCTGGTTTCAGTTTTAAGAAATCAGGTGTACCTACATGAAATTTTAATTGTTTACAGTTTAGCCTAGTTATTTTGTATGTAGATAAGAATAGAATTAATACAGAGACTATGCATTATTTGTCTACTAAGCCGAGCAATGGTAATAAAAGATATAGCTAGACTACTATCTTCATATTTAGAAAATCTTTATTTTCTTAACTCTATACCGAATAACTGCAGACTGACTAACTTTGAGCGCTTGAAACAACGAAAAATAAACTTGTAGAACTCTATAATAATATATTAATGTTACTATAATTATGTAATAACTAATTTTGATACTATATACTAAGTCTTTGAGTACATAAATAATAAAATTCTCTCGTAAAACCAAATGTAACTAATATTGTTATTTTAAAACGCTTTGGAATCGTTTGTTTAGTGTATTTAATGTTATTTTGTTGCGGTAGCTAGAGTAAGCATGTATGGCTCGTATCGGTGTAATAAACATGTAACTAATATTATCTGAGTTTTATTTTGTAAATTACCCTAGAGTAAAAATTATACCAGTGCCTCAGGTAACAATAGTAATAAGTGTGGGAGAGCCAAGCTTCGGCACGAATGGGTCGGCTCGACCGGAGTGATACCACGGCCTCACAGAAAACCGGCGTGAAACAACCCACAGCGTTGTGTTTCACCGTGTGAGTGAGGTTACCGGAGGCCCAATCCTTCCCCTCCCCCAATCCCTCCTCAATCCCTAAATCTCCAAATCCCTAATCCCTAATAGGTTGGAAACGCACTCCTAACTCCTCCGCTGCGGTTGTCCATGTGCGGTGCTGATTGCTTACCATCAAAAAAGTTAGTATAGCCTGTTCACCAAAGTGCTTACGACTCCAATGTTTAGATTTGAAATTAAAACTGGTATATACATACCAATACCAAAATTTCAACCAAATATAAGTAGTTTTATAGAGCCCTGAGATCTTACTACAGTTTACGTTATCACAGGAACTTTTTGTTTTATGGTATAGGTCGACAAACGAGCAGGCGGATTACCTGATGGTAAGCAATCAGTGCCGCCCATGGACACTAGCAACATTAAAGGAGTTACCGACCTTTTAGGGATAAGGGTCCAGGAAAAAAGTCTAGGTACTACCGCGTGAGAAATGCTTTAACAATAAATATATAATACTAGGTAGTCACGCGCGGTTCCACTCGCTGCTTAGATCCTATACATTGTAGTGTGATGTTTTATATCCATCACTCAGGAACATTATAGCTATCTATCAGTGAAAGAATTTTGGAAATCCGACTAGCTGTTCAAAAGATACTTCCCTACATACAAACTTGGAAATTACAAATGTTACCTCTTTATAATATTAGCATAGATGTATGATAAAACGAACTCCATACATCGAATGGGTGGGAGAGCCATGCTTTGGCACGAATGCTCTCTGCTCGACCGGAGTGATACCACGCCCTCACTGAAAACCGTCGTGAAATAACCACAGCATTGTGTATCGCCGTGTGAGTGAGGTTACCGAAGGCAGAAACCTTCCTCTCTAGACCCTAAATCTCCGAAACTCTTATCCCCAAAAGGCCGGCTACGCTCTCGTAACTCCTTTGGTATTGCGAAAAGAGCTTCATTCATCAATGAAGGTTTGCAGACATTTATGTACTTCAAGGAGCCAGACAATACTATACCTATTAATCACCGGTGACTTTATATAAAATTAATATGTTATTCACAGCTTTTGTAACATGCATATTATTTTTATAAAACACAATAATGTACTTATTGTTTGTACATAAAGAATCAATTATGAATGTATTGTTCGAGTTGCAGGAATTAATGATAAAGAAATAGATAGATTGCACGGTTGTCGCGGTGGCTGGGCAACTGGCTGCGGCGCAACGTGTCGCGGGTTCGATTCCCGCACGGAACAACTCTTTGTGTGATCCACAGATTGTTGTTCCGGGTCTGGGTGTGATGTGTATGTGAAATGGTTTGTGTGTAAATGCACCCACAACAGAGGAGCAACAGGAGGAAGATTTAAAATTTCTAAGTATAAAAAAAATATAGAAATTATTATAAAATACTTAATTCATATTTTATCGCTCATGTTTTATCTCATCATTGTAAAAGATGTACCTAAGTACATCTATTTATAACAAAAGTTATTTCCTTTGATATAGAAATAAATTTAATAATTCACTTAATGATTCACTCTTTAAGTATGAAATAAATATTAAGTCAATACCAGTTTCTGTGTGAAGTTTTAAAAATGAATTCTATACCTCATTTTACCTACTCTGGCTAACAGACAGACAGATTACCTGATGGTAAGCAATCGGCGCCGCCCAGACACACCATGGGCGTACATTCCCGAAACACCATTATGAGTAGCAAATGCGTTGCCGGCATTATGAGGATTAGGAGGTTTGGGGCGAAATGGGCCTCCGGTAATTTTACTTACACGGCGAAACCATGCTATTTTTATTGTTAAACTTGATAAAGGACATGGCCAAAAAAGTACATTCCACGTACACGAACAAAATTAATACACTGTAAAATACAAATAGAAATATGAATTATTACGTAGTTTTTAGCCTCTCCAGACCTGACAATAATTATTAAAAAAATGTCAAAGTAATACAACAAAATCAACTTCGTTTGTCAAGTTTCGCCATAATAGTCCATAGAGAAAGATAAATAAAAAGACGTTCCAATTCCAAACCACGTGTCTTAAACTACACTCGTAGAAAACGTGCGATATGATCGACAAATGCATTACACTAGGAACATTTTATTCATACGAAACTGTATTCATTAATTTTAGTTGCATTTTAAAATATACTCATATTATAATAATATTATGTTTTATTTTTATCCAATTCACAAAAAAAAAAACTTAAACGAAACGGAACGTGTTTGACACTTTTGACAGCGTGTTTTTGTTAACCTTGCTAATAATACTGGAGTAACTGTTTTGCGTTTTGGATTTGTTTTGTGGATTACGATGAGGTGCATCAACTGTGGAATAGGCGTACAAAGGCTGCAGAGGCGTCTTATATCCTCGCTTTCTGCACACCATCAAACAAAACCTTCACGTTGGTTAACCAGCTCAAACCCAGGTATGAAGTCGGAATAGTATAATACTTAGTCTGATTTTTTATGTTTTATCATGGTATGCGATTTTAAACAGTGCATCTTTTTTTTAGTTGCCTCTGGGGACATTCATTTGTCAACCACCCTTTTATTATTGAATACTGAGGCTGGTGAACATGAGAGACTACTAGGGCATAACATGGCTTGCCTTGGCTGTGGAAAATCGGTTCGAAAAATAAGACACCATAATATGGACTCTCCATTGCTAGCCAGGGCCTAATTTCACAAAATACTATTAATGTGGTAAGCATTTTGTTTTTTATTCATTGTTTTATATTTGTACTTGTATTTATCTATATTAATCTATAAAAAAAGTAGGTATGTGTGATTATAATATCTATCTTTATGTATTTTCCATGTTTCTCGTGTTAGACTTCTTTAAAATAGGCCTGTTGTAACATAATACTTCTCACTGTACAATAACATAAAACTTGAAAACATGTGTTTATTCTAACTGGGGTTTATTTTCAGACCTCAAGAAGCAACTATGTGTGCTGTATGCGGGCAAATAGACAGACAGTGCAGGACTTATCACGAAACTTGCAGGAATTGGGTTCGGACAACAATGCAGTAGCCCCTTATATTCAACTGGTTAGCCCACCAGAGCCACCACCATTACCACCTGTTTTAAGCAGGCCGCTTCAAATGGAAAGTACTACCATATTATTACCCAATTGTACAGAATATATATTAAAGAAACATACATTCCATACACAAACATAATAAAATACACTTTATAATAAAAATATAAAAGTGAATTATTACGTAGTTTTATTTTATTTGTTCTCCTTAATAATTAAATAATTATTCCTCATACATATTCTTTTGTTTTATTTTATAAATAACTAAATAAATAATTAAAACGCCATGGTTTTTAAAAGCAAAATCTTTTTTCGTGCACTTATGGCCAATAATCTGACTAAAGGTTTAGTGAAACTATTTTCGTCTTGTTTGTTATAATTACGAGTTCTTCATGTGTTTTATTTTTTGCAATTTAATTTAATAATATTCACGAATGTAAACACCAAAAATCATTGATGTACATTGAATTCAATAACTATGCAAACGCCCATACAAAAGTTGGCCATGTCCTTTGTAAATGTGAGTGCCCTGTAACCTATTAAAATTAGTTAGACTAGCAGAATGTCGGTCCATATGTCAGCTTGGAGTTGTCATGCTCACTCAAAGGTCACATTGGCGGTGGCACGGTCACTGGATCGCTCGATTCCCTATATTATGGTTGAGTTGGGCGATGCTGGTGTACGTGTCATGCTCGTGAACGGGCGCCGTCAATTGGGACTGGTCAGCTCCGGACTGTCTATTGTCCTTAAGGTTATTTTCTTTTTATGTTTCTCTGTATACACGCGTTACACTGTTCTCACATATTCAAACTAACTAAATAATGTATCAAAGAATGTTTATGTGACACTGATTTTAAAAGAGTAACCATGGAGTTTCTTGCTCGTTCTTCTCCATCGGAATCTACACTTTGGAACGAGCGAATAGCTTCACTAAAAGGACTGACCGACAGACTGACACTTTGTATCTTTAAAGTTGTGTTGACGTTCAAAAGTGCCTGTATGGGTCTAATTGAAATAAATAATTTTGACTTTGACTTTGAAACACAACGCTGCGGTTATTTCAAGCCGTTTTTCTCTAAGTAGTCCAAATGTAATTTTCTACAAAATTTTAATAAACATAGGTAATAAATAATGAACAATAATAACACAGGTTCGTGCGTACAGCTGCTCCGAATTATTGGAAAATTGTAATTTATTGATTAACAAAACAAACACGCGATCAATGGCGAAGTGGCCTGAATCAATATTTGTCAAGAATTCGGACTCGTTACATTACGGAGTGACGCAGATTTGTAAAATTAACACTTGTCTTGTACCCCTATTGAAGACTACTTAGGTTAATAATGTGTTTTATTATAATCAAATTTATTTTCAAGCTTTTGCCCAAATTTTAGTGAGAGATGTGATTTGTATTTTTGCAAGCCGAACCTTTACGTGAAAGCCAACGGCAGTTGCCAGAAGCAAGCGAAACCACGCCATTACCTATTGCACATATTTGTTAGAATCAAAGTCAAAATCAATTATTCCAACTAAAACAATTTGGAACTCTGCGCTGAATAAAATACCTATAGTCTGATTGGGCAAAACATCACAAGTTGGACGGACGTGACAAAAGGTAGTGATGGCATATTACCTATAGAAAATATTACCAGAAAAAACCTAATTTATATAAAGAATGAATCAGTAATGCCACGTTTACAAACACACAAGTCGTCGTGCGTTTGTCGTTCATTGCAGCAGCAGAATGAGTTATCCCCGCCGTCTAGCACAAACATAGGTAGGTATATAAACATTATAAGCAATGTTACTTATTATGTTTTCGGCTTACTCACTAATAATTTGAATAATATAGGTAATAATAATTAAAGAATAATTTGACGAGATAGGTACTCGACTAGTTTCGTTAGCGTAGCAACGCGACAGTCGCCGAGTCGCGTGTCGCGGAATGCTGCTCGTGAAAATGGGCCTATAGATGGCTTGAAACTAGGCGAGTATCTCGTCAAATTATTACGTGAGTAAGCCGAAAACATAATAAATAATTTAGAATGTCTCACGAAAGTTATAATAAAAATATTATAAGCAATGTATGTGAACCACGCGAAGTACCTACTGCGTAACTTTCGAGAAAGTTCAAGCATTTATTGTCTTCTTAAGTAGCCCTAGACCACTTAAGATCCCTAACAAGACTTTAAAGTTTCTCAATTAAGCCTTAAAAGTAAATAGGTCATTATCATAATCAGCCGGAAGACGTCAACTGCTGGACAAAGGCCTCCCCTTTCGCTCTTCACGTCGAACGACAAGTCACCACCTGCAACCATTGGCTCCCCGCGACTCAACGAGAACGTCGGTCCACTTAGCAGGAGGTTTGACATGATTCTGTTTACTTAATTAAGTATCTAGTGTGTGGGAGAGCCATGCTTCGGCACGAATGGGTCGGCTCGACCGGAGTGATACCACGGCCTCACAGAAAACCGGCGTGAAACAACCACAACGTTGTGTTTCGCCGTGTGAATGAGGTTACCGGAGGACCAATCCTTCCCCTACCCCAATCCCTTCCCAATCCCTAAATCCCTAAAAGGTCGGCAACGCACTCGTAACTCCTTCTTTGTTGCGGGTGTCCATGGGCGACGCTGATTGCTTACCATCAGGTAATCCGTCTGCTCGTTTGCCGTCCTATCACATAAAAAATACAAAAAATCCAGACAAACAGACAATACAATAATACAAAAAATAAAACATGTTATTCCAATAATAATAAATTGATTACAACAATACAAAATTATAACTGGCGCAGCTGTGCCAACAGAGTGATTATTCTTTTGTATAAACTTGTTGAATCCATAATAAATAAGTTGGTATAGATGGGTCCTCCAGATTATTCCACGGTTCTCTATCTAACACACCGGTAGCCGTGTCTCAAGAAAATGGCGAAGGAAATTATTATTTTGTTCTTGGTCTTTGCTTTTTCGGCAGGTAAAGGATAATTCTGTTATTTTAAACTTAATTAATACTATAATGATAAGTACTAGCTAATTATACATAATTGTTCACAGTTTAAGTTCATTCCCGCACGAAATATTTGTTTGTTTTCGGTTGTTTGTGGTCGGTGTTTGGTTTCGTTGCAGAAATATTCGAAAAATTCTTTCGAATATTTCTGAAACTGTTTGTTTTCTCTTTGTGTGATAAAATGCAAGTTAATTAGCAGACAGTTAGCCTGATGGTAAGCGATAAATAACACCCATTGTAGCCTATAACACAAAATAAGCTACAAAAGTCATTGTTCATCAACGTATTCAGACCAAAAGCTCTTAATCTAATACACAAAAACACATCATTAGTCTATAAGTGCCCACTGCTGAGCAAAGTCTCTTCTCACAAGGAGAAGGTTTGAGCAACCACCACGCTTACTCAAGACGGATGGGCGAGGTCAAATGCATAATTAAAAATGTTTGATTCCGATGTTTAGATACCTTCACCGTATGTCAGTGGTGTCTAAATAATCATAGAAAGTACATATACTTAACTCGGAAAAAGTCGCATTGGTACTTGCCAGGTTTCAAACCCTCCCGAGGGTGCACTCGTGCCTTAACCTCTGGGCCACCACGACGTCATAATGTAATAACTAATAACATATCTTTCTAACACAGTGCAAGCAAAAATAATCCGGCCCTGCCCTCAGCTGACACACCGCTGTATCCGCGAGGTGTTGGCCTCAAACTCCAACTGTGACAGAAATGTGATGGGCTTCATCGCCAACCAGTACTCCGTCAACGAATTCCGCTTCGAAACCCCATACTTCAACAGCTCGTACGTCGACAGGAACCTCATCGTCAGAAATCATGACAAGTGCTTTATTTCAGAGTTTTTGTAAGTTTATTTTGTTTAATTTTAAGTTCAGAAGCTCGCTTAGCCCTGTTTTCACTTGTAGACCAAGTCGAAATCAAAGTCATCAAAATAATTTATTCCAAGTAAACCATAAACAGGTACCTAGATACTTTTGAAACGTCAAAATAGAATAATAGTCCGTCAGTCTATTCCTCACTGAAGCTATTTGCTCGTTCCAAAGTGAAGATTCGAATGGAGAAGAACGAGCAATAAACTCCATGATTACTCTTTTTTTTAATATTTAACAAGCTCTTTGCAAGCGTTTTAAAAGCTCTACTTATTACCTTAATTATTGTACTCATATCTCACATATGAATGACAATGCAGAGAGCAAGTTTTTTGAAAAAAACAAAGAACAAACGGTGGATTTAGCAAACGAACCAAGTTAATCGAGGTAGAGGGGAAAAGAGAGAAATAAAAAGAAAGAGAAACAGAATACGATAGTTAGGGTTACAGTTTAATTAATTAAGTCAATTTGTAGGGGACATTTTAAGAACTTTTTTTAGCATGGTTCGCAAAACCTTTGCGTACAAAAATCTAGAAGAAGGACTGGTAATCCATCTGATTTTCCCGTGGTAAAGACTTTAATAGCCAACTGAATGCATTATATGTATTCTTAAGTCTTAAAAAACCGATATTTTTTTTACATTTCGAACATTAATTTCAGCTATAACACAGAAACGAGTAAAGCCGTCCTAGGTATGACGTGTCGGAACCTGGAGCTGGAGTCTGACAGAGTACTGATCCAACACAGAACCTTCAAGGAAGACACTTTCTACAACTACCACATACACGCCACATACCGTGAGTATATGTTTATACATCGATAGGAATCGTAGGACGAGGTCAGTGCACATTTGCAGATAATATTTTTAAGATGAAAATAGGTAATATACCTATATACCTATAACCATCCATTGGAAAGAGATAAAAGATAGATTAGAAAGGGAAAAAATATATATCATCTGAAAATCTGTTACTAAGCGCATAACTAAATAACGCTTGTACCAATATTGTTGTTGTGATTGTTACTGTCAAGAGAAGGAATTAATGAAAGAAAATAAGAGGGATAATAGCAGCCCTTTTGTAGTTAGCGAGGTAGGTACCTAGTTAGATAATCATGCAAGGCAGAGGCGGACCGTCAGTATAGAAAAACTATTTATTAAGTCGTGGAAACGAAAAAGAAGCTACAACTTTTTCCCAAAGGCACCTCTAATACAGGGTGTAAAAAGACACTTAACGAAGCCGTTAACTACGCATACTGCAGTTCTAACTAAGTAGCTTTACGCTAAAATTATCACTGGAAAACGATTTTTATTTTTAGGCATCAAAAAAAAAAAACACATTGCGCGCTATGTAAAGCAAACAGGCTTCGTGTCATTGTGTGCGTAGGTTCACAGCTTAGCATGAAAACGCTGTGATAAGTACGTAGGTCGACGTTTTACTTCGCAACAACAAAATAGTTCTGTAAAATAAAAATCCTACTGAGATGCACGATGTTTTTTGTGTGGGTCTGCATTTATTTATTACGTACTGTTCGTAACTTCAAATGCGTAATTTATTTAGAAAAATCGAAAATTCAGGTAATGTTTGTTTGGAAAAAAGTTTTGTAATAATAATTAGAATTCGATTGTGCAAAAAAAAAACAAAAATTAAAAATGCATCTTTGACCTTCAATATCTTGAGAACCCGTGGAGTCCCAGCTATGATCTTAAAGAAAAAAATGATCCAAATAATGGGTAGAATACGTGGCTTTCGGCTTCGTTAAGTGTCTGTTTACACCCTGTATGTTCTTTCATACAAATTGTACTTGTTTTTTGGAATGTCCTTAAACTGTTCGACCGTCTTCCTACCTATCCACCCTTTTCGCAATCTGAGATCGTTATAATTAGGCGCTTATCTCATCATTCCTTCCATTTTTAAACATTTACAGAATCTTTACCAGCCTTGCAATGATTTTAAACTTTGTGCCAGAAGCTTTATTTACATCCATTAGTCAAATAAAAAAAGACCTCTACTTAGTCTTAAATCGACGCATCTCTAAATTTGTCTAATACCTGTTCATCCATCCGCAGCCGAGATCCGCATCACGGTAAACCTGCCGAAGAGGACCAACCTGAACCTGTGCACCTCCCACGTATTTACTGATGTCGTCACGCTGCCCATCATGCACATCGACCCTAAAGGTATACTGTCATAAAATCATCATTATCATCAAACACCAACATCTTGACAAAAAGTTACTGAAAAATAACTCGAACCGTTTCAAATTTAACAGATATGTGTTACTATAATATTACAAATGCGAAAGTAACGATATTTGGATGTTTGTTACCCAACCACGCCAAAACTGCTGGACGAATCTGGATGCAATTTGGCACAGATATAGGATACACTCCGGTTCAGGACATTGGCTACTTTTTATCAACATACCACGCGAGCGAAGCCGCGTGCGGAAGCTAATCAGTATATAACATAAGACATTTTTTTCTACTATATTCAGATCAACAAGTATCTGAAACTCCACCATTCATAGTACATACATATCTATAAAAACTTTCATATTTTACATAAAAAACATTTATTTACAGACAAACCAACAGAGAAATTTCTTACTCGTGACCTGACAGCATTGAACATTTTCGAAAGAGAGGCTTTCTATTACACTGGGGAACTTCTCGCTAAAGTGTACATTGACACTACAACCTGTTATTACAATTGCAATCGACAACTACTACCACATTACGCCAACGTTTGATACAACATTTGTAATCAATACCAACATTACATTATAAGTATAGTCTTTGATTCATTTCTCTATTGGTGATTTGGTTATCAATTTGGTGCTTGACAAAAAAGACAATTTAATTTTCTTTTGCGTACCTACCAATATTCAAAATTGATGTTCGATGTTTCGATCAGTAGCAAAATTAATCGAAAATAACCACTTACTCACGTGAATTAACTGACTTGAAACTTGTAGAGCTTTTTTCCGTTAATTCACGTGATGTCGTTATTGTCAATAAGTCTTGACATTTTTGTATGAATTTTATACTTTAGGGATTTTGTGTTGTGACATCATGTGTTACTTTTATTTACTTTAAATATATTTGTTTTTTTTTAAAATTGGCTATAATATAAAATACGGCTATAAATCAACGAAAGTGTGGTTATTTTTATATAACATTTAATTGCACATAGCTTTTTTCTAAATCTACCAACAGACCTTTATTAAGAAAGGCCTACGCCTGTTTGGAGAACTGCCCCAAAATCAGTCACCTAACTAGCGTAGCTACATTAATTATAGAGTAGGTATATTTAGCGTAAGTTTTTAATGAAAATAATAAAACGAATTCTTATTATTATTATATTTTCAGTTACTCAAAACAAATACACAACAACATGCATGCATTTTTATTTATTTAACCTTATCCTGACATCTTCTCCTCAGACCTGCCGTGTACCAAACTACCAGGTGTTCTTTTTAAGTTGGTAACATTTTTTAACCCCCCCCCCCCCCCTTACCCGTCAGTTTTTTTTTTCAATGGGACAAGTCTGCCGCAACCTCCCAAAACCGCTTCAACACCAGGGTCTACAATAGATACAACCATGAAAACACCAAAACACTGAAGTCTAGTCGGCTCGTCTCTGGGACATGAATGACTGTCTTGGATCCGGCAACGAAATAAACCAGAAGATATTATTTGAGGGGAAGAAAAAACGAAATAGTTTCCACTTCCCTCGGTAAATTTAATGCAGGAGACAGAATGACTTAGGCCTGAAAGGCACAGAAGAGACTGTACAACTGGGAGAAGCCCAGTACTAAACACCATGGAACATTTTGTATTGTTATTGTAATGGGACCTATGTGTGAGCTGCTATAGTTGTTTCCAGTCCCGTCTGACTCTTACTGACTAAGACCTCCCCGTTCCTCCTCCAGAGATACACTTTAACAATGTTATTGACACAAGTTTTTCCAAGTTTTGTTATGTTAAAGTGGGCAAGTTAATTTTTAAACACTAGAAACCATACCAAAGTCCGTGCTGTTTGAAGAATTTTCGAAAATCTAAAAACATTTGCTTGTATAGTAACCATTTTTAAATAGCGAATGAGCAGTCTGATTTCCTGGTGGTAAGCAAACGGCGCCTGTCATAGACAAACGCAACACCAAAGAGGTACGAGTGCGTTAGATTTAGGTGATCACGATTATGGAGATTTTGGGATAGGAGTAGAGGAAGATGCAGCATTGGACCTATAGTTAGGTAACCTTACTAACAGGGCGAAAACAAACGCTTTTTTTGTAGAAAAGGGCAAGAAAATATAGGAACAAAGCTTTGCTATATATTTTATAGCACACTGCTGTAGACGTAATACGGACATTTTGAAAAAATATAGAATATAGAATTCAAGATTATAAAATGGTTATTAATATTATTTTCTATTTAACTAAATGAAAACATGTATCAATTTCTACAAAGAAAAATTTATTTTTTGCTTTTTAGTTTACTTTTTGAAGTCGGAATATTTTTGTTAAAAATTATTTATTTGTTACATACTTTATAATATGTACCTATGACTATATACGAATAAATGATTTTATTCGACCATAAACTACAAGTTAAAAGACTGTTGCAAACACTGCCAAACTATGCGACATCACGCAAGCTGTGTAAGGAGAAGCATCAGAAACAAAAGTCAAAAGACACTCATTAAAAGTAATTTCCCTCATTCATTCCTCACACGAGAACCTTTTTAACATTTTCATTCGAATGCAAGAGAGCGGTAACCGGTTGTCCCTTAGGGTTTTTTTTATGTAATAGTTCGACAAACGAGCAGTCGGATTACCTGATGGTAAGCAATCAGCGCCGCCCATGGACACTCGCAACGGAGGAGTTACGAGTGCGTTCCCTTTTAGGGATTAGGGATTTGGAGATTTAGGGCTTGAGAAGGGATTTGGGAGGGGAAGGATTGGGCCTCCGGTAACCTCACTGACACGGCGAAACACAACGCTGTGATTATTTCACGCCGGTTTTCTGTGAGGCCGTGGTATCACTCCGGTCGAGACTACACATTCGTACCGTAGCATGGCTCTCCCACACTTAAAGTGGGTTTGCGTGAACGGCGCAGTGCGTAAGGCCCGGCAACCGGTTACCGCTTGGGGTTCGAAGGGTTAACGCACAATAAAAAAACTATATAATTCAATCAATATGTATGAAAATGCTTTTTTTTCTTTGAATATTACCTTACATAGTAGTGGGTTATACATTAAAAATAACGACTCACTCAAGTGAATAACTGAGAAAAGCTCGACTAGTTTCAAGTCACAGCGAGACTCTTATTCATGAGCAGCGTGCGCGTCGCGGCGACGTCGCGTAACCAAAAAACTTGTATCTAGACTTCTAAAGCTTTTCACAGTTAATTCGTGTCACTAAATCGCTATTTTCTATTAATTCCATATTTTTATGCAACAGTGCGGAGATGGGCGATCTATCTCCTGATGGTAAGCCAGTCATCGGCGTCGTCCATGGGGAAACAACAGGCAAGACCAGAAGAGTTACAAGAGTCCTTTGGACATTTAGGATTTTCCAGAGAACTCTTTTTTTTTGTGGGATAGATCGACAAATGAGGAGACGGATAACATTAAATAATAATGGACAGCCTCAACAACAAAGGAGTTACGAATGCGTTGTCGACTTTTTGGTGATTGGGGTTTCGGATATTTAAGGATTGTGAAGGGATGGGTAGAGGGCCTCCAGTATCCTCACTCACACGGCGAAACACAACGCTGTGGTTGTTTCACGTCGATATTATGTGAGGCCGCGGTATCACTCCGGTCAAGCCGATCCATTCGTGCTGAAGCTTGGCTCTTCCACAGAGAAATTCTCTGGAGAAATTTCAATTTTCTTTAATATTTATTTGTATTCTTCCAGATTGCCGTACTTCAAGATTTCTGTCAAAAGACCGTAGTCTTTTGGATATCTACGAAAGAGAGAACTTCTTTTATAGAGGATTTCCACTCATGAGGATATTTGTGAATTCTTATATATGCAACTACAGATGCAGGCCACATATACTGTAGAGGAGAATTTATGCTTAACCTCAACATATATTGAGTTCTAATTTAAATATATCTACTTAAATTTGACACAAAATTGAGATGGCTTTTGTAAAATAAAATCTATGTATTAAAATGGATTAGTGTACCTTAATACAAATTTTCTGTATATGATTAGGTATATTAAAAAAAGGTTTTCTATTCCACAAATAGGTATGTCAATGCCACTTTTCTAGAGACCCGCCCGCTTCGCACGGGTGCAGTACTGATACTAAATTTCTCCACTATTTAATGGATGTTATTGTCATCCAACAATCCATTAAAATAAACCTTCCTTTTCTAAATAATAAACTATTCTCTTCAATCACTCTATCTATTAAAAAGTGCATCGAAATCCGTTGCGTAGTTTTAAAGATTTAAGCATACCTACATACATACAGGGTGTAAAAAGACACTTAACGAAGCCGTGTGCGTGTGTGCGTAGGTTCACAGCTTAGCATTAAAACACTGTGATAAGTACGTAGATCGACGTTTTACTTCGCAACAACAAAACAATTCTGTAAAATAAAAATCCTACTGAGATGCACGATGTTTTTTGTGCGGGTCTGCATTTATTTATTACGTACATTACTTTTCGTAACTTCAGATGCGTAATTTATTTAGAAAAATCGAAAATTTAGGTAATGTTTGTTTGGAAAAAAGTTTTGTAATAATACTTAGAATTCGAATGCGCAATAAAAATAAAATTTAAAAATGCATCTTTGACCTTCAATATCTCGAGAACCCGTGGACCCCAGCTATGGTCTTCTTAAAGAAAAAAATGATCCAAATAATGGGTAGAATACGTGGCTTTCGGCTTCGTTAAGTGTCTTTTTACACCCTGTATAATAAAGGGACAGAGAAAGCGTATTTTCATGTATGCTATCTAGTGATACCTCAAGAACAATCTCACCTATCAAAACCAATATTACCAGAAGTACCAGAAACCAAAATAACAAAGCAGTAGATGTTTTTATATAATTTTGTTGTGATGTTTACACAAAATCGGTCAACAAATTGTGAAAAATAATACCTACCTAGATATTGTTTGCCCAAATGTTTCGGATTAAATTTGAAAATAGCTAGCAATTACTCAAATACCTATTTTGGTTTGAATAAATGAATTTGTATTTCCAATTTTCTTTTTATTATTTCTCTTTATAGATGGTCAGGTAAGTACCTAAGTAAGTACGTTTTGGCCCTCCTTGTATTGCTTTAAAGTACCTGGATAGTAGGTCCTAGGAGTAGATCCTGTAGGTATTCAAAGTAAATATGGGAGAGCCTTACTTCGGCACCAATGCAATATCAATTTATGCTCAGATCTTCTCCACGTGAAAAGAGGCTTTTGCTCAGCAGTGGGCACTTATAGACTGATGACGTGAAGTTATCTTTTGTATTTTATCTATGCCGGGTGAGTGAGGTTACCGAAGGCCCAATCCTTCCCCTTCCCCCAATCCCTAAATCTCCAAAAGGGTCGGCAAATCAGCTATTCCGTTATTATGAATGTCCATGGGCGGCGCTGATTGCTTAGGTACCATCTGGTAATCCGTCTGCTCGTTTGCCGACCTATTACATAAAATATAAAAAAGTCACATTAAGTAGGTACTAATTACAATTTCGAAAAATCATTCTACCTGTTCATTATCACATCGCCAGACCAATCGACAGAGTCACTGCTTCATGGTTGATATCTGACTTACCTACACGCAAGAAACAATTTGTCTAAGTTTATTCATCAGAACTGCTAAGGAATGGAATTTTTTTCTTTTATTTTCGGAGTCTGTGTTTCCCTAAGGGTATATAACCTGGGTATCTTCAAGACCCGAGTGAATAGGTTGCTTATGGGTAAGCGTGCTCCATCGTAGGTCGTGTTATTGCTTACCACCAGGGACCAAATGCCTGCCCATCTATACTAATATTATAAAGAGGTAAAATTTGTAAGTTTGTATGTAGGGGGTAATCTTGGGAACCGCTGGTCGGATTGCCAAAATTCTCTGATAGATAGCTACAATGTTCCTGAGTGTTAAAGGCTATAAAACATCACGCTACGATTAAATGGAGCCGAGCAGCGGGTGAAACCGCGCGAGATTAGCTAGTTAAACATTCAGAATATTCCCAGTTGCAAAAATTTGTTGTTTCGCCGTGTAGTGTGATGTTACCGGAGGCCCAATCCCTAACATCCAAAAGGCCGGCAACGCACTCGCATTTCCTCTGGTGTCACGTGTGTCAGTGGGCAGTGCCGATTGCTTACTATCAGGTAATCCGTCACAGCGTTTGTAGCTCTCGAATAAAAAAATCTATAGTATACTAGTGGACGCCCGCGGCTCGGCGCGTGGATGTCGATTTTACACTTTTTTATAATTCAAGACCAAAATTAACCAAATCGGTAAAGGCATTGTTGAGTTATAACATTACAACGAAAAATAGCATTTATTTTTATAGAAATATATATGTAAAAGAAAGTCGTGTTAAATACACTATTAATACCTCAAGAACGGCTGAACCGATTTGGCTGAAAATTGGGTGAGAGATAGCTAAGTACTGGGAGAAGAACATAGGATAGAGTAAGGTAGGGTAGATAGTGTAGGGTAGGTGAGGTAGGGTAGGTAAGATAGGGTAGGTATTGTAGGGTAGGTGAGGTAGGGTAAGTGAGGTAGGGTAGGTAAGGTAGAGTAGGTGAGGTAGGGTAGATGAGGTAGGGTAAGTGAGGTAGGGTAAGTGAGGTAGGGTAGGTAAGGTAGAGTAGGTGAGGTAGGGTAGATGAGGTAGGGTAAGTGAGGTAGGGTAGGTGAGGTAGGGTAGGTAAGGTAGAGTAGGTGAGGTAGGATAGATGAGGTAGGGTAAGTGAGGTAGGGTAAGTGAGGTAGGGTAGGTAAGGTAGAGTAGGTGAGGTAGGGTAGGTGAGGTAGGGTAAGTGAGGTAGGGTAGGTAAGGTAGAGTAGGTGAGGTAGGGTAGATGAGGTAGGGTAAGTGAGGTAGGGTAAGTGAGGTAGGGTAGGTAAGGTAGAGTAGGTGAGGTAGGGTAGATGAGGTAGGGTAAGTGAGGTAGGGTAGGTGAGGTAGGGTAGGTAAGGTAGGGTTAGGTGAGGTAGGGTAGGTAAGGTAGGGTAGGTAAGGTAGGGTAAGTAGGCAACTAAGTTGGTAAGTGCAGGTAGTGAAAAGACAGGAGCAAATATGCGTGTAAGAGCTATTTTCTAATAAAAAACACAAATTGTTTTAAAAACGTTTATTTATAAAACTGTTTGACATTAGAACTACGCGTACGGACAGGCGAAGCTTATAACGACATCTCAACTTTTTATTATCTGTGAAAAACTAATTTACAATTCTTAATGGTTGACACTCATCGAAGTCTCATTTCATCTGCGCTACGTTAAAAAGAGTCGGCCTATTTCTAATCATCATCATCATCATCATCATCATCATTAGCCACCAGACGTCCACTGCCTCGTGACATCCCTGATCGATTGGAAGCGACCTGCCAATTCTTTAAGATCGCAGCCCTATTTCCACCTTTAAAATAACTACTAAACACCAAGTATTAAAGTTCAAATTAAAATAAAAAATCTTAAGCTGCTTTGTATTCAATTTGAACTTTAATACTATGGAGTCACAGTTTATTATTAAATCTACTTGGCATCATTCTTGTATCACGCTATGAGAAACATCATAAACACTTGTTCAAACATACAGCTGTCTTTGTCTATCAAGTTTATTTACTTGATAGTGTAACAGAGACAAAATACTGTTTATTTGGTCTACTTTCTATATAATACTGAATATTTTGTGTTAAGGTGATTTTATAGATATATTATATACAATAATAGCTATTCTACTTATATATAATAACTATATAATACAATTAATTTGAGCTTTTCTTCCAAACCTACCATTCAAACATAAAAACCAGAATCAAGCTAATATTTTTCTTTAAATAATGATGAATAATATCAAAAATAGGCCGCCTCTTATATATTTTTATATATATCATTTATGTATATGTACATTATATATTATATATATCTTCAAACAGGTATTATCACAGACCTAGGCAATAAGAATATTTTAAAGATATTATTCTTTTGTATATTATTGAAGATATATTTTCTCATCTATTACAAATTTTATAGAATAAAGAATATTGAAATGAAAAAAACATACTTCATAATTTAACACGCTCAGTGCCACCGACTCGCCCAGGGAGTCCACGTAAATTATATTCCAGCGCCGTGGACTCGCCTGGCGACTTCAAAAAATGTATGAGAAATTGGAATTGTTAAAGAAAGCTTTACAACAAAAAAAATCTGTTCTTTTCTCTTTCATATTTTTGACAATAACATTTTTTAAGCTACCAGAACCCATTGCCATTCGCCATATGTTTTGTCCTGCATAAGATTCTAATAGTAAAAGAAAAATTGTCTATACAGGTACCTAATCATGATTACTTTAACATTTAAGAATCCCATATATTAACAACTTATTGCAAAAAATGTTAATAAAAACGGACAACAACATGAATGAATATTTTTTATCAGACTTAAGGGCTGATTTTTCAATGGTTAGATAAAAGTTACCTGGGGAATAATTGTGATGCTGTCGCGTCAGAATGTTTGTATAAGACAGTGACAGCAACAATTTTACTCCACAGATAACATTTATCTGATTATTAAAAAATGAGCTCTTATTGAAAATAACGACTAAATAACTCTGTTAGCTGTCTAGTCAGCTATGCGATGTCGCAGTGACGCGCACGCTTCATCAAGTCCCTGTGACGTGAAACTAGTTGGGCTTTTCTAAGTTAATTCACGTTAGTCGTTATTCGCAATTGAATTTAACATTATAAGACTTACGATTTAAGTCAATAACCAATTGAAAACGAATGTGTATACCAGTGATATTATACTATTAACACAGATATGTTATACCCCCAAAAAATGTGTTCCGCGCCAAACGTCAGCACACTCACATACCTTTCATTAATTATA